GTCTAGCAGTTGGTTTTAATGCGAGGATGACAAACAACATGCTTAAGAGTCTGTAAGAATGTTCTGTGGTCACGGCTAGGAATTACTTGGTGGTATTTTACAGGTTTTGGACATTGGCCAATACCTGGCATTTCATCTGCCACTGTGAGCTAAACGTATATTGGGTTTAAATGAGCTGAAATGGGCAATAGACGTGCAAGGTTTCACAGTAAATTCTTCCCGCGTATCGTTTTTCCCTCCCATGTCTTTAAGTCGCTCGCTCTAAGCCCTCTTTTCTCTCTTTCGCCCCTTGTTTTGTTATTTTACCTGGAGGTGCAGGTGTGAAAGGGTGAGGCCGTGGAAAAACATTCGATTCCGTAAGCTTGTCATGGAGGAATCCATTGACTGACCTCTGCATCCTTGGCACACAATGACAAATGGGTTTGCAATTTTCCGCCTGACTGAGGGGCAACAAAGCCCATTTCCACTTTCACCGGTGGGCAGTGAAAGTACAGTCTTCCTTTGTCGTTCCTCTGTCGTGCTCTCCAACTAGGAAGGGAGCATTACACATAGCTGGACTTTACTTTGGCGCTCTAATGGTCAAAGTAGACAATTACACTCTGTCTGATCTATCAGGACACACTGACTTCACATAGTGAGGTAATCTGTTGATGAAGAAAGGAGAGCTTGTTTTTCTTGCATCCTATTTTTTAAGACTACTCCTCAATTCAGAGAATCTGTTATCTTTCACATAAATATACCACAACTTTTCTGTCATTTTGTCTTTGCATCAGTGATTAAGATGAATCTGTCATTTAAATTGCTAGTTTACATTGCTATTGGCAGCACGTCTTTCATTTGTTCCTCGACACATATTCTCCACCAATAAAATAGAATCTTTTTTGTGGCATGGGGTCCTGAAATCTTTTCTATGTACACAAAAAAGTACATGGGTCGTCCGTGTGTACTGACAAGAGTATCTTCAGCATGGAGGATGAGGATCCTAAACATGGATTTAAATGAAACGCTCGATGGGCATGTTTTTCATCATGCTTTTCCCAAACCCCATTTAAAAAAAATCCCATTTGTTGCTCAAGTTGATGAATTATTGTGTTTATTTGTCTTGTGTTAATACGTCTGTAATCTCCCCGAAATTATGTTTTCACCTATTTTTTTTACCATTATGCACCAATGATCATTATATCCATTAAGTGTTAATACTTTTTCAGGCCTTAAAAACTCATATGTCAAATATTTGTCCAGCTGAACACAGTTTATGTTGCACTGTGAGATACATCCATCTTGTTTATAACTACGCTGCACTGCTGAAGACGGCTGTTAATTCCACGCTGCTAACCAGTGTTTTTTCTGCTGATTGAATTGCTTCCAAAGCCTTAAAGAATGCTATGGAAATGAACCAATTGACCTTTTTTCTGACCCTAAAGATCCCTTCGCCCTGTGGGAGTAGAAACTGTGAGGCGGCACCAGAGTTGGGAAATCAAAGAGATCTATGCTGCTAATCGAGACCTACTGGCACTCCTCCAGCACGGCCTCAGCACACTAAAGAATAAAAACTATTTATCCAATATGTTTATTGGCTTGATTGCTTCCAACATATTCCGTTCAACAAAGAAAAATAGATCTGTGTGTGAGTTGTTTGGGGCCCAGCAGCCCAGCAGGGCGTTCATGTCCTGTAGGGATAATCTGCCATGGTGCTGAGAGCCTAATTGATGCCTCATGCTTTTCAGGGCGCAATTATAGCGCCCAAATGTCAAGACCTAATTTGTGACTCTGTAATGTGGACACATGGGCCTGAGGAAGCGGCGACACGGCTGATCCAGCAGGACTCCCACATTGGTTTGGTCAGCAGATGTGAGGAGCGGGGGGTCCTTTTTTAGAAGATAAATGATTTTTGCAATGTAGACAATGCTTCTTTCTTCTTCTTGAATATTTACTTGGACTACTTTCAGCAGTTATAGAACATATACATTTAAAATCAAAGCAGCCATCAAGTTGTAGTTAAATATATATGAAATATATATACTGTAGCGCTGTGCCTAATAAAGCCCAAAAGATTCCACACATTATTGTTCTGCTGTGGGGGTTAAAAACTCTTATGCTTATATGTTTATATTTAAATGAACCGATCACATCGCCTTTGGTAGCATATTCAATTCATCATTACATGCTTGAACTTCAGAAGAACTATGTTAGTCCTATCTGAAATGTTAAATAAAGTAGCACAAAAGGGAGAATCCTTAATGTAATACTTATTAAGTAGAGTGCCTGCGTTAATAAAAAAAAAAAAGATATAATGTTTTTGTGAACTAACATACTTTATAAATATGACATTGATAAGAAGAAGAAAAACACTGTCAAAAACCTATTTTGTATACCAAGTCTGACTGCCAGGTACCGTTTGTCTCTTTGTGCTGTATCAGATGCTCCAGACGCCTCCTCGGATTCAGTGAAGTCAGATCCCTTTGGTTAAACAAGAGCTCAGTCAGTTTGCAGGCCTGGAAACGCACAGCGGTGTTGTTCACTATGCGTGCCTTGTTGCTAAACTGTAGAAATTACAGTTCCCCTTCTTCTTTTGCTCCCCGAAAACATTCTTGTTTTCTCTGTCTCCATGGTGACGCAAACAGAGGGGCACATTTTCCCCCGGAGCTGACAGCTTGCGATGTGGAGCGTCAGTAAATCAGGTCTGTTGCTCTAATTGCCGCTCGTGGAAGGCCGACCGCAAGATTCTCTCAGCTATGACACGAAAAATGATTGTGCTCGACCGGAGTACAATGCAGCAAGTGTGCAAGATGGTTCGGTTTTTGGCCCGCAAAGCTGATATTGAATGATATTTTGGACCCCTGGCTCCAGATTTGACAAGAAGGATTCTCTCTCTCTCTCTCTCTCTCTCTCTCTCTCTCTCTCTCTCTCTCTCTCTCTCTCTCCGGACTGGGATGAAAGCCCAAAAGTATCAAGTGGATAACGCTATACTTACACTTCTGCTGTAATCCCTATAAACACACATGCAGCTCATAATTTGTGCGCACAGAGCCTGAAATCAATAGTTGCAGGATTCAAATGACACAAAGCTGCAGACAACCATCCCTGCGCAAACACACTCTTAGAACTGGCCTCGGCTTTGGAGCAACAGGTGAGCTTCTCGGCAACTCCCCTGTCTTCCCCAACGTAGCCTTCTAAATATAGAAATTATGCTCTCTGATAATTGGGGGCAGACAACAAAGCCGGCTATATCTCCACCCTCCTCCTCCTTCTCTTGCTGCTGCTCCTAAGTCGTGTCCCCAGCTGACAAACAGCAGGACTGAGATCAGAGTGTGAGAGCTTGAGTGCTGAGGGAACACCTGCGCTGTCTGACTGGACTGTGAGGATAGACACAGAAGATCACTGACTTCCACACCTGCCCATGGACTCATGCCACACACACACACACACACTTGATTGGGTTTCCTCGAGAGCCCTTTAAGGCCAGCGCTGAGGAGGTGATGAAAGTCAGGGAGCGTCGGTTAAGCGTGTGAGACGGCCCTCCGGAGTGGGTGCGGATGAGAGGCTTAAGTGTTTTCAGCGACCACCTGCAGGAGGAGGAGCAGGGGGGGGAACAAAAGCATCTGTCTCAGGGCCAGGTAGACGCCGAGAACATCGGTCAAACGAGTGCCAAGGAGTGCTTCTGGGCGTCAGGAATCATAAGTCAGGATTTCCAGCACGTTTAAAAAGGGTGACTTTCAAAATGTCTGAATGGGGAGCGGAGGGGGTTACACTGCTTGACTTGCACAGTCTGCTCTTCATGGGCACGAGTGGCGATGCCCTGAGACTTTAGTCTCTTTGCAATGAGAAACAGAGCCTTCAGTTAAAGTCACGGGAAAACTGTAATTCAGCCACACCCTCTTTAGCTGGGACAGGAATGAGGCGAGCTGCTCTGCATCACTTTCATGCTTGTTAACTTTTCTCGTGAGCAAAAGAAAGACGAGCAATTGACCGCAACTTTCCACGAAAAACAAGCACCAGACTCCCCTTTCATGTTGCAATAGAATGTCGTGTGTTCACCTTGTTGAGGAGGGGCGGAGGGGGTTGTATGTCCATGCACGCCGCAGTTTATAATGCTCTCCGGGGCGGCTGTCATGACATGAAATGAATTCACAGTTGCTATATTTGGATAAAATGCATTGTTTTCAAATATTTTCCAAATGTTGCCAGTAAGTTAGATTTTTTGGTCGTATTACAGTTGATCTCTAGCTGACCTTTTTTTAAAAGTAAAAGACGTAAAGGTACAGTGTCTCAGTCTTTATACAATTTATACAGTTTCTAGTGGTTTTTCTATATACTGGATGTATTTAACTGTAAAAATAGATGTAGTAGATGTTCTCAGGCTGGCAGGTGGGAAAGTCCCCCAGCATCACACTCTAGACAGAAAAGAGTTGGCCGCCTCCATGAAGACTCCCCCACTGGCTCGCCATCACATACATAGCTAACAGCGGCTTATTCAAAAAGTACACTTCAGCCGCTTTGCACCTCCCCCTTATAACTACAAAACACTTGGGACATCAAAAACATCTCACACAACACAAAGAAGCAGAAGCTAGAAAGGATGTGAGTAAAGCATCATTGCCTTGTTTTATAAGACATTTAAATAAGGCTATCATCCTCAAACTGTCTGCAGAGGTCACATGATCCTTATCGGGCCCGAGCTAAAGGTCGGATTTTATTTGGCCCTGATGGTGTTGTTGCATGGCCTTTTAAATTCAGAGGATTCTGGGACGAAGCTTTGAAGTTTTATGTGTGCATCAATTCTACGACCTCTCTGCCGGCATAATGGGGTCCATAAAGAAAGACAACATTGGTCTCGTAAGCGGGTTTATATGTTTAAACTCTAAAAGACCAAGGCAACCGATAAAGTCAACTTTTCCCATGATTGCTGTGTTTAAAGTAAAAATGTGTGTCATAAATAAACTGATTATACCTTCATCTCGGATAGCATCGTGGGATGACAAAAGAATAAAGCATTTGGATTACATTTTGAGCAATTTATTGTTTGTGTTGTCAGTTTGTTGCCTTCAGATTCCTCCTGTAACACAAGTGACAGTAGTTTGGTGCAAACTAATGGGCCATTATAACAAAGACTCTTTAAAAATGAATTCACAGTTGCTATATTTGGATAAAATGCATTGTTTTCAAATATTTTCAAATGTTGCCAGTATGTTAGATTTTTGGGTCGCATTACAGTTGATCTCTAGCCGACCTTTTTTTAAAAGTAAAAGACATAAAGGTACAGTGTCTCAGCCTTTATATAATTGATACAGTTTCTAGTGGTGTTTCTATATACTGGATGTATTTAACTGTAAAAATATATTCTCTATAAATAAATATAAAACATAAATATATGTATATGTATCTAAAATGAATAAATAAATTGTTACATCTTTTCAAACAGGTCTGGACACAGGTAAGAAAACCCCAACAACTGAATTCCTTCAAAGTCCTGCTGAACAAACTGCCGCTTTTTGACACAATACCCAAATTAAAAGTACCATTTGAGTACAGCAGTAAAGATTCCCATGGCCAATATCCCCATCTGACCAGAGGAGCTGCTCGCTGGGCTGCGTTTCCCATTCCTCTCCTATTCCACGCAGGTACTTTTTAGTGTCGTCTGACAGAAACAGCCCCCTCACGTCGAGCGTGCAGACATTCTAGCCCGTCTGCCGGGCTGCTGAGAGATGGCCCGTGCATTCCTACAAGAGGCCCCGGTGCCTTGATCCCTGCAGGTCGGGCACGCTATCCACCAGCCTGCACGGGCCAGGTTCCTGCCCGCGTCCCTCGTCTCTTCTCTGCTCCCTGCCTGTGAGGGCCTAAAGCAGCTATTCCTGAACTGGACCGGGTCTCCAGATCTCAGCTGTGTCCCAGGATATCTCTGTACAGCTCTGGCACACGGTCAGGGTCCACAGGCCTGGGCAAGAAGTGTGTAAATTTCTGGTGCCGCCTGGATTTAGTCCCATCCCTTGGTGTCCCGTCTTTGTTTAACGCCACGAAAAAACGTGTCCCTTTGTCTCCGTGTTTGTAGAGGTTTGAGGAGTATGTGTTGTACCAGTTCTCCTCAAACTGCTCCTTGAAAACACACTCAGCTGAGAGTTTCTCCTGAAAACAAAAGGACACAACGTTAAAAGTGGTCCTGACTTGTGGGGCACAAACAGAAAAGCATTTCATTATTTTTCTAAATGTATTTTCTTGAGTATTAAATTCTCACAAACGTGAGAACTGAATAAAAGCTGTGTGGGTCATAGTCAAAAATGAGGATTTAGACGGCATGAACAAGCAACGCTGGTACTTACAGAGCCATACAGCTCCCCTTTGTCGTTCATCCCCAGATAGAGTCCACTGTCCACACCTCTAATGCTTATCAATCCTACAGCAAGGCTTATGAATTCCAAAATACCTGCAGAAGATAAACACAGTTGTTCAGTAGAGATTTTGACAAAGATGAAAGAATATTAATAAGGTCAATATAATTCATTAATAATTAATTATACTGACACAATTGATACATTTGACGTTTTAAAATGTAAAAAAAGTAAAATCATGTTATTTCCATCACTCCTGTTCACGCTCTGCGGATGCTTTCGGCAAATACTTTCTATATAATATATTTCCTCATATAAATATATAAGAAGTAAGCCCGTTATTTACCAGAACGACTGTGGTCCTTCCTCGTCCCTTGCACTGTGCCGTCCGGAAGTATTTCCAGATGAAACCCAGTTCTGCAGTACAACTGTCTCCTCCTGAGGATCCCCTTGAGGTGGGTTAAATCCGCGGCGGTGCTCCGGGAGAGTCTGTCCCCAGGTAGGAAGTGCTCCCCGAGAAGCGTCGGTCTGTCCCTGAGTGGCGTCAGGATGAAATGCGACCCCACCTGCGCGACACCGTCGATGCCGTGCAAGACCCCGCCAACTTCCCCCAGGACAGCGGCGGCCATCGCGGCAAAGCTCGGCGGATAAAGTTGAGCGCGGAGGTCCGGAGGGAGAGCTCTTGCGTGGCGGACTACCTGGCTGCCACTGTCACTTATTGAATGCCGTCCCACCTGCGTGACACGCGTGTTTCTCTCCCGTCAGGATAAAAACCTCGCAACTGCCGCCGGCTACCGATTCCCCGTCTCTCCTTTGGGTTTCTTCTTTTCTTGTTCTACCGCTGCGTCTTCATCAGCTGGGTGGGGTGAGGAGGGGGCTGCGGGTGGTGTTCACAGAGCCCTCGTGGTGCGTACCTGTTCGCGGCGTGCTGCGTAGAGTCCGACGGGAGATGATTCAGTGGTTGGGTGCGGAATGAAGGTAGAAGGAGCTCCTGGAGGGCTTTTGCGCTCAAAGTGGCAGGGGTGGCGAGGCAGGTGCAAAACCACAGGACTAGTAGTGGGCGGGGCTGTCACCGCGCAGACGTGCCCTGGCAGGGATTGTTGTTCCTTCTCTATGAAATGAGAGAGCGAGAGAGCGAGCGAGCGAGGGGGGGGGTAAACTGAGCACCTGCCTCGCTTTAAATAAAAAAACAACAGGTAAACACACAACTGCATTTCACTTTAAATAAACTCACGAGACATTCGCCAGCGTGCGTTTTGGTACGCGTGACGTTCCGCCTCACTCTCACGTGCGTGACGGCCCGTGATTCGCTTGAAACGCCAGGTCTCGCGAGCGCGGGGCAGCCGGCACGAGCCGCTCCGCTCCTTCCGGTGTGCGCGCGTGCGTGTTATCAGTCACGACGCCTCCGGGTAAACAGCCATGGCCGCCCTGCGCAGGCTCATCCCGCTACTCACTAACAGTTCAACGGCGAGGAGGTTTGTCGCGTGTGGATCCTGCGTCACCGCGGCGGCCGGAGCTGGTTATTATTATTATTATTATTATTACTATTACCGCGGCTCGCTCGCCGGGAGACGCTGCGGGTTGAAGAGCAACGTCGAGGCTCGACTCTTCCATCTGGCGCTACCAGCCGTGTCTGCCACCGAGAAGGTACAGTGGGGCATTTTGCTATACTGTCGTGAGAAAGGGCATTTTGTAAAAAAAAAGAGGCCCTATCCGCGTAAGGAACGGGGCATCTGTATTTACAACTGCCCATCTCACATCGCGCACGTTACAGATACATTAACGCTGATGCGTCGTCAGCACGAGGAGCTGTCCTGACCGTCGGTGCTGAAATGGCAAAAAACGGTCCGAGGCGAATGTCAGACCACGTGACCTAATAGCTGCCATAAGACCGGGTCTTGTTTGTGAATACATGTCGCCTGATTCGTATTAAAGCAATCCAGACACGTTTGATATTATAACAGTTTGTACATTATACTGTATTTACATTAGATCAGAGGTTGGACAGAATAGAACACTGTAATTTAATCTAAAGCACTATTGGCCATACCGGTGGGGGTGTTGCTATTCCTGTTACACTGCCGCAACCCAAAGATATTCTATATATATATATATATATATATATATATATATATATATATATATATATATATATATATATATATATATATATATATACACACACACACACATATGTAAAAGATGTACCAAGCAACAGGAAAGCAGCTTAAACCAGCATACAGTTCCTCTATTTTCGATTAGTCAACCCTATTGATCAATACGCAACCTTTTGGTTAATTGATTAATCAAGCAGAGTGTCTAGTGTCTATTGAATGTTGACATCATTGTAAAGTAATGAACAAGGATATTTTTTGCCACAACACCAGGTACTCAGTTGATCAAATTGGAATATATCACATCGGCCGTAAACAGACAAGTGAACCTCGTGGTTCGCACACTTCTACCACCTCCTTGTTCTTTATGTGCGGGTTGGAGGGAGGGCAGAAATACTGGTGGCCACGGGTCGGAGGAATTCAGGTACACAGGAAACTGGACACTGGGGCTTGGCGGAGGGGTTGACATCTGATGAGAGGTGGGGGTGGTTTAGAGGGGGGTTTAATGGTTAAGCCGAGGGGGGCACACATTCCCTGGGCGTTTGCTCTGTGCCCATTGGACCTGGCACTTTGCCACGCAACAGAAAGATCTCCTCTGTCTTCACAAATCCAGCCTTCTGATCTGGCTGGGTTGGAACAGTTGCAGGGACATTATCCGGAGCACAGGGATGAAAAATATGGTTGACATAACATGCGCCCCATTACTGAATAAAGCACAGGCCTCTTTGTTGTTCCACGTGAGAGAGGCTACGTGACAAGAAGAGCTTCTGTGGATTTTATATAAAGCTCCTTTCAGACGGTATTACGCCCTGCTGGTATGATTTGAAATATGTCTTTATAGTGTGTGTTTGTGTTTGCAGGCCCCCCGCAACTATGGTCTGGATGATGGAGATGCGTACATGTCGTCCCATGAAAACAGATTTCGCCTCTTCAGTTCGCTGGAGTACGAGGGGCAGCTCTTCATGACGCCGCTCAGCTTCATAGAGTCCGTCACTTTGAATGAACCCAGGAGTGAGTGCACCTCCATTACTCAGCTCCTTCCCACAATACTCAACATCCTGCAGAGGGAGGGAGGAGTCACTACTGATTTTAGGGTTTCACAATCAATCAATTAGTTTATTGACATACATGAATTGACAATCAATTACCGGTGGTAAAATGTGAGGCTTTGCTTATTTTCTCTCTTTCGCTCTCGTAAATGAAACACTGTGTGACTTTGTACCGGTGATCTGACACAAACAAGATGATGGAAAGACAGGTTTTCAATGGGGTATTTTTGTCATTTGACAGACCCCAAAAATGGATGTGATTAATTGATTCAAAGGAGAAATGCAGGTCATGAAAAGAAGACCTCGACAGATTGTGTTGTGACACAAGTCGTAGCAGCCTGGACTTTGCAAACTCTGCCCCAATAGTCTGCTGGGTTCTCAAAAAACTGTCCCTAGAAAGTAACTGTTTTGGGAATCAATAGCTCAAGACTGAAGTAATGTATTGTTCTTCAAAGTATCATCATCAATCGTTTACCGGTTTACTTCACACAGACTGCCAGTCTGCTGCACTGCAGATGCCACATGTGTGATCCACCACATTTGTCAGCAACCATTTGCTTAATTACCCTTCCGTCAAGTCATCAGATAAACTTCATATCAGAAGAAAACGTCCTCCAGTTGTTCTCCTGGAATATGACTCGTTGCCGAGGGCCTGTGAAGTGTCATCATCAGACAATAAGTTGCGGCTTGCAGAGCCTCAGTCATAACACCTGCATAAAGATAGGCATCTTTCCCAGCAACCCCACTTTTATGGCCCATTTATGTGGCAACAAAGTCGCAGAGACCCGGAGAGACCAAACAACTGAGCGTGGGTGTCATAAATGTAATGATAAGACATTCGGATTATTGCGATTGATTACGGTGTGAGGTGTGTGTGCGGTCTCCTGTAATGTTTTGGACATGTCTTCACTGGCATCTGATGAGGCCAGTAAATGAGGGGCACTAATGTGTTAGCATACCGTGTCCCAATATCCTCTAATGTGTTGCAAAACAGCCCTCATGGTGTTTATGGTTATACTGTGGTCGTAAAAAGTGATGTGTTTCTGAGGGTGATGCTGGAGTTCTGACCATTTAGAAGCGAACCATTAGAGTCAAAAGCTAAAGTGATGTCGTGTAAGTTATATGTATGTCATATACGATCCATCAGGGATGTTTTGATGGGACAGGGATTGAAATGATGCTCACATTCAGGACAAAAGCTCTTTTCAGAGCAAGTCATCACTTTGCAGTCATAATCCCAGCGTTAAACACAGGCTCTTAAACGTGTCAGTTGAGGGTTATTGTCACCGTTATCGATGCAGATTCCCCGGACAGTTTTTTTTTTCTTTTACAACACCTCCATCTTATCTTCTGCTTTATTGACCACTGGAATGCGTTCATGTAGACGTCCGTCCACATAAACACCCGTTTTCACTTTTGTTTCCCAGTTAGAATTTCTTAATTTATAATTCACCGTTGAAATAGGTTTTACTTAAGTAAAAGGTATGTTGCCACACTGTTGAAAGTATTCCGCTAAGGCACGTGAAATTATTTATATTGAAAGTCAACGTTTCACGAGTTTTCAGATTCATGACGATGCACTCAACGAAGGCTATTTAAAGAGCTTGATTGGGTTAAGATAAAAAAGAAGAATTTCCCCAAAACATTAAGGATAATCAGTTCATTATAAATACATAAAGTTGTTGTTTTTGTCTCCACTGGACAGGAAAAGTAACAATTCTGATCTGAAATGTAACTAAGCAAACAAATGTAGTGGAGTAGAAATTACAAAATTGGCCTTGAAAATGTAGTTCAGTAGAGGTATAAACATGTATAAAAAGTAAATTCTCAAGTAAATCACAAGTATCTTAACACTTAACTTAACAATATACACACACATTATACTGTAAAGATCTTGCTGCATGTGCTAACTGTGAACCTTGCTTCCCTTAGGTAGGAGAGCATGCAAGTCCCTCACAAAAAAGGCAAGTTGCTCTGTCATCAAAGCACTTGTTACTGTTTCACAGAATCTCTTCATCCGTTTAAAACCTCTGTAATTACAGAAATGCCAACAAACATTGTGTTACTTTGTGATTACTCAGGATTTAGATACGAATGAGTGATTTGGGATTTCCTTCTATTCTCACAGGACTTAGAAAAGATGCTGTCTGATACCCCGCCTGTTTGCAGAGGATCATCTAATTTGTTCAGAAATCTTCGTGAACGAGGTGACGTAACCCTCTCGATGTACCACATGCTCGACACAAGCACCCGTTGCATTTCCATCCATGCTTCTATTTGTGTGTTAAAATTGTGTGTATTCCAGGGTAGTGAGGTGTTGTAAATACTTCTCCATCGCTCTGGTAACAGGTTGTAAATTTATTATCAGGTAACCTCTGCATGGAATGGTCCATTGGGGTTTTCTCGAATAACAAATGTGATAAGTAATACATTTACTGGAAGAATAATTGGCTACTAATTAATGGGAAAGTACTTCCTTATAAAAAACTTGTAAAACTGAGTTGTGTTTCTTGTAATTATAAAACACATCTTAGACTGTGCTGTTCTGAGTTGTTAAAATGCAGCAATTAATAGGAATAATTAATTTAACAAATGCACCCTGTTCCCTCTAAACTATTTTTCAATTAGTCAATTAACAAAAACTATTTGCCACCAAAAGTTCCTGTAGAATCTCATTCTACTTTGAGCGGCTTGTGAAGGACTGCACTCTTAACCTGCAAACTCTGATTCCTATCATTAAGAAAATTAAGTTGTTACTGTGAGTTTGAGATCTTTTTAAATTCTCCCACCTGGGCCTGCGTACTCCCACTCAGTATGCCGTACGAGCCCGTGCAGCATTACTCCCCACTGCTCTGCGCTCTCCTCTGTTGCTTTAGCTAAGTGCCAATGCTGAGATTCGGGCCTTTTAATCCTGCTGTTAAACGTTGCGGCTTTGTCAGGGGGAAAAAAGGACTGGATTGATCTGCCAACAAAGCGTCGCTTTGGAGAATGAGGGAGCCGTTTGAACCCGACTATGTCGAGACACGTCCCACCGACCACCCCCCTGATCACCGCGGACATTATGAAGCCTAAGAATGGCATTGGATTACATCTCCGGGACTGCCACTCTGTATGAAGTGTTGCTGTGGAATTCTTTGTATTGTCTAACGGCATCTACTTGAGCTCAGAGGCTGAGCTGTGGAGAGGAGGAGGGAGGAGGGAGGAGAAGGGAGGGAGGGGGAGACTGAAGGTGTGTGGTATTGGTGAAACATGGCTGGAATCTTAAAAGTTTTTTTTTTTCTCTCCCGTCAACCCCTTTAAGCTTTCAAAGGCTTTGAAGCCACAGATCTGTTGTCATTATAAGGCCGTACCTGCCAAGCAGAGAGAGATGGGATGACCAGAAAAAGAACCGTCTTTTTCTGATGAACATGTTTGTGGCACGCATCACTAATTCTCTTTTCACACCTCGGTTTGAACATGTGTTTCAAAAATGACCTCTTGGTTTGCTACTTTAGTTTTTTTTTTCCTTGCAACTACCCCCCCCCCACCTCCTCCTCACGCCCCCCCCGTACCTGAATGATTTTCCCATAACACCCAGAGCAGTCACCCAGAACTATCTGCGCTCGATTCTCTATCTTCCCGAGCAAACAAAGGCTGGGGAATGCTTTCAGAGTCAGAGGGTAGAAGCCTCCCGAGTCGACCGAGATGCCTCCTGACACTCACTCTTCCCTTCTCCGTGTCACACAACAAAGGGAGCTGAAGGACGCAACACAAAACCTGAATCGGCCATTCTCAATCAGTGACAGATCACTTGAGGGTGTATTACACCTTGTTACCCAAACGCGATCAGAAGCCGTGGGCCTTAAATTTGTTTGGGTTTGTGTCCAGATCGGTCAGCTCAATTGTAAAGCTTGTGTTTGTGTGGAGGGGGAACACCAGGCACGAGGTAAAAGGCACCTTTTAAGATGTTATCAGTGCGGGCGAGAGGATTACTCTTGTCTTAAGGCGTGCACTGTTTCTTTGGGTGGCTTATTCAACCCAGCAGCATGACTTTGAACATCTGTAAACACGGTTAATGCCATCGGATGCTGTTTTGTGTGCACAAGGGGTCATTTTAGCTTTTGTTTCTCAGTTTTTTGTTCTTTTTTTTCTCAGGTGTCATCAGCTACACAGAGTATCTCTTCCTGCTCTGCATTTTAACAAGTAAGTATGAGCTTTGACTGACTGGATTATGTTAAAAAAGGTGACTATCCATTGTAACGCCTTATTTGGTTTTCAGAACCCCACGCAGGCTTCAGGATCGCTTTCAACATGTTTGATGCGGATGGGAATGAAATGGTGGACAAAAGGGAGTTCTTAGCGGTGCGAGCCTCATTGAAATTCAGATACGATGAAATGCATTTTGTTAAGTCACATTCTGCATAATAACATATTGTCTTTTTACCAGCTAGAGGAAATTTTCCGTGAGAAAAAGGCCAGAAAGGAAGTTGCAGAAGACACGCAACGATGTGACCAGCAGGTATGAGTTGCTGTTAAATGCCTCGATATTTTTACATACAAACAATCGACAACATGGCCCTCAGCAAGCGTAATATACAAAAGCCTCTTGGCAGACAAAGTTAGCAGCTAGCCAGTCAAAGGCAGATGTTTGTGTTTACCGCTTTGGTGTAGACGAGATGAAGAGTGGACATTGGACGTATATTTGTACGGTCTATGGGCCTCTAAATGCTGATGTTGCTCTGAACAAACTTCTGTTTGCTTCAAACATTAAGTGTTGTCCTTTCAGCCTGGTCTGCTGCCTCCAAGTGGCCAAAAACCTTCATTTAAACCTGCATTCAAACTGTAGCCACTTGTGGAGCAGTAAACTGTTAATACAGCCGGGACATAATCTATGAGGTTGATACGGATAACATTTTAGCAAGAAAAACATTCCTCTGGAGTCCTCTTTCTGCTCCGTTCGAGTCCCCGACTCCAGAGGGAAACATCTGGCTTGTTAGCTAAATGCTAAATACTAAATGTTGCTCACTGGGCCTGTCTGGCCAGCAGGTTGTGAACGGTGGGCTCATCAGAGCTTTGAAACATTAAAGCTCTGTAAACATTACGCCGTAAGAAGCGGCGGCGCTTCAAAGCGCCGATGGGGGCTGCGGAGTGAGCGATCCTCTGTGGGGTTCCTACTGCAAGGCACACCTTTTTAATTCACACAGCACTTTTACCCGTTATTAATAAAATACATTAGAAGAAAACGGGTGGAGCTCGACATTGATCGGAATCTGAAAGCCGAACAAATGTCGAACACGCCATGACTCTGTGTTTCCTAGAAGGAGTGCAAAGAGGTGAATGTGGTCACGCAGGGTAAAACATGTCTGAGGCTTTCATGTCTTTGGGGCCGCCTCGTGTCGCATGCAGGTGGATGTAAACAGGCAGAGCTGAACGCAGCGATAAGAACGACTCTTTGAGGTCTTATCGCTCAAACACAACATGGAGGAGCTTACTCTGCAGGGACAAACGTTAGCATCTCTGGACGGTCTCGCATTAATCTGAAGCCCGTATGAAACATCAGACAGATCATTAGAATGGGTACTCTAGATTTGGAAACAAAATGATGGCTTTGCAGGGTTGAGGGCAATGTCACGTCACATTGACTTGACTTGTATGACTTGAAGAAAATCAATTGTTAGCTCACAAACTTAATTTCCGACCGTCTTCCTCTTCTAATATCCGCTACGAATTATAAATGAATCTTCTCTCTCTGCTCGTTTTTATTTCAGAGCCTGCAGCTGTACGGTCAACGCGCACCACAGCCGCACAGTGTATGTATTGTTCTCCCTGGCCGGAGGAAAAGGGAACCGCTCTGCTTGTTGCATGTATTTTTGGCATGCTGAAATCTGAAGTCTGTTAACAAAAGATAACCTCAGTAGCAGGATGTAGAATACACTTGTATTTATACGGAATTGTGTATGTGTATGTGGTTAGTGCAGACAATTCATCCCCTTTTACATCCCTTTTGTCAGCATTGAGTTTAGAATTCCACCTCAAAAAACTTTTACCCAAAGACTGACAAGGTTTTGTCCGGACCCCCATGTTTTATTTTTACAGTTACTTGAGGATTGGTATTTGGGCTCAGGTTACCTTTTGTGATGGTTTGACCATGAAGATGCCAGTCAGAGCGGAGAACTGTGAAAAGGACATAACACACACACACACACACACACACACACACACACGCACACTGACAAACCCAGACAAACCCACAAACTAACAGAGGGACGGACCCGTCTGTTTGAAGGCTTTGACTCTGGGTGTGTCTTTTTTGTTTTGATTTCTTCTGTCTGTACTGTAGGTATCTTTCCAGCAAAAAGTTCAAAAGTCAAATCTTTAAAAAAAATACGGGCTTTCCCCAAGCATGCTGCAATTACAAGTGTTTCAGCGCGGTGCATTAAAGAGTCAGTGATTAGCAGTGGCATCACATTGTGAATCTCTCTCTCTCTCTTTAAGCATTGAGGCGTAGAGATGTTTAATCAGCTGGCTCACATTCGCCCTCAGGCTTGAGAGATGAAAACAAAAAGTTGATGAGAGAAATAGATATTATGAAATGAAGCAAGCCTGTTTTATGAGCACGTGTCGACACCAGCTGTCTGTTTCTGGTTGGCTGTTTGCTGAATTTGGAAATAGAGAGAATTTTAGTGCATTGTTCAAATCGGTGCCCTCCCCTTTCCTTATTCAGTCTCTGAGCCGTAGACTGTATACGTACAGTATATAACATACTGTATGTATACAAGAGGTGGATGTGAGACCGTATGGACCACGTGGTAGAGATGCCCTGCTACTCTCTGGTAGCAAGTCGGCCAATCACAAGGTAGCCCCGCCCTAAAACATACTGCTTTGGTCTATTTCACCCAAAATTCATCATCGTTGAACTGAATGAACATATTCAAACCATTAACTCATGTTTAGGAAATTAGAGGTTTAAGGCAGCATTGACTCCACTTTTCAGAATCCGCAGGCTCCGAACTTCCTATTTCGCGAGAGTAGTTGAGCAATGTCTGATAACTTGAATTAACCTCTCAGTTCAGCACCAAGTGATGACAACTTGGCATGAGTCCTCCTTGGGCTCTCACACCGTGCATGCTTTGGACATGCGTTATTTTGGCTAATAAATGTTTCCTGTGCTGGCTCACCGTCCTGCCAGGATGCTGCATGCCTGGCTGCAGAGGAGGCCCACGCCGGGGCCGATGGGCCCCTCAGATACACCGCTGGCAGCCCCGCTCTGTTTCTGCCCGTCTGTCCTGATGTCTCTGATGTTTGTTTTTTTATCTGACTTTTATTTTTATGTCACTCAGGCAAGAGGACAGAGATCCTGACTGTGCATCTAGTGTCCTCCTGCCAGCCTCAGTGCTGTCCGTGTTTGTCCTTCCGTCTGTCTTCTAACAGCTGTGCTCCAACTGCTGCCACAGGTTCTCGAAAAGGACAGCCGGCATGTGGAGGCCCGGGGCATGTGGGACGTTCTCAGACGCAGCACAAGTCAAGTTCTTTTTTCTGATCTCACTGAGGTAGCCGTGCCTTCGTTGCTTTGGTCATACAGTCAAAACTGTAAGCCGGGTTATGACTGTCCGTACTGCAGGTACCATGTTAGCACTGTAGATATTTTGATTGGGTCTTGTTGTTAGCAGGTGGACATACGGACTAACACTTCATCTGTAGCACGTTTAATGAATCTATCGCATGGTACCTGTTTGTTATTGTGCAGAAATGAGACATGCTGGCCCATAGTTTGGTTTCAGGCACAGTGAAAAATTAACCATTAACTCTTATTCAACCGCATGGCCATTACCTAACATCTTTGCTCCAGTGGGGTTGGATTAAGTCATTTGTTAATGTTTGCCTGGAGTTTCCATGATACGCTCTTAGTTCAAAAACAGCTCATTTTGACCTAAAGCTAAAGCTATAAGGTTATAAAGCTATAAGGAGTTATAATCAAGCCATTCTCCCTCTGTTGTCAGGTGGATGAAAAGACAGAGACAACGCTGCTGGTGCACTTCTTTGGGAAAAAAGGCAAAGCTGAATTGAAATTTGAAGATTTTTACGAGTGAGTGGAACACCTCTTTGTTTGCTTTGTGATGAATCAACACGTCCCGGAGAAAATGATTATCTTACAGTGTGACAGGGCCATCCATCATTTTCATGCCTGAACCTTGCGACTTTGTCAAGTGTTCCTTTGTGAATGTGAGTTTCTGGTGGTGGCGTTAGCTGTCAGCGGTGCGTCTCGCTCCTCCAGGTTCATGGACAACCTGCAGACGGAGGTGCTGGAGATAGAGTTCCTCTCCTACTGCAAGGGCCTGCCCACCATCAGCGAGGAAGACTTTGCTCGGATCCTCCTTCGCTACACCAACGTTGACGACGTCAGCGAGTATTTGGAGAACGTGCGCCACAGCCTGCCGGAGGAAAAGGTGAGCCCTTTTTTCCCCTTCTGATTCGCTAACTTGCTTAAGAAGATGGATCTTCATGGTTTTAAGGGTTAGGGATAATTGATGAGCTACAATTTATCCGTCCTCCTAGTGAAGCGTCACCCACCAGGGTTCAGGGATGGTGAAGGCAGGTCAGGTACAACTGTACCACAACTGACCCTCTCATCGTGATGACCACCCTCACACAAAATAGTTCCATATTGGACCATATGCAGACACAGCGATATCGGGTCAATGTTATAGTTTTTTACTTGTGTTTTTACAAAGTGTTAACACAGTTATTTGATAAATAATAATCAAGAATGTAAGCATACATACATACTAAGCGGGTAAAAGAATTTCCCACAGCTGTCAAACTTGTGCCACATTATAACAACGTTCAAAACTGAAGCCAATGTTCCATGATGTAACGCCCAGTAAATAACAAACTGATGTTTTTCCACTTTTATACGGCTCAAATAAACTAAATAGAATTAGTTAATTATAGCGCCTTAGAGGTCCTATTGCTAGGGAGACTTTCTTTCTTGCAGAGCATTAAGTCTTTATGCTCACGTTTAGCATACACACATGAATGCAACCTTCTCATGCAACGCAGACAAAAAGGGAAGAAGTGTTTTCCCCCAGTGTTGAACTATTCCTTTCGAATTCATTAGTCAGCTTTCACTCTGTTGCATTGTTTGAGTGTACAATCACCTATTTGTTCTGGCACTGCCTGCTGAATTAGCTGTTGAGAGAAACATCCTCATTTTAAGCTTTAACTTGTTTTTTCTCCATGCGTGCTGAAAAGACATCGGCAGCTCCTCAGCCACCCTGAGGACCCTGTTGCCAGATCTCCATTGACAATGAAGTGGGTCTCGTGGTGAGGGGAACTTTATGGCCCTCGCCTCGTTAAAACAGCAAAGCGACACAGATTAGTCATTACTCCGCTTGTTGGGCCCTGTGTGCTGCCTGTCTGGCGAGGCCCCCGGCGAGAGAAGGAGCTGGTAGCTGCGGGACGGTTGAGTGAAGATCAATGGACTCAGTGTTTGAGTCATCAGCCGAGCCTGAGATGTTTGGGGATTCATCACTCTTGTTGTTTTTGTTTATTCAAGTATCAGGTTAATCTGCCTTAGAAAAGTCTGCAAACGGGCCTGACCTCTTCCCAAAAGCTACGATCCCCCCCATCCCCCGTCGCTGACAGCTCAGCATGTCCGTACCGCACAGGGGAAAATCCAGCCATGTGTACTCTGTCTGTTTGGGTGTGTTATCTATCTGCTGGCTTCAAGGTCCCTCACACACTAAAGGATTCCCCCGCAGGATGAAAGGAAGCAGGTGATGTGCCGTGTGAATCGTAGCGCCATCCTCTGCTGGAGTGTTGACACACGTAGCCGCTCGCTTTGTGCCGCACTTTACCATTTTCTCACGTTTGTTGTTTGGTGCATAAAGAGGCTTTGTTTTTATTGGTGTCTGTTTGCAGGGAATCAGCTTCGAGGAGTTCAGGTCCTTCTTCCAGTTCCTAAACAACCTGGAGGATTTTACCATCGCCATGCAAATGTACAACTTCGCCAACCGCTCCGTCGGTCAAGGTGAACACTCTCAGTTTCTTTCTTCATGGCAGCGCTGTGCTTTAAAGATGGAGTCCTGGGCTGCTTTAGTTTAGTGAGTATTAAAAAAAAGAAGTAAGTCAAACCAATTGGTTGACCGTGCAGGTGAGCCACAATCTTTGAGGCTTTTGTCTCAAGCATCTGTCTTGTATAAGCGGTCATATTTACGCACTACGCATTTCTTCCGACAAAAGCTCTTCAATCTGATCCGTTCTCTCGGAAACATTCTTCGTTTTAATAATGGCGGTATCGGGCTATGAAAGCGGAAATGTGAGACTGCGTAAATGATGTATTTAGCGGACCAATCACAGCCTTGTGCGCTGCGGGAGGCTTGCGACGCAAGCCTAGAAAAATTGCTCGACCACGCAAGGACGCAAGGAGGTGTGAAAAGGGACGCAAGGGACACGCAAGGGGGTCTTGCGTCTGCGTCGCTCTGAGATCGCAGAAGCATAAACTAGGCTTTAATGTCATATTAATGTAAGTAGTAAATGTGTAAATATTGGCAGCAAACATCTGCATTGAAGACGGCTCCCTGATCGACTGTTCTTCATTCCCTACCAGAGGAGTTTACCCGCGCCGTATATGTGGCCACGGGCATCACGCTGAGCCGCCACCTGGTCAACACGGTCTTCAAGATCTTCGACGAGGACCGCGACGATAAACTCAGCCCACAAGGAGTTCATCGGCGTCATGAAGGAGCGGCTGCACCGCCGCGGCAAGGTGGGGAGGCACAGGCCTGAATGGTACCAGAATTGTTGGTATTCGTCAGCTCCTCCTTTGGAAAATGATACCACAAAGAGGTCACAGACGGACACATGAACGCAAGGAACAATCGTATCCAACAGGGTGAAGACAAAAAGGCCAATGTTTGTGTTACCGGTTTATTTTCTGAACTAGTACTAAAGCAGCGATTGGCATCACAAGCACCCACCCGCCTTTTTAATTACAGCAGAGCAAGCGCTAATTATGTCCCTCTTTTATTTAGGGTCTCCTTAGTACCACTCCACGGCACAACTGCTAAGTTACACTCCTGACACTTTTTTATTACTCACCTGACCTTTGAATGAACAAGTGATTTCTGTGAAATGATACTGCCATCTATTGGCACACCAGGATATTGACCATCTAATAGTATTCCTCTCCTTCTGTCTGACATACTCCCACAGGGCATCAGAGTGGAGGAGAAGTTCACCTCTTTTAAGTCCTGTATGAGGAAGGAGCTCTCAGGCAAATAAGTGAAGTAAGTTCTCATCCTGTCAGCGTTCTTTGATAAATGGCGCAAAAATAAACCAACAATGCTTAACTTGAGGTTGGCAAATGCTACATGATTTGGCGTTTCCATAGATGGTTCCGGTGGCAGCTTTCCCCGAGCTCAGTATACCCAGTCAAGTGTTATTTCAAAAGGTCCTCACTCTGCTCGCCCGAAAGCATTGAGTAACACTGTATTATTAACGCGTGATCAACTGCCACCCAGACACCAGCTTTAGGTCTGCACATGAGCAGGGAGCAGTGCATTTTAAAAGCTGTGTGTATAAATGTTTCAAAGGAAAATGCACCCCCTGGGAGAAAGTATGATAATCTGAGAAAATGACTTGATCTGGATGTTTTTTTCAATTGGCACCGCAGTAGGAAAAATGTCTATTTTGTGACCCAAAATTAGATGATTATTTGTTTTATTTTACAATATGAAAGTGCATTGGACAATTGGTATTTCACTGCGGTACCGTTTACTTTTTCTGCAGTAACACAGAGGAGGGAGACATTGCCAAGAAACCAAACATTTTCTAATCTTCATCTGAACGATTCAATAAATTCACCGCACCAATTGAAATACAGATTTACATCAAATTATCCTGTAATGTTATCACCCCCTTCCCCTCCTCCCCCTCTCTCTCTGAGAACATTTCATGTATGCTAACATTTTTTAAACATCAGGGTCAACACTCATGTGAGACGAGCTCAGAGCTCATTCAAAAATCTTTAAACAGCAATGCGAGCACAATTAGTCTGTGAATTTACAGAAGAATTCAAACATTTTTGCATCCAAATCAAAGTCACCAACGGAGAGAATCTGAGTGCCTTCACTGGTTACAGTTGAGGTACCTACGTTACTATGGAAACAGGAATATACTCTTCCGTAGCCAGCCAGAGGAACATGGTACATGATCGAATTCACATACTTTCATCTCGCAGCATCACATACTCATACTTACAGAGGGTGCTGCTTATTCCCATTTATTTATAGTTTATCCCAGTATGTTATACTGGGGCAGTCATAATCAGTTGTGATGTTGTTGGCATATTATTATACACCTATGCATATTCTAATATATATATATTAAATATATACGTAGGTTGGAAGTGTTGAATTTGTGTATTTACCCAGACAGCTAAAGATAACCCTGCAGCAGTTGAATAACTGTTTTACTTTTTTACAGATATCATTGCCTTAATCTTAAAATTTTATTCATCTGGAAATGTTTGCCCCCATTATCAATAACTATATGTTAAGGAAACACCTTAGTCTTAAAATGCGATTATTTGGTTTTATCTCCTTCTCCGTCATATATACTGTATATACAGATGTTTTTTGCGGTTACTGTGTACCGAACACAATGCAGTTTGTAACAGTTTGACTGTTGTTTCAGCGAACATGACTTAACGGAACTTCTACGCTCTTCCCTTTGCTGATTTGAAAGAATCATTCATAAACATATTGATCCCATTTTATACATTAAATTGAATTAAATAATGATCTATTGCCTGTTGCTGGTTTTATGCCACACAGCCACAGCTGTGGTCACTGCAGAGGACACGGATTTGTTTCTGCACAGTTGCAGAACTGCTGCTGCTGCACTCTGTGGCTGTTTGATATGTTTCTCTCTGGTCTAATGTACTCTTGAATTTCATAAATAATGAATGAATTAAATAATTTGGCTCCGTTGTGAGAATGAGATGATCCACAATGACAACACAGCGTGTTTACAAAGTGTCCCTCTGGACCTGTATTTATCGCTCTTCCTCTGTTCTGCCGCCAGGTGGAGATCCCATCAACAGAAGCTGTCTTAACTGGATGAGCGGTGCCTCCTCTTTGCACTCTGCTAGGGACCGAAGGGTTAATGCATGCCGCAGCATCTCACTGCACTTAGAGTTAGTGCAAGTTAGAAGCTTTTAAATAAAAAGGATGATCCACAAACAGGATGCGGTCAGCCAAAGGAGAAGCTGTTACAAGTGTAAAAAACAACTGGGCCGCCAGTGGTGCAGGAGTCTAATTTAAAGTAATCAGTCTGTCGAACTGCTTTTGCACCGGCATTCGGTTACAGTTTGTCAACACTGATTTTATTCATTTTTCTTAAAGTCCAACGTTGTATTATTACTGTGTTGTTCATCTGGAATCCCCTTCAGTCCAGATCTCCATTCAGTACGGTGGCGTTGCTCAAATGCTTCGCCCTCCCACCGGCTGTGCATCCCTCTGCACAGATCCGCTCAGGAGAGCACCGCCCCTCCTCCCTGTCCTCTTTCTCCTCCCTCTGCAGCTGAAATCCTTCAGGATCCCTTAGAGCCGCAGCAGGCTTCAACAAACTAATTTACGCTTTAGCTTTTTCACTGTGTAACTACAGGCAGCTAACAGCGTTACTCAGTTCTTAGTTGGTAAGAGAGAATTGCTATTTTCGTGCCACTGGCAGGGATGACCTCTATTTGAATAAATATGCATAAAAATGAAGCCATATGTTTGGATGCTTAAATTAGTTGTAGAGCAATAAATTGAAATCACCTTCTCTTTATTCTCTCTAAGGAAGAGTTTACACTTCATCTGCTTTGTAGAAATCATCACTTGCAGTATAGTTCAGTGCAGTGTGTGACTGAGGAATATTAATGACTGTCCTGGTGGAACTCCCCCACCCCTCAACAATGTTGGATTTGAGGGGAAGGGGGGGGGGGGTTATGTACTGAAAATGGTATCAACATGTTACATGCTGTAATAATTAACCAGATTAGTTAGTCTACCTCTTGAAGAGTTTTTGGAAACCTCTCGCCGGGTGTCATTCTCTTAAACCAGGTCTTGACTTTTGCACCGATGCATTTCTAAAGACATGGTACTATAAAAATAATACCAAACATTTGCTGATTTTGTGCTCTTTTTCTCACAAACACACACACACACACACACACACACACACACGTACACGCACAGACACACTAGCCAAACACCCAAAGACGGTTCTCGCCTGCTGAACAGCTGGTAAGCTTCGCTTCTTTGTAGCGACTGATAGCAGGAGCACAAAAGAATAAAACAGCTGTTTTTTTTAAATAAACTTAAAGGTGAATCATTAGTAGTCATGCGAAAGCCGTGGCTGTGTGGGTGGATCAGACTCTAATCAGGGACTTTTTTAAATCTCTAAATGATTCAGGCTGATGATTCGCAGTCACACGCTCCAACCCTGAATTACTTAAAGTAAGATCAACGAGGTCCTTCAAAAAGAGAGAGACCATGTTAAACATCCCAAAGATATAATGAAAAGTTTCATCCATTTACCCTGAACAATTGAATCTTTTCAGGCCTGTTTAATAGAACCTTAGTTATCAAAATGATCCAATAGTTGTGTTTTTATTGGCAAATAAATAAACTTATAGAACCACTGTTTTTTTCCTTGGTATTGTATTGATATTGCAATATGCACATTGTACCCACAATCTGCTAATGATAAATAAATAAATAAATGCTGTGGACAGCGAGGGCTAATCCCTTTAGGACATTTACAACACTCTCTGCCTGGTAAATCCCCCACACATTGTGTGTGTGCGTAGATTTTGAACAACATTATATTTATATATCTCTAACACCCCGCTGAGCCATCCAACTGTAAAAATTGATATGTGCATATGGTGGGTTTGCTGCAGCCAGCCACACAGCCACATTGCCAACCATAGCTCAATTGCATTTATGAAAATAAATGCGTGTGTGTTTTCGTGCCAACCGGCTGACGTGTCCACACTCTATAGAGTATGAACCTATTGAACCCATCTGCTCGGGCAAAAAAAACAACAACCAAAATGTGCCGTGCCAGCAGCGTCCCTCGGACGTCATGGCAACCTGTGGGGAGGCAGCAGGGGCGGCGCAGACTGTGCGCGCGCGTGTGTGTGCGCACGTGCGTGTATGTGTGTGTGCGCGCGCATGTGCGAGCAGTCTGACACGGCGTTGTCTTCTCTTGCGGAGACCTGAGCAGGACGGCGCGCAGAGGGACGCGAAGCCCGCGAGCCTCGTGCGATGTTCAACGATTAGGCTGATCGAAGCCGGAGCGCACGGTGACGTGACAGTCTACGTGTAGAAACGGGCGCGCGCGCGCGCGCACACACACACACACACACACACACACACACACGGAGGGACGGAGGGAGAGTTGTGCGGATGTTCACGAGAAATGATCCGCTCCTAGACTATGGCACCGTCGGGCTCACGCAATATCAAGAAGGGCTGTTGGAGAGTTCTGTACTGGATCCCGGTGCTCTTCATCGCCCTCGTAGTGGCGTGGTCATACTACGCGTATGTGTTGCAGCTTTGCATAGGTAAGAAACCAGCTGTCTGGGTAGTATGTGGTGCGCGTGTGCGTGTGTGTGTGTGTGTGTGTGTGAGTGTGAGGGGGGATACCTCCTGAATGGTCCCAGTGAGCATGTTTTTTAAAGGTTTTAAAGGTTTAAAAAGAAACTACGTCCTCATTTGTAAGTTTACCACCGATATTATAAATCACGTTGAAAACGGGTCTATACGTGAACGTCTTTAGCCGGTAGAAAAGACGTTGAAATGAGGTCTTGGACGTTCAGACCTCATTTCAACCCGATTTCAACCATATTTTAACGTTGAAATTACGTCTTGTGCTCACCGGGGTGTGTGTGTGTGTGTGTGTGTGCGCGCGCGTGTGTTTTTGGTGATAGTGTAGGGAGACACTTGTGTTTAAGCAGATTGTGGTCCACAAGGATTTTTGTTGTTGTTGTTGTTGTTTGTGGATGCAGACAACTGGCTTGTTGTTTATGCAGTGTGTGGACCGTGTAAGTCACATGACCACAACAGTGAGAGCAGGAATTGTCACCTTATTGTTACAAGGACGTGACGGCGGTGTGTCTTGAAATGAAAAGCTCAAGTTCAGTATTATCGCCCCAAAGTCAGAATTGTAAATATTGTGCCAATCTGTCCTTGTTGTGAAGAAGCTGATGAACAGAACGAGATCAACTCCATGAGACGGATTATCTGCAGTCAGCACTATCTTAAAGACCTACTGTCAGAGCTTTGGGCTCATGTCGTCGCCGGGCCTCATTATCTGAATTGATATCCTCCAACACAACATCGGCAGCACTATCTTTTGGCAAGAAGTCTGACCGTAATGGCTTTTGAGTCGGTCCTGCCTGCTTCCTTCCTCGCTGCCTGCGGCTGCTGAGCGTTAGATGTTGCGGCTGCAGACGGCGAGCCTTCTCCGTGAACGGTGAACACAGAGTTGACCTGGATTGTGAGACATGGTTTCTTGGAGGTCTCAGGGGACTTTCAGAAGAATTTGGCAGCTTGTCAGACCACTGAGAAAGCAGATCTCCTGCGTCAAAAAAGCGGGGGGGGGGGGGGGTGAAGTGGAGACGATTTAATGAGACCAAACTGAGGGGAAAACACAGCGGGAGAGGGGTTGTTCCATGGTCTGATCTTCTCCAAATAGAACTAGGCATGCTGTCAGCTGTAGTTGAAAGGTAGTAGCTTTATGAAAGTCTTTGTACCAGTGACACTTAAAACGAATAACGGGGCCATGAGCCGGGGGTTCACCAGCCGGAGGGGAAGCGCGGCTCCTCCTGTTGGTGCCTGACCAGTGTTAGAAGGGGATAGTTGTTTGCCTCTTAGTAGCATGGGGGGATTACTGAACAGGCTCGAACAACCACAAAGAGGAACGAAGCAACTATAGAGGTGCAAAACAAGGACAAAGATTCCAGGGGGGATGAAAAAAGATTAAAAAAACAACCTCTAGGAGACACATAACGACCCCAAACAGACTCATAACGGCCACGGAGAGATTAAGGACGACCACAAAGAGGTGCAAAACCATTATAAATGGATGCCAAAGGACAAGGAGAAGGAAAAGACCCTCAAAAAAGCTTAGAAAACAACAACAGAGAGCCAAGAGTCCACTCAGTGAATGTTTCGCGCAGTCTTGCTGCATTAGGTTTGGTTTCTAATATTTCCATAATCCATCCATGGCTAAAGGCTCTTTGAAGTTACTATAATAAAGTTGTTTCTCTGGCATTCATTTATCAAAATGAATAAATAAAAGCTATTAACAACATACAGTTAAATATTTCCCAGAGCCCCCCCCCGTGCACCAGTCTGTGCCCCCGTTGGAAAAGTTGTCCACCTGGCCCTGCTCACCCAGGAGGAGTGACTTCTAGGGTCACGGCACGAGTCATCCTTCAGCACTCAGGGGACGACAGAAAAGCAAAGTCACTGTTTTCATCGGGCCGCTGCTTTTCAAACCGCCTTGTTTTGCATCCAGCAGAACAAAAGCAACATTGTGATGCACTCATGTCACACGGGGCGGACCGAAACAGCGGCGGCGGGGTGGGGGGGCAGAACGCCGGCAGCTCGGGGGGGGGGGGCACACACAGAGAACGCTGTGTGGAAGTCTCGTCAGCTGATACCTCGAGTTGGGCGACTCAGTTAATCCCATCGTCTGATTTACATAATTCACCCCGAGCAGCCTGAGGTTGACCCACTTTCTTTTAAGCCTCAGTGGGTCCTTTTTGCACAAAAAAGTGGAATTCAGGGGGTCATTGGCTTTGTACCTGCATCGTGGTAACATGTACCTCTTTCTAGCAAGAATGCAAAGAGGAAAAGAGACAAAGAGCACAACGCTCGCGTGGACAATTTATATACATTCCTGTGACCACACAAACACTTAATCCTTCTCTGTCAGACTCTGGGGCTTTTACTGCTGGAAAGGACGCATGCACATGGTTGTTGGCTGCATGCCTTGCGTCTTGGCCCACTTTTTCTCTGTTTTGGCTTGTACATATGTGTTTGTGTGTGTCTGTGTGTGTATTTGTACTGCTTCACAGGCTAATTGCAGAAGATGGATGAGATGCTCGGCTAAACCTTACTTAGATATTGGATCAAATATAAAACAGTGTCAGCTAATCCGTCAACAACTTTTTGCTCTCTTTTAATGTCTAGAGTCCAGATCTTTGGGTGTGTGTCGGGTGTGCGTGTGTGAATGTGTGTGTGTGGTTGTGTGCAGGATGTTTTGGTTGTCTCCAATACCTCATGATAATGCACACTAATGCATATCTGCATGAGTGCAACAATGAGTCAATCTGTTCGCTTTGGAGTGCGTTGTATATTGATTTTGTGACTGGTGTGCATTAGGAAACGACTGATTCCGCAGTCTTGAGTTCGGCTGATTTGGAGTCAGCCAAACATGAGTTGCGTAAAGTGCACGTGTGGACTTTTAGTGCCTGTGTGAAGGATTCAAAAGACAAAGGAAATTTGAGTTTTCCCCATGTTGGATTTGCCGTTTTGCCTTGTTAATTCAACGTCTGTCTTTCTTCAGAGTCCATCGAGCACACGGGAGAGAAGGGTAAGTGTTTTGTAACGTTGTTTGACATCACAAGCAAACACACACATGAAGTTGCAGACTGTGAGTAAAAGGTGGATGATGACGAGCGGTTTCTGTTGTACGCCCTCCAGTGATATACTTGCTGGTGTATCATGTGGTCTTCATCATGTTTGTGTGGGCGTACTGGCAGACCATCTTCACCAGGCCCATGAACCCCCTGAAGGAGGTGAGTGTGTCCGTCTGCGGGGAAGCGCAGATGTGGGTGACGGCCTCCCAGTGTGATTAAATGCTGAGTTTAGACTAATAACACGTTCTAGTTGAAGAGCCTGGAGCTGCACTGTAATGGTTCAGATCCTGACCGCGGCACATCCATTTGAGAGAGGACACTCCCCCGAGTTCCACCCTCACAGGAGAGATTCTCGTCACTTTGACGTCTCCAGAATGTGATGAAAGTCATATTTCTCACGTGCCGCATTGTTTGTCATCGCCACAGTTATTTTTGTTTCCAGTGTTCGGTCATAAATTGCCAGAGTGGCTGAGACCAATATCGCAGAAAGGACCAAAACGAATGAAAGAGGCAGAGATGTGCTGCGGCTTCACAGCCTCAGACTTCACTGCAACGCAACTATATTCAAAATACGGATTGAGCTTGCGATGCATCACGGTTGCTGTGTGTCTTTCCCTCGGCTTTGCGCCCTTCACAGTTTCACCTGTCCTACTCCGACAAAGAGCTGCTGGAGCGGGAGGACCGGGGGGAGTCCCAGCAGGAGATCTTGAGGAGGATCGCCAGGGATCTTCCCATCTACACGCGCACCAACTCCGGAGGTACGAGCACAGCGCACACAAGGAGCAGCCTTCGCAGCTCGTCTCCACCCCCCCACCCACCACAGTCACATTGTTACGTCTCTGGTCAAAGGTCCGGGGCCTTGTGACTGAATTGGGTGTGTCTCCTCAGCAATCCGTTTCTGTGACCGCTGCCAGCTGCTGAAGCCTGATCGATGTCACCATTGTTCAGTGTGTAATAAGTAAGGCTCTCTGCTCGTGCACCTGTGGAGAACAGACCACACCACGCATTGGCAGGCTGAGTAAGAGTCGAGTACACTGACGTCTGACCCTGCTGCTTACAGATGCATCCTGAAGATGGATCACCACTGCCCCTGGTACGTAGCGGCAGCAGTGCTTTCGACAAACACCGGGGACGCTGCGCTCACGCAGTGCCGTTAGTTTAGCGTTGCCTTTTCATTAAGTGGCCCCGCAGGCTCCGTGGTATCATTACTCCAGTGAACAAGAGTCGTAAACACACACCACATTGAAGGCACAAATAGCTTGTTCACTGTTACGTTCCGTCCCGACCAGATGACACATTTTGGCAACAGAGAGAAGACAAAACAAATGTGTTTTGCAGCCCTCATCGTTTTTTTGCCAAACGTCATTGTTGTCTGCTTCCTTTGCAGCAATAATGTGGTGGGGAGTCGGAATGCAATGTGCCAAAAAGAGACAGGAAAACTGAACAGTTTTAGTAAAATGCCCTGAATCAACTATTGTGCACATAAACTCATTCTGCTGAAATGTAACAATCACATCAGCTCTTCAACGCTTGTTCTACTGACGACATTCCTGCACTGACCTTGTCCCAGGGTGAACAACTGCGTGGGATTCTCCAACTACAAGTTCTTCATGCTGTTCTTAGCGTATTCTCTGCTCTACTGCCTTTTTATAACCGCTACAGATCTCCAGTACTTCATTAAGTTTTGGCTGGTAAGTACGCTTTGAGCAGTAGAACACCGATCGTTGATTGTACAACGTGTTTTTTGGGTGGTATGGGTGGGACGTGGGACGTCGGGGACGGTTGCACAAAATATATCCAATTTAAAATCTGAATGGATATTTAAAAACATGCATTCTTTGGTATTTGACCATTTCTTTTCCCAAGGCTGGAGGTAGAGCCCATTTCCGTCTAAGGGAGTACCTGGTATGAACCAACCGACTGCTGTATTTGATAGATAGAAACTGCTTATGAGCCCCCATAGAACTCTAGCCGAGCAGAACTCCCTCACAACTTCTTAGCGTCCACTCTGTTTTCCGTTGTGTTGAATGTTTGTCTGCTGTTCGCCCCCCTTCAGAACGGCCTCCCAGACACTCAGGCCAAGTTCCACATCCTGTTCCTCTTCTTCTCGGCCTGCATGTTCTCAGTCAGCCTGGCTTCTCTTTTGACCTACCACTGCTGGCTTGTCTGCAGGAACAGATCCACCCTCGGTAGGTGGCGCACACGTCTTGTGTTTGTGTGTTTTGTTTGTCGGGTGTGTAGTCTCACTCTGCTACCAGCGTCGCCTTCACTCCGATGATGGAGGCCGCTTCGGCCGCCTCATCAGCGCAGTGATTGGACGAGCCGCTCCGGGCCGTTGTCAGACGCAGCGGTTTCTCATTAGGCGTGCACAGTAGCACACTTTGTCTGCGCGACACGGAGGCCAAATTATCCATAGCGGTATGTTTCAGCGTAATGCAAAGACACATGGCTCAGAGTGGTAAGCAGCTTAGTAACATGCACGGCGACACCGTCTCAGGTCTGCTTCTCCTGCGCAAGCAGTCCTTCCATTTGGCGCAGCCGTTCGGTGGGAGTCGTCCATAAACCGCTAACGGTCTGAACCACGGATTATAAAGGGGAGGGAGGGGAGGGCGACATTTGTTCATCTTCTCTCCACGTGTGTCCTCTCAGAGGTTGTGCGTGCTCCAGTGTTCCGCCACGGCACCGATAAGAGCGGTTTCAGTCTGGGCTTCAGTAAGAACTTCCGCCAGGTCTTTGGGGACGAAGTTAAATACTGGCCTATTCCTGTTTTCTCTGGGTAAGTTCTCGTGGGCTTCGTGCAAAGGCCCTCCAAAGAAAATGTCTGCATTGTCTCAAAGAGGGGAAACAAAAGAGAAAAATGAACACAAGTCTTTGTGACTCCGGTTTCAAGAACTAAAACTCTGACTGAAAATGAAATCAGTAAAGCTTCTAAGATATATATCATGAATTCAAATCTAATCCTGAAGGGTTTTAAAGCCTAAATTTAACCAGAGAAGTGCAGTAGAGGGCACTGTTAGGTGTCAGCCAAACCCACTGCAAAACCATCATCCTCCAGTTATGAACCGGGTTCAACATTCAAAGCAAAGGTTTTGTTGCTCAAACCCTTGGACTCCCTTCCTTAGAATGACGCAGAAGTGCTGAATGAATGAAGTCCCTCAAGAATTAGACAGTGCTGTCACTTATTTTGAAACAAAACAGTTCAAAAGAGTTAAAGGTCCCAGAGGGAGCATGCGAGGATCAGCTTCAATAAACAACATGATTAACTCATGCTGACAGAATGAATAATTTCATGAATATGCAGCTTTCCAATTATTAAAACATAAGCCTGCATGTTTGAATGTAGAAACTGTCGACATGAAGAACCTATTTCTGTTTTCCCAATCTGTTTCTGCATCAACTGATTACAATAAAACAATTGACCTATTATTTCTGTTAACCCATCTAATAGTGACATCTCAAAGTGAGACGGTAACTTTTGAAAAATAGTCCTCTTGTAGATGAAAAAAAATAAAAAAAAATAAAAAAAAATAATAATATATATATATATATATATATATATATATATATATATATATATATATATATATATATATATATCACACATACATACATATAACTGTGTTTTCTTCTTTCTTTTCTTTAGTTTAGGGGACGGCTGCTCGTTCCCAACCTGTCTGGTAAATCTGGACCCGGAGCAGCCTTCATCATCGCCCACTCGCTCCCACCCTGTTAGTAAGAGGTGAGTTAAGCATCAAACATCAAACACTAAAGCACAGAGCCACAAATCACCCCTGCTCAGGTGTACCTGTGTGTTTGCAGTGCGGCAGACGGCCGCCAGTCGAAGCCACTGACGGAGTCTCAGAGTCGGCTGCTCACCAGCACCATCTGCTGGTCAGAGATTGACAGTGCAACAGACAGGAAGGGTAAGATAGTGCTATTATACTACATGTAAGGAGGGTTCCCAAGGCGGCTGGTTTATATAACGATCAATTGTTTCTTGAGACATATAATACACATACTTGTATTTTTAGGTTCTTCTAGAGCATGTCTGAATATATACCTGTATTCAACCTATAAAATGCTCCATTTAGCATGTTTTCCCAGACTTGGGTCCATCCTTGAATGCTGAATCAGCTGATCTCATTCACATACAGAGCAACCGGAAATAAACTGGGACACATTTAGAATTTATATTAAATAGTTTCTGAATACTAACGTATAATACTGATGTGTATTTTTCCATGAATTAATTTTATTCAGATAGAACCTAGAGCAGCTTTATAATAAATTAAAAATCTTATGAACATAATTATGTTTTCCAATATTGGAGCTTAATATGGGAAATGACATATGTGTGTTCAGGCGCCAGTAACCAGGGGATGACCATAGAACATGAGGCGTAGAGAAAGGGGGCACACCGTCCTCCCAGGTACAGTGAGTTTGCAATCATGTGGAAACTTTCCACACATTAGGATAGGAAGTAAACATCTGTTCCCACACATTAGGATAGGAAGTAAACATCTGTTCCCACACATTAGGATAGGAAGTCAACATCTGTTCCCATGTGCTTCATCCTGCAGGTCAAAGCCGCCTTCTCCTCCTCGTTGTTTGAACGTGACGGGGTTGTGAGATCATCAATGTTTGTTGTTTTCCGTGGCGCACCTTCTCCAGAGGTTCCCCTGACTGACACAGCCCTTCAGAGCAGAAGAAGAAAAATAATCATCAGTATCACTCTCACAGCTATCAGTAACAATTTATACTGCCATCTTGATAGTATTTGGTCTTAAGAAATGAAAATCGCATTCCGACAATGACATTTGTTCGCTCATGAATAAGCACAGAGCAACAATCGAAGGGCCTGTTTAGCTTTTGTATACTTGATCAATCTGAGCTGCTTTCGTGTGGTAAAGGTTCATGTAGTCTCTGAGTTATTCACACAATGTCTTGTTTTTTGTTGTTTTAGCGGCTTAGCACGGTAATAAATGGAGCTATGAGTTGGCCAAATGTTTGCACTTTCTTTATAAAGTAATAGTGGTGAATATGTGATGTAACTGATTATTTCAGTAAAGGATATATATATACTTTTTCATCCACCATGTTGTGTCGTGGAAGTGAAACGGATGCATGCTCTCATCTCAGGATGTCAACACACTTTGTTATAGTGAACTGTATCACCTGATGTTCCTACCTTTGCTTGGATAAAGAAAGAACAAAAAAGTGTAGTGATTAGTAAAAACCATTTGAATAAGGGCTCTTCACACATAGCATGAGTGGGGATGTTTCTGTCACACTGAAACACCTGAAAGCTGGTTGCTGCTAAATATCTAAGCCACTGTGTGGCAGCCTACAACACACTGCCGGCCTGAAGCTTCCTGTGTGTGGAGGCGCATCATGTGAAACCTTTGTAATGGTGCACATCAGCACACCATCAGAAAGCAGACAGTGATTTTCTAATCCCGCAGAGCAAAAAACAGAACAGCTACAGCTGCTTTCAGCGGTAACAGAATTACTTGGTAGAATGTATACATGTTTAGAAAAAAAAAAGCTTCTTTGTGACAGCCAGCGTCAATCTATATTTTTCTATTCTTCTGTGTGCCGAGACGATGCACTGTACAGTTGTGCTGCCTTATAACAATAAAATGAGCTCATCTTCAACTATCCGTTGCGAATTGTGTCATTGAAGGGATGCAACGGACATTTTATTGTAAAACAAAGTTCCAGGCCTTTATTTACAAAATAATCTAAAACAACCCTCTTGTGTGTTGCATATTTCTCTTCAGCTGTTAGAATGTGAAAGACGTGCTGCAGACAGAAAAAGCATCAGTGCTCCAGCTGTCAGTTAGAAATCCCGTTGCTAACATGCAACGCACACCTATTGAAGTTCAGGATACTGCTCAGGAAGTTCAGGATTAACACAGCATTTATTCAAACATTCTAGTACATGCGGCTCCGCAGCATGAATGAACTAAAGGGAATTACAAAAAAATAAGAAGCTGAATTGAACTCCACTCGGCTTTCAACACTCAAACTCTACGTAAACTCAGTTAAAGAGTTTTACTCTCAACAGAGTATCTCCGGGTAACCTCTGCACGTCTTACTGCAGGAGAGCGTTCTTATACTTAATTGTTTTTTTTTTCAAGGTTTGGTGAAGGATTGTAAAACCATCTAAAAGGTTCCTATGTGCTTGTGTCAATGAGGGTGTTTACGTGCACAAATGATCCATATTCCTGCAAGGAAAGCCATGTGCAACAACTGAATGTTTAGTGACTTCTTAGCATTATCATGAACACAAACAGTAACAAAACAGTAACTTAAAACTCGGTTTTTACGTCCAGTCGACACACTGCATGAGCAGAAACACCAGCGTATTTGTCTTGAGGCTTATCACAGTGGGATAAGAATGAGGAAAAAGAAACATTCACTAGCGCTTATATACACTGACACCATAGAGGAGATCCAATGGCAGACAACACGTGGCGTCATGTTGAACAGAGTATCTGTTTAATGTCAGATAACCAGCACAATAAATTAAAGGTTAAAAGAGAATAAACGCAGGTAATCTTAAGGCGCGGCGTGCTGAGAGCGGTCCTCGAGTGTTTAGTGTTCACAAAGCTAAATGGGAAGGCAACAAAGACAATAGAAACTCCTGTTCAGCTTTCCATATAAAATCAGGTTGGAGCTTTAAAGTGCAAAACATTTCTACGGAACATTTTAGGAAAACTAAAACCCCATAATTTTCAAGCCTTCCCAGATTCAAGTGACCCAACCGGGACGTGCAGACTGCCTCGTGAGAATACAGGACTGAACTCACACAGCATCATAATCAGTTGTCTAAGGTGAGCGGGGGCCAATGGGAAGCAGCTGGTTGGATGACGGGTGTGCGCTTTGGCGGCTGTCCAGGTGACCCGCGGGGCGGGAGGGGCTCGGGAGTGACGTCACGACTGCGGCTTGTTGGCCTCCTCTTCGTACGCGTTGCCTGTTCCGTTCTGCACGTAGGCGGAGCCGGAGCCCAACCCGTAGAGGTGACCACAGTACTTTGCATCGTCGATGTGATCCTCGAAGAACATCTGGGGGAGAGGTTCATGAACACGCACTCATTCAACACTATCAAATATAGACAGCGCATTGCTTTTGGTTCACATTGCTGTGCTTCTCCCAGGTTACATGTGGAGGAGAGCCGCACGATCAAGACCGAATCGTTTTAACATCTGTTAACAGCAGTTGGGGGTTTTTTTTGTCAGCCATTTAAGAAAGTTAGAATTCTGAGTAATGCCCACATTTCAGTGCATAGTAAATAGTGCAATGTTTTCCCAAAATAGAAGAGGGAAACAAGTGAGTCCAGTTCAATCCGATGCACTACTAATGGATTTATCATTAAGGTCACTTTTTTAATATAAGCATAAACATTTCATGTTCTCAAAACGGGAGGATCTACAGCGGTGTCCACTAAAGACGCCCCGTCATACTAAATGCACTAAGTCTCACATCAATGTCATCATATGCATTCAGAGGAAAGCGTGATCCCGGTACAACGGAGCACGTTAGAGGGCCCTGGGATCGACATGAAGGGGTGCTGGTCTGAATCGTCACCTCTCTCATCTTGAAGAAGGCCATGCCTGTGAGAAGGGAGTCAGAGCCGGCCTGATGCTGCGGTCCGATCCTCTCCAGCGCCAGCTGCTCAGCTACTTCCTGCAGGCCGCCCTGCAAGCAAAAACAACAAAGAGACAAGTCACTCACGGGAGATCGCAAGAGACATCGAGATGTGGAGCTTTAAATGAACACAGGAGACACCCTGCGCTACCCGCGGAATCACATATTTAGGTACCTTCAGGTTTTTACAACTCTTCATGAGGTACTTGACATCATAAACGACGGGAAAGTACAAGCGAAGAATCTCAAAGAAGTCCACCTCCTCCTCAGGCAGGTTAGCGTTGGACAGAATCTTGATCAGGTATCCAAAGTCATAGCCACTACAAAACACATACACACAAACACACGCACAACTTTTAGCTGGGTTTCTTTTTTCATAGAGAACATAGAAAGAGAGCTTGTCACTTTCCATCTGCCGCGACACAAAGATAATTAAAGAGCCGTTCTTACGCCTGTACCTGCACATGCAAGGGCAACTAAACACACAAACACACAGACCTTTCCCCAAATACTTTGTCATTTGGGACATTGAAGTATTCTACTAGGTCAAAAGTCAATGAATGAGATGTTTGGCTTGTTCACAACAGACCAATTATCAGATGTGATTAAAAGGTTCATTCACAAGAAACCGTTGAAAATGAGGATGAAGTTACAGAAATGAGACGTGAAAAACACAACATAACAAGTAACATAAATCAAAACAACATTAAAGCCTTTTGTTAAAGGTGTGTTCTAAATACCTGAAAGATGACAGTGGTGTTTCAAACCTAAGCTTTGTTTATTTTCCAAAGCCTGGTTATCTTTAGCCTCAGTTTGCCATGGCGACACAGTGGGAAACTGAGTACGAAATGAAGATGTTAAGCAGTGCATTTGAGAAAATACTGTTAAAAAAAAAAAAAAAAAAGAAAGTGTCTGGTCACTACAAACCAATATCCTAATAATAAAAATACATAAGTGTTCATTGCACTTCACATTAAAAAGAATTCCAACGGGATATTTACTTGTTTCAACGTGTGTGTAGGAAAACGACCACAGTTCTGCGTAACATCTTACTTCTCACTGACACACAAAGGAAGACAAAAAAGGAACCAAAGAAATGAAGATATATATATATATTTTTTAAACACAACACATATGTAAACATTTCAAAACAGAGGTTTTCTGTGTGCAAAAATGCCAAAACACCCCCTACAAGGATGCCGATCGGTGCACAGTGTCCAACGTGTGCTCGTCTCTTATATAACTTGTGAGTGAAAGCAGTTGGTAGTTATACCTGCGTCATACGACTTGGGAGTTCTGAGCAAAACAACATTCCCGTTGCTATGCAGCTGTCCACATCACTCATGGAAACAGCTGCTAATTACTAAAAAGCTGAATACCTGTGAAAAGACAGCCACCGGACCCCGTCGCAGAGCACCACCCCCGAGGTCATCAGCAGCTCCGCAAAGTACAGCGCCTCGATGCCTTCGTCCTCGTGCTTCTCGAACTGAATCCCTGAAGTGGTCAGCAGCTCAATGGAGTCCTGCGCATACATGTCTTCCCTGAAGACAAAGACATGTCGCATTGTTATCGTCTCCACCCACAAAGTGGGAATGAGAACAGCAGTTGGATGTCAGGATTATAAAAATAGTGATTTGTAGTGCGGTGTTCTGCTCACTCAGTGTTTGCAGTAGAAAGGTTTCTAAATTTGGTCCTGAAGCAACATCTAACATCTGGCTTGCATTTTGACAAGGCGGCATGAACAGTAAACACTGCAAACTTAGCTAAATATGCAGCTCATTCGAACATCTACTTGTGCCGTTAGAAACAAGCGGAGATCCTCTAATACTCGTGTGCATGCCACGGATGCACGTGATGACCACACGAGAAGCGGACAGAGGTGAGAGGCAAAAAAGTCGTCTTACGTGATGTTAAACTTAAAATTGAACTGCCACGTCGATGTTCCCGGAGGGTATTCGCCCTGTTCGTTCATAAAGGTGAGGCCAAGCTGGATTATCTTGAGCAGATCCACATTGCAGCGCAGCAGCTGGTACTGATAGTCGGCGTTGCTCCTGAACTCTCCAATAGGTCGGGCCACCACACCTGGAAACTCTGTGTCCTGTAGGAAGGACATGAAGCTCTTCAATGCAGGACTGAAAGCCAGATGTGCGAGACAGAAGAGCATCACTCACCATGGCAATGTAGTTGTATTTTTGGATGACCTGCCGGATCCTCTTCAGCTCCTCCTCCAGGTTATTGGCCCAAACCTCACATATCTTTTGGTTGTGATCCACAGTAGCAGCGGGCATAGTGCCGCTTCATGTACCGAGATAGATGCGAGGAGGAAGGAAAAAAAAAAAAGGACAGCTGGTTCATAGACCAAACTGCTGACCAGGGACAGACCAAACGATGAGCAGGGGCACACGGCGCATGATCCACACACACTATTAATAACGACCTGCCACGGGGATCAGATATCTCAACTTAAGGGAAGCCAGTCGCTGCTTCCCTTCACCTGGGATCCCACACGGTGACGCAAACAGACACGTTAGCAGCCGAGCGGGAGCGTGCGTGCCGCGCTTGGCTGCATGCTGTCAACATTAGCTCGGCGCAGGCAGTTAGCTAACGTCCGGCTCCGCGTAGCGGTTAGCAGCGGGCTAAGCTAACGCGAGCGGACGGGCGGGGACGCGGTGCACAGGTTCAACACATACTTAGAGAGGGTGCGCTTGACGTGACAGAGACGAGCAACTAGAGCGATGCACACACGCACTCAATCTCCCTCACACTCACTCACCCTCTCCCTCCCTCACACTCACTCTCTCACACTCAGAGCCACTTTGACACAGCGGTGCTCCCTGTAGCGCGTGAACTTACCGTGTCCCCAGACGGGGCGGATGCGTGTTTATTAGGTGTGTACTGTGTCTGGAAGCTGTTAATTTGCTCTGCGTTAGTGTCTCGGAGGGGGGAGACGGAGGGAGGGGGGGGAGGGGTGGGTTCAGATAACTTTTTAAATAGTTTATACTCAGCAATGTATCAACGTCAACGCACTGCTGCCATCATAGGTGAGCCGAACGACGTCATCACGTAAAACAGACGACGTCACGTGCGCATGTAAGGGCGGCTGCGTTATCGGCGTCCTCCCTGTTCAGCGCTCCTGCTCCCCAGCTGAGGAAAGAACATCATTCGGTCGCTTTTTAATTTGTGTTTGAACAAGTTATTACATGCTTGGTCACAATTCAATTGTATTATCTATTATTACTTTTTTTTTTTTAATTCTAGACTTTTCAATGATTGGACCAGCCATCACACTTGTCTTAAAAAACTACAAAACGGGTGGGGGAAAGGATATGGTCGCCTAGGAACAAGATCACGATCATTGACAATAATTTATTTGAAATGAAAATTGACACAAATAACACAACTTTGCATTAAGATCAGTTTGACAAATTTGGCTCTTATTCCACATTAAACACATAAACGAGCTCTCTTTTACACTGGGTCAAATTGCTTATAAGACATTGTTGACCCTTTCAAACAAACAAAAACAACATGCATTGAAGCAAGTAGTCAAACACATACAGTACAATAGAAAAATACCTTAACATGCTTTGCTTGATAACGTTGATAACGTGTTGTTCAAGTTTAGTGTTGGAGTGCACCTAATCTGTATTAGTGTTCTGTGTACGGTTTCAATGAAACCTTTACAGTTGAGATGGAGCCAATAATCAAAAAGTCAGTCAGTTAGCTTCTGCACTAAAGCAGCAACTCATTTGTGTTCACATGCTCTAGGCTAATGTTCAGTCATCAGTAGTGGCATCACTTCTCATACCAGCTGAGGGTCGATTCCCTTTAGTAATATGCTTGATTTGATTGATCACAGCAAATGTGGTGCTGAAATATCGCGGACAGAAATATAATGAGTCGCTCATTCAATAACATTTCAAAGCAAAGACATTGTGTATCAAGTTGAAAAGCCAGGTGTTCGGACCCGAAGGTAACAATCAACCACAACGACCCACTGGGTCAGTGTAGTGTGAGAACTACAAACCCAGCTGTGTGCTCATGGAGTTCAGTCACTATAAATGTCCATTGGGGTTAAGACACCAGCACAGAGTAGCAGTGATCAAAAGGGGCCGTAGCTTTAAAATGAGACATTTTAAAATTCACCAAATCCTGTCAGAAAACTATGACTATGTCGGTCTGGAGCTCTGGTTGTTGTTCATATGTTCACATGATTGTAAAGCCACATTCCTAAAGAAGAAAAAAAAAGGTGTGAAAGCACACACTTTGTGTTGATACACAGACACATTAAATTGCATTGAATTGTTCATAAGTCATTCTTGATTAAATAAGTTAAATCAGAAACATGGTGTGTTGTAATAAAGTTGTGGGCACTCTCCCAAGGGTCTCCTCGGCCTTTAACAACAGACATGAAAGCAAGCAGCATCCGGATTTGCTCCTCGGCGGGTTAAGTGAGAGGGGAAATGTGGTCGGCTACAGTAAACAAAATCAACTCGTGTTGTGTGTGACAACAGGCCGAGTCCCCCACAGCTACGTAAAAACAAAAGTGCAAGTTACTTAGTGTCTCTCAGATAAGACGTTTCACTGGAGTAAGCGAATAGCTGGGTTACACGTGGAATGTGAAGGTCTGATAGGCGGCACAGTGGCTGTCTGGTGGCTGCTACACCTTCCACCAAACGCTACATTTGCCTCAGGCGGCCGAGTAGGCGGCCTCGTCGGAGTCCGGGTCCCTGGCGCTGTCCTCGCTGAGGGGCGAGAGACAGCTCACGTCGGCGATCCCCGACTCCTGGTCGCTGCCGTTGGAGATGTTGCCGTCGTGGGTCAGAAGGAGCAGGCTGCCCTCTGGCGCTTTGTGCTGACAGGGGCTGCTGGTGACGAAGCCCCCGGCGTAGTCCTGAGGGGTGTTGGCCAGCTCCATGTCACTACCGAGAGCCCACGCCGTGGGGCTCTTATCAAAGGCCACGGCTCCCCAGGTGACACCTCCCTCCTGCTCCAGCTGAGCAATTTTCTATTGTAAATTCAAGACATGAAGACTACAGTATTGAACATTTTCCAGGAACCAGGAAAAAAAGAAAAAAAACAAACATCTGTAGAATACAGAATTTTGAATGTATTTGTTTAGCCGTGCCCTACCCGTTGGTGTGAAGCCAGCTGATCCTCCAGCTGCTGCGTCTCCTCCTGGATGGCACTCAGATAATCCTCTGCCGACTGTCGAGGATGCATCCCTTGGTCAAAGCGGTTGTACAGCCCTCTCCAAGACCTGTTTGAATCATTTACTCTTCATATGGATTGCTTACAAAACTGTTTAATAGCCCAGACTGTGTAACTAGGGAACACAAGTGCATGCCAGGTAGGGGTCGTCGTGGCGCAGGGGTTAGAGAAGGTGTGCTGGGAAGCACAAGGTTGTTGGTTCGATTCCAGGCTGCCCCATGTTCCATGTCAAAGTGTCCCTGAGCAAGACACCTAACCCCTAATTGCTCCCCGGGCAAAAATGTGAAAAAGCCATGGGTTTAAAAGTGTAATGTAAGTCGCTTTGGATAAAAGCGTCTGCTAAATGACCTGTAATGTAATGTAAACATGGGACGGGTTGCCCCCGGTTGACGGGACGTACTTAAAGCAGTAGGGTGCAGTAGAGGGCCGGAGGAGCCCCTCGGTCTGCCTGTGGTCTGGTCGGTACAGAGGGTTCATGTAGTCGGCCTTGTTCTTCCACAGATAGCTCCACAGAGAGTGAGTCCTCTCACGCAATCTGCATGAAAGGCAACATGAAAGACAATGTCAAATAAAGTTTGATGAAATTAATTGGTTGATTTGAACCAGCCGGCTTTGATTTCAGCACAGTCACTTCTATTTGCATAAAACTGGGCCTCTCTGGTTGACAACTCTGGCTGTCACCTACAGTCTCTGACAAGATGTCTGCTCTGTGAAAAGGAAAACAAATCTCACCCCAGCGCTATCCTCTCTCGCTGATTGTTGCCAATGAAGTTGCCGTACTGGCAGGAGTAGACGTGGCTGTGAATGGTGATGAGGAACCTCGCGTTGAACTCAAAGGCACAGGGGAACTGCTCCATGATCTGCCAGGCGCACTCCAGGAACTGATCGATGACGGGGGACATCTCCTTGGGGTCTCCCACCAGGTGGTTGCATCTGGAGAGGAAGAGAGGACGGCTCGAGAGCTCTGAAAATCATAGATGCTATGATAGAAAATTAAAAAAATAATTCTAATGGCAAACCTGTGAGAGAACTTGTGTCCAAATGAAATCCAGTCTTTCTCTATGAGAACCAGAGAGCAGAATAAAAACATCCATGTACTGAAACACAGATTCCTCTTCACAACATGTAGTAATTGAAAACACAGAAAGGGTAAAAGGTTGGTTATCTACCATGAATCCTCTGAGGGTCCGGTAGTGAGGATCCAGCAGCACGCAGGCCACTGAACACACCTGAGCAGTGCGATCCCAACCGTCTGAACAGTGAACCAGTACACTGACCCCCTCCTCTGCAACAGCCTGCGTGTGCACACACACACACACACACACACACACAAATAAATACACCATCTGTGCATTGGCACAAAAATACCCTACTGTAATCAAAGGGTAAGTAGAACCATCCATATATATAACAAAGCAGAAAAACGATGTTCTCTCGTTAATGTGGGAACAACACCCGACGCGCCAGTGCTTCACGAAGGAATTTACCTCCTAACTCAAAACCCGAAAGGCCAAAGTGTTAAACGGATGTTCCTGACATGCAGGAGGACGAGGAATTTCTGCCCCGCTTTTCTGCTGATTTCCGTAGGAATACGCCAGAAAGTGCACAAATTGCATGATCAAAAACACTGCGTCGGCAATAGGTGATCACGTCGCGTCTCAAGTTTCTCTTCTCATCCGTTTCGAGGACACACAGCTCTGTTTAATTGATTGATCCATGCCAGGCCATAAATTGACTGTGTACATTTGTAGATATTTGACTGGTGGAGCCTGTGAGCATGTAAGTCAAATACGTGCGATGTTGGACGGAGACACCTGATTAAATCGTTCTTGGATGCCGTTGACTTGTGTGTTAGACTGATGGGTGTTCCTAGAGTGTTATCCCGCCACTTTATATTCGGGATGGAAGCCTGAAGGATGCACGAGTGTGTGTATCAGACGAGTGTCACACATCCAGGACACAACCACACACAAACACCTAAGCTAACATTGAGTGGCGCGGTGAGGCAGACAGCGGGGATCAACCTCCAGACTGACCTTAGCGATGAAGATGGCTGCATCCAAAACAGCTTTGATGTGCTTCAGCCAGCCTGAGCTCTCCAGACCTTCCAGGAAGTCTGACATGGAGGGGGAACGCAGCTCACACGCTGTAAGCACAACACAGCTGTCTCACTGGCAGGAAACAAGGCGCATACCTGATCATCGGCTATATTAAACCCCACGCCAACTTTCACATCACCGACAACAATTGGTAATAACATAACAAGGTCTGAGCAATAAATATTCATGTTCCCTACAGGATGAATCAGTAGGATTTTGGTGACACCCTTGACTTTTCCTCGAGACCTATAAGCAGGACAAATACCTACGACATGGATTGGCACCATCATTTTTTATACATATATTCATTGTTTCCAGATGATGATCCTAAGGACATTGGAGATACCTGAATGTACCTTTAGTGTCACCCCAAAGTTCATTCATGGTTTTGGGTTAAATGCCTAAGCAGCTACACAAAGAAGTGGTTATTTAGTGCAGACGCCCACGACCCCCTCATGATGAACTTCAATCACTATGGCGATTTCCTAGACTTTGCATCGGAATGCAATCCTGTGTAAACAAATACGTATGTGTTTTTAGCCCAAATACCAAAGAATGACACCAGCATCGACATCAGCCGCCGCTCTAATTCGTGCTGAGCGCTAATTAACAACAGTTAGGATGCGGATTCTTGCTAAACTACAACGGTGAACGCGAAGAAGACCAACCTGCTAAAAATCAACATGTGATGTTAGCATTGCCAGTTAGAAGTTAGCATTTAGCTTAGAAGAACCACTCAGCCTCAAGTAGGCGCTTGCATGGCCGTACACTCTATAACAATATATGAATGAAAGACCAAATCCACTCAAATAACAAATAACACGGGCAAAATTAAATATGGATCCATCTCTGCACCATTACTCTTCCTGCACGGTTTGTTTTTCTTGTAGAACTGTAGCCTACATTTCTTTTCCCCCCGGTCTTCAGGTTTCAACATAAATATTTCCAAGTTGACCGAGGGCCAGATCGACGTGAACCCGCTTCTCCTACGTTCCCATTTGATTCACTCAGGACAATTGCATGACGTTAAGTTGGTCATCAAGACACTTTTACCAACTGCTCGCTCTGTGCCCGAGGTGGCGTATTTCTGCGGACGCTGTATAGGCGTCGGTGGTTCATGGAGTAGAGAGGGTGTGCTGGGAACCGCAGGGTTGGCAGTTCAAACCCAGGCCGCTCCATGTCCCATGTTGAAGTGTCCCTGAGCGAGACATCTGTGCAAATGTAAACCGTGGTTTAAAATGCATCTTAGTTGCGTTGGATAAAAGCGCCAGCTAAACTATGTAGTAAGGCAGCGCTGTGAGGCCCCTAATAGGAGAGCAGGTGAATGGGTTCATTCCATCTTCAATAACCCTCGTAGGGCGGCGAGGGCGGGGTGGGGGGTGCTGAAAACTCAGTGAAGTGTGCGTTGGGGAAGACAGAGGGAGTTGGGCAGGCTCTCAGGGGCAGTTGCTGTCTCCTTTTTTTTTCTTTTTTAAAGACTTCCCTTGTGCTGCCAGAGGGCAAAGAGTTATCACAGCGGAGAACAGCTTTGACTTTTCAGACTTGAAATCACATCATTCTCACGCCCTGGGTCTCTCTTTGGGGGATAGGGTCCCGGATTGTCCACTCTGGGAAACCAAAATAGCTCAGAAATAAAATCCAGATGGATTCAAAGTCGTCCTAGGAGTACCCCTGCACAATACCCAGAAAATCTCCTGTGGGCTCATTAAAGGCCTGATAGCGGTCCAGTCCCGTCTGCATGAGTGCATATGAAAGCCACAGGGGTAGTATGGGGTCCCACTGCTCCATTCACGTGAACTAGCAGCGTACTTTAAAACCGCCAATGCCAGAAAGGAAATTTGTTATGCAAACGCCGATGTGATGGACCCTTCCTGCCACTGCTGTGCCCTGCAAACTCTTTCTACAGTCAATTCATCCAAAACCAGTGTGAGACATGATTGCAGTGAAATAATTACCCTCCAGCATCTTTTGCTGGCTGTTTCTCATGACATGGATGTTCTCGATGCCGATGAACTGGAATTTAATGTTGGAGTAGTTATCCTCGTTTTCGTAGCCTTTTCCTGCAGCTCGGTTGGCGATTGCATTCAGCTGGAAAGACATGAAATTCCTCTTATATAAAAAAAAAAAAAAAAACGCAGTGTGAAAATAAAGCCCACCTGAACACACAGCATAGTACTGCAAGACTTCCCCTGGGCACAAAAGGGCTCACCTTCGGCCTGGTGTCCACCACGTACATGAAGTCGCTGCGGGGATTGGACCTCAAGATGGCCTCAAGCATCTGTTCATCCTCCAGGCAGCGAGCGCTGAAGCCAGACAGCGGCTGGCTGCTGCGGCAGATGGCGGCCTGGGAGGAGGCAAGAGGCGCTCGGGCTTCATGTTTACTCGTCTAACATTTGGATTTCTTAAGATAATTAATACTCCGGGTCACATTCAAAACAAAAAACATCAAATATGCTAGAATGTGGGTGATGAAAAATTCCCATTAATCTCATTCCTTGCCATGTTCAATAGAACCCCCCCCCCCCCCCTTTTTTATTTAGTATCCACAAGGGAGAAGACCGTTGTGTGGCTCACAAACTCCAGTCGAGCCCCTTTGTACGTACTGGGCTCCACACGCTGGACCCTCAGCCCTGGGAAGCTGACCTCACACACATAAAGCACTCACAACTGTCCAGTCAAGGATTAATAGACGGGATTAGGAATGTTGAGAATTATTCCCCGATTCAGAAAACCGTAAGGACTTTAACTTTGACGGTAGCATGTAACGTTCTGATATTGACATTGATAGTGACAAGTGTTTAAATGTCACGGTAACAAACGTCCTTAGTATGTGACCGGTTCGCATTCCGTTTGTTTTATCCCGTAATAGTCGCATTTTTCAAATCAGTAAAAGCTGAAATGGGAAAAAGAAGAGACATCAGTGTTTTGCTCTGCATCTCCATGACATTCTTATAAGGCCCTTTAGCTCCCTGTGTTGTAGCACACGTGTTATTAGAAGAAAGCCCTCAACCTGCTTGACAATCTGTGCTAATTATAACAAAACCAATAAAGAAAGAATCTAGGGCTTCTTTAGAGCCATCCGAGCATCAGGAATTTCATGTATTTATTTATTGAAGGGCCGTCACGTACATCAGATGGAGAAAAAAAAATGAATGCAACTTACATGGTTTTCTTTGGAGTAGTACGATAGAGTAGGAAATCTGCCCCGGCTCCTGAACTTGGAGCTGCCCACTATGACCGGCGGCGTGGCCGACTGAGGCACGAACAGGTCAGCCGGGTACGTGTCGCTCACCTTTGAAAACAACACACCAGAAGGCTTGAGCTTCTGCCAGGGCCATATTAGGATAAAACAGAACAACTTGTCGTAGATGTCGGCTCCCTGACCTTGTAGTGTTGGTTGACAGGGGAGAGTTTCCACAGGGAGTTTGGCAGTCCCATTCTGCTGTAATCAGCCTTGAGGTCCAAAAAGTCCCATTCCCGCCGCCTCTCCTCCTCATCTACGTTGGGTTTGTAGGAGAAACAATACAGCTCCTCGCAACGCTCTGCAAGGCGCAACAGTTTCTGATCAAGTTTTGACACAAAAGATCAACAATTTGAAGTGTTGCGGAACGTAATTCCAAGATCACCACTGAACCAATAAACATGTAGTATTTATGTTCTTGCACACTTGAGTAATTACATCCCCAATGTGATCATTTCGATGCTGAAGTTCACCTGGCTGGGAGAGGCGCTGCAGGGACAGGTGGACGTCGTGGCACTCCCGCTCCCGAGGCACGACAAAGTGAAGAACCTGGAAGTTCTTGCAGCGAACGAGCAGAGAACATCCCGAGGCTGTGGCGGCTTGTTTCTCCACGCTGCACACCAAGCTGTGAAGCACCTGGTGGGACAGAGGAAGGCCGACGTGGAGCGCTTTAGTGCGCCTCCAATGCTGCATTGACTTTTGCGTGCAAAATGAATGGTGCCTGTACGGGAGGCCTTCTGACAACACCTCACCAAGAGACGAAAACATGGACTGTTTGTCCCAACTGGTTCATCTCTGGTGCTCACCCATGTTTCACTGCGCACCGCTGCTTCGTTCTCCACAAAGATGGTGTGCGTGGCCGTCAGGTAGAGGGTTCCCACCCTGCTTCTCCTTGGGGAGACTCTGTCAAGCAGCCTGACCTTCTCCACCTGGAAGAGGAAGAACAACCTCAAGCTGCCTCATCCTCACGTACTCATGTGTTCATCAGCGGGGACGAGGAATCACACACCCCGCCGTGTGATAGCAGCAGGAGGACTGTGACCGGCTACGTGGCCCACAGCGGCCCACGCAGCCTTTGAGTGCAGCGTTTTGCTTTATGAATGTTCTGCGTTGTAACTGCAGACACCGTGAACGCGCGTGATGGTTTGTGTTGCGATGACAACGGAGGAACAGGGCGGAAACTGGAGCTAATGACGGCGACCACGTCCGCAGTTTACCTTCGGTAGTCGGATGTGCTCCATCAGCGAGCTGGGAGACGAGCCGCCGCTTCCCGCGATCACTGGACCGGAACCCAACGCGACTACCGGAGACGCAACACGTGCACCGCAGCGTCGCGATATGCAGTCGGTTGACGTTAGCTCGAATGCTTACGGTCGCGCGCAGCTGCCATTGTATCGCGGCTTGTTAAAGGTCCAGATAAGCGGTGCGCCGCGGGGTCCTAAAGCCCTCCGCGGTCTGGCTGAGACCTGCGTGAAATGCCAAAGGGCGTTTGCGCCCGCTGCCTAAGTTAATGGTTATGTGTCAATAAGGTGGCTTAAAATTGATCTAACATGATGGTAACATTGGCGGTCCATGTGATGTGATGTAAATCCATTTTGCTATTGGATGATGACCTGTTAAGCATTGCTTTTGAGATGTGCCTCCATAGACGTGTGTATTGTCAGTAACACTCTACTATTAAAAATGCATTTTAAACCAAGCAGCTACGATAAGCACATCCTGTCATAACTTAAATAACGTAGATTAAAGATTCTCATCCTGTTGGTGACTGTTCTTGGCTTTATTTACTACAGCCCTTGGCATACCCATGAAAAGTCTAATAACTCTGTAATTACTTTATCTAGCTAGACAATGTTTTTTTCTTCCTGTCAGGATAAAGGGGAACTCCAGTGAGTGGTCTAAAAATCAATTTATATGCTATTGGTCCCCCCTGGAACATTATGGCTGGATTCAAATTGTCAAATTGCAACATGTATTTTGCTAACTGTTACATACATGATCTGGATCGGGCGGTCATTGCTGCCACAAGGAATTGTGGGATGGAATTATCTCCTTTCCTTTTGTAAAGGATAGTCTAGCGGTTCCTATGCTAAAGGAGTTAATTAAGGAAGCATTGAAGCTCCTTTCCTTAGCATTAGAGAATTCAAACAGCCACTAAGACTGCTTCCGGTTCATTTCACTCAGTTAGGAACCTTGCTAAGCCAATTTGACAATTCAAATGTTCTGGTTCTAGACCGGAAATTTGCTTAGGAAGGTTCCTAACTCCTCATGAATTCTCCTGACCATATTTCCTTGACCCCTTGACGTTTTCCACAGAGGTCAAGGAATAGTGGTTAGGAACAGATGTTAGTAGCTTATTTTTTGAATATTCGAATCTCCCTCCGGTTGGAAAACTAAGATGTATTCATTTTCACGCTAAAAATCGACAAATTAACTTCATATTTTTGTAGAATGATTTTGATAGACATGATTCAGGTGCTTGGTATTTGGTTTCCAATTATTCGGCAAGGTTTGTCTCAGAGAAAAGTTATGGGTATCAATCGTCAATATCAGCGCCGAAAGCTCTATTGATTTTCTGCCTCGTCTTCCGTATTAGCTTTTAGATTTGACCGATTGTTCAACTTTTGCATGGCCGTGTGTAAATTATTTGAAAGAATTTACATGAGATATTTTCTAACTCTGTTAGGGCTCGTTTCAATCGTGTTTGGAGCATGTTCAAACAGCTTCGATATCCTTGTATCTCAGACCCGATGTTTCCAGGTATGTGCTGCTTTGGCATTATTGGCATTACTACGTCTGTTTCTTGTCAAGGTATAAATATCGGTGTAATTATCGGCTGGACTCGATTCTGTGTCCAGAACGGGGACATTAGTAATCAACGGCCTGTTGCACTGTTGGCAGAATAAAAACAATCAAGGTAGTTAGTTAAACTAAGCAAAAGTGATTGACTTACTGACGCCTGACGGCCTTGTGGCTCACCCGCCTTGTATGAGGAACCGAAAAACGCTTGATTGTCCTTTGATTATAAAAAACAATTCAGTTCTGATAACATCACACGGATCAGATATCTCTGTTTGTATGAGCAATTCTATTATGTCAATTATACTAATTAAGACAATCCAGCCTTGATGACTGAACTGATTTTAAATTTGTTTAATGCACAGATCAAGTAGGTGTAATATATGTAATCATATAAAAGGCCTAAGCAAGATATGAAACAATAAGACTGATGCAGAGTGACAGTTTGAAACCAAATACTTATTTGGGGCGGGCAACTTGTGAAATCCCTCAGTTTTAGTCTAAGGCATGTTTTAGCATTCTCACTTCATATTCATATTATACACTCGGAGTAAAGTCAGACATGAACATAGCAGATTATATTCAAAGGGATTTGTTAGTTTGGCCAAATGTATACAAAAAATACATCCAATAATACAATACTTTATACTACTCTGAGCTGTGCTTTGACTCCATCCAAACTGCTTCCCAAATCATTAAAGTTATCTCCATTGCATTGGAATTCTATACAATTGCTGTTTTAGTTTTTTTGTTTCTCTACACAAAAAGATCTCAACTTTCTGTATGTACAAGGCTTGTCCTCTGACCTAGATAGAGACAGGAAATCACTTTTCGCAGAGAGAGGCAGTCTCCAATGACGATGAATACATCCATAGATAATACTCCACCTTCCTACCTAATAAAAAGAGTATTAAGTCAAACTAAGGACAGGTAATGTCCTCAGGCTTCATTCCCCAGACTGCTCTTAAAATGCAATATAAAGCGACTTTGTGTTGTTTCATTAGATTCAGCTTGTAAACCATCACTAAGGCTGGCCTCCTAAACAAAAGTCTAACCTATTTTTACAGTATGTTTGTACATTTTGTACACTCAATGCTGTGTTTTCTGTGATCCTGTCTTTTATTTAACTTTGTCACATCCAAATTGCATCTAAAGTATCTCTCGGCTCAAAAAATGCTGTTTTCAGGCTGGAAGTCACTCAGTCTCACTGCCTGCCTTATCAGTAATTGTTCACTCTAACATTTCCTGGCGACAGCGGTGTTAACTGGAGCGAACTGTGCTCAAGACAAACACCACTCAATATGTTGACCATATCCACGTTTTTGAAGCTGGGTCACTCAGCCATCGGAGAGCAAATGCATTCAATTGGCTTCACAGAATTAGCGCATGTCAACAACGAGACACGGTGAGCCAGTGACTCCTTTCTATCCTTTCCATGGTTACACTGACCTGTAAAACCAAAAGGAAGTACCCCTTTACTTAAAATGTCAGCGGAGCGTTTTCGCTGTATTTTTGTTATATGATAAATGTATTTTGGTTTATTTTGCACAGCAGACCAATGCGTGTGTCCTTTTAGGACAAGTACTTTAGTACTTGTGTCTCCTGCCCACCGTAAAGGAAGACAGTGGCATCAGCATGATAATGAACCCTGCAGCCAAGCTTTGGTGGGCACAGGGCCCTGATGTGTGACTGCTTGGCTGGATGGACAATCTGTCGGCTGTTGTCATGCCGGATTGCACGGCGTTCCTGGGCGCCAGCTGCCACCTTCCCACTGGGGTCTTTTGATCTGGTTTGAGCTGCTCTTGGTAGAAATAATCACTGCAGCAAACTTAACCCAGTTGTAAATTGCACGCAGTGTTTATGGAAAAATGTGCCTTTAAAAAAAAAAAAAAGAAGAAATTCCTCCGGGAGCTCAAGTGAAGTTGCCGTGGAGATGCCGAGCTCTTCGTGCTGCACCACAGCGAGCAGTTTGTTGTTGGTTTTGCAATGTTCACGGGTCCAATAGCTCAGGGAACATTGAGCAATACCTGATTCCATTAGGAGGACTTAACCTCCCCCCCACCCACCCACAGGTACTGTAGCTCGTCCACCCTCCGTTGACCAATCAGCAATCATGCTTTTAGCAGCACTTCTGTGGACAGCACTGGGTAAACACATGTGTCTGCCTCAATGTTTGTCCACGTCAGTTGCTTAACCATTTATCAGCAGCCAGTTAGCATCTGGACAGCTGGGATCTGGGTGTGTTAGAAATGACAAATACTGCCATCAAGAATCCTTCCTTTCTCTCTCTCTCTGTCCCGCTGTGTGTGTGTGTGTGTGTGTGAGAAGTTTTACTCCCCCAAAACCTCAGGCATGGAGGTGGAACACCCCTCGGACCCCAATCATTCCCTGGGGCCCCCTCCCCTCTTCCCCTCCTGCCTCCTCTACTCGTGGGACGTCCCTCTACTGGCGGCTGTGGGACTGGAGGCTGGAGTGTAGAAAGAGTGGATGAAGAAACAGTGTGCGCAGAGGGGCGGCGTGAAACTTCTGCTCAGTTCAGTTGGCCTTGAGTTGAGAGAAGCGCTGTAGCAGAGCTATTGAGAGGCAGCAGTTCACGGGGAGCAGTGGATCTAATTTGACATTTAGCTGCGCTGATCTTCTGTGCAAGCTGAAGGAGACACACTGACACTTTTGATTTTGCCATTTTTTCTAGTGTCGTAAAAACCAAACATCCGCGACGTGTCGGTCTGACCAGGTAAGTGCGCGCCTCTAATGAGATACACGGTTAGGTTTAGTCAGATTTGTTTCTGAACTGTTGTTGAGAAATTAAACATCATCCGGAGGACACGACCTCTGTTGAGGTCACTGTGCAATTTAGGTGATATATGCAGGTGATATATTACCCAAGTTTTGACGGCTGGAGGAAGAAATATGCCTGTGAAAGAATTGAAATTGGGTTTTTACGTGCATAAATCTGTTTTCGGACTTTGCAATCTTCACTTTTTCATTCACTGTGTCCTTGCAGATGCAGCCCACATTGTAATGTTAATAAGCTGTCACATCCAAAACTCATTTTCCACCACACTTAAATGGAGATCAATGCATTTCTGGACGGTCGTCAGTATTCATTTACAGTCAAGATGACCGAAATTCAGGTTCAAAGCAAAAGCTTCAAATCTTCAAATGAACGCTAGAAACTATTATTCCACGGGCACATTTCTTTCGCCAGCTGCCTCTTTGTAGGCATACACATGTGTTTTGCAGGATGCCCAGCAATCATGCTGAAAAGAGACATGTTTAGATAAAAGACGATAAAAAAACAAAAGCTACTTTGCGGTTTGATTTCTTTGTCCTCTTTTCCCCCGTGTAATTTGTAACGACAGATACTGGAATGTGTAGTGGTGCACAGTGGCCCCCCGATGAATGCAGCTCTTTGACTACTTAGATCTGCACCATAATCCCAAACAATGGATTTTAATGGGACATTTACTGTACAAACTTCACCAGGGGTTCCCATAATGTACGTCAGGGTTCAAAGGCTTAATAACCCTCTCAACGGCCCCCATCCCACCCTTGTTTCATTCTCACGTGTTATGCAACTTACTCTTTAGCATTCCTGTCGAGAGAACAAGCTGTCAAAGTCGCTCAAATAGCAAAAGGGACTGGAGTTCAAACTGTTGACGAACCTGACCTTTGCTTTCACAATTCAAATATTGATGCTGAGATAGTATCATGATTGGGTGAGATGAAATCATCTTTTCCATGTGTGCCACCGCCGAGGCCTTCATGCTGCGTGCACACGTACCCACCCGCGAGATTCAGCCAATCAAACGACGCACTCACACAGAGGATGACTTGCATTAAATACATTTTCAGGTTCGTGGCCTGGTTAGAAGTAAAACATCTGTAGCTCAGGGCGAGATTGGTTTAAATCTCTCTCTCCTCCTGATAGCAGGTGCCGACATGCTGGAGCAGGTTCTGTCATTCAGCCGCTCCCTGGTGCGCAGGAAAGTGGTGGACATGAGCAACCTGGAGGACTCGAAACTGTGCCGCTGCCTGGGAACCGTCGACCTCATCGCCCTGGGCGTTGGCAGCACTCTGGGCGCGGGGGTCTACGTCCTGGCCGGCGAGGTGGCTAAGGGAGACTCGGGCCCCAGCATAGTCATCTCCTTCTTAATTGCTGCCCTGGCCTCCGTCATGGCCGGCCTGTGTTACGCTGAGTTCGGCGCACGCGTCCCCAAGACCGGCTCTGCTTACCTCTACAGCTACGTGACCGTTGGAGAGATCTGGGCCTTCATCACCGGCTGGAACCTCATTCTCTCCTACGTGATAGGTGAGATAGTGACTGTCTTGGAATCACATGCTGTTTAAATGAAGATGCTGATTTGTTTCTGTGTTTATTTTGCTTTCTCACAGGTACCTCCTCAGTGGCCCGGGCTTGGAGTGGCACATTTGATGAAATGATAGGAGGACACATTGAGGTGTTCTGTAAGACCTACTTCAGCATGAACTCTCCTGGCCTGGCTCAGTACCCTGACTTCTTTGCCGTGTGCCTGATACTGTTGCTTTCTGGTAAGGCAGCAAACAAAGGCTGAAAAGTTGATTTGTTGCATCACAGGCTGGTGAGAAAGGACGAAAACCACTATTGGTCCTTTCCGTTCAACACATGCAAAAGTTTATGAGCCACCGCTGACATATTCCAATAAAGATATAGCACGGCATTGTGTGTGACGTGCCTAATGGGCAATGTGAGTGCACTGGGAGACCACAATTCCCCCCTGCTGTTTAAGAAAGTACCCGATCCTCCCACAAACACACAACCGCATGTCACTGACAAGCTTCAGCCCAGGTTCTATTGTTGCCAGTAGCAGTTGATGACTTGCAGAGATCTCCAAATTAGTTTCCCATGGTCAGATTATCGACAGTCCTGGGATTTGAAGTGGACATGATCCTCAGGCTAAAACCCAAACCGTGTACTCTATGTTCCATCCTTTGTCCTGCGAGTGCAACGATCATGTTGAGTCAGTGCAACCCAAAATCCACTAGTGGTTGATTGTCTTTAAGAACCACAAATGTGCAGACCTGAATATCTGCTCATCAAAACGAAACAAAACAAGATCAGATATATTTTGAAACAAATTCTGTCATGAATGAATTTATTTTGCAAACTTCTTCGTATTAACAGAGCTCAAACTAACTTTACCTGAAACGTGCAGTTATTTGAACGTGGTTTATGTAGTTCAATCACTTGGTCAAAAATGGCATCTGTCGAATTCACAAATATAGAAAGCATGTTAGCATGCTAACACACCAGGGTGCTTAACGTCAACGCGTCACAGTGCATCATTAGAATCCCACAGAACTGCACGCATTGTTGCAGACATTGAGTCTAATACGTCCATATCAAGTGGCTGTGCTTTTTGCAAAAATGTTTCTTATTAATAATTATGATGACACACATTGTGACTACTGGATATCAACATTCTTAACACGCATTCCACTTAAGGTCTCCTGTCGTTTGGCGTGAAGGAGTCGGCCTGGGTCAACAAAGTCTTCACTTCCGTCAACGTGCTCGTTCTCTTGTTCGTCATCGTCTCCGGCTTTGTCAAAGGAGACGCGCACAACTGGAAGATAACTGAGGAATCCCTTATAAATGCAACCATAGTTACAAGGTAATGTACCCGTCGCAGTGATGATTACAAAAAGGCCATGAATGCAAAAATGTCTGCTTAAAATTGCTGTGGAATACGCTTCAGGAACCTGTCGGCGACGGCCAATGTGAGCAGTGATTATGGAGTCGGGGGCTTCATGCCCTTCGGCTTCAGTGGCACCTTGGCTGGAGCCGCCACCTGCTTTTATGCGTTCGTTGGATTCGACTGCATCGCCACCACAGGTGAGCCGTCGATGGGTTGTGGATAAGAGTGACCACGTAGAAGTCACACGCATAACAGGTTATCGTGTGTGTGTGTGTGTGTGTGTGTGTGTGTGTGTGTGTGTGTGTGTGTGTGACAGGCGAGGAGGTGAAGAACCCCCAGAGAGCCATTCCCATCGGCATCGTGGTGTCACTGACTGTGTGTTTCTTGGCGTACTTTGGCGTGTCGGCCGCACTCACACTGATGATGCCCTACTACCTGCTGGACGAGAAGAGCCCTCTGCCCATGGCATTTGAATACGTAGGTTGGAGCCCGGCCAAATATGTGGTCGCTGCAGGATCACTGTGTGCCCTCTCCACAAGGTAACCACTACCATCCGCTTTCCTAAAAGTAGTCCAGGACACAATATCAATAGCTAGAGTAGACCTACGCATTTAGATGTTATTTGCAATACAACCATAAGTTGTGATTGATGTTTTATTTTATACATGGGGGAGAACTGGTTAAATGTCTGACCGCACATCTCAGTCTATCGGATTGATTCCTGGCGCTCAAGGGGACACCGTGGGTGCAGTGCTTGGTTCTCTCTGGTTTATGCCAACTGCATGTTTTTGTAATGTATTCAATAATTACAATTTCCTTTAAAAAAAAAGATGGGCTGGTTTGGCTATAAGCGATATAGTGGTGTGACTTAATTCGGTCTTTCTTCCCTGACGGGTACGTCAACGCTGCAATTGGTGCTCTCAAAACGGAGAAAAAAAACAACTAAAATATACGTTGCAACATGACATCATAACATTTGACTGTCAGAAAACATTATTGGAATGACGTTTACCCATGAAAGCAGATACAATATTGTATTCCATTGATTTAAGTACATTTAAATACAAATGAATGACGCATGTGAGACGTGCCAACAGGAAAGAAAGACACTAGTTTACTCCATAAAGGTACAGTTCACTCCAAAATTGTATAAACAAGTTTTTCCCCCTATGGACATAGACATGACGTCTCTCTTTGATTGACTTTGTGGAGAACTGTCCCTTTACGCATGCTCTGGAGCTTTGATGATGTGACTGTTGGTGTTGATGTGTTTCTCTGTGTTTGGGGCTTTTGACTAACGTGTTGGTCTTGCATGTCTCTGCCGTCTACTGCAGTCTGCTGGGCTCCATTTTCCCCATGCCTCGTGTAATCTATGCTATGGCACAGGATGGGGTGCTTTTCAAAGTCTTAGCCCGAATCAATCCTAAGACGAAGACCCCACTTATTGCCACTATGACCTCCGGTGTAGTAGCAGGTGAGAGCCGGGGAGAGTCCATTGAGATAACTCATGCTAATCTTTCTCCACCAATCAAATGTGAAAGAGACACAAATACACAGAAAATCATTTGGCTCTATTCTACCGGAGACATACACACACTTCAACCTCCCTAATCAAATACATTTTTAGGGAGGATTCCCCTCCACACACATGTTGTTCTTTCACAGTTGTGCAGGTGTCTTGTCTTCTTTCCCAGAATTCCACCAACTTAACCGCGACCCCTCTTTTCCCTAGCCTGTTGGGCTCCATGTTCCCTCTGCCGCGCATTCTCTTTGCCATGGCACGAGATGGTATTCTATTCAAATTTATGTCCAGAGTGAGTAAGCGGCAGTCTCCTGTGGCTGCCACCATGGCGGCAGGTACCACCGCGGGTAAGCTCCCGGGACAAGGACTGTGGTGGGGTTGTATGGTGACGTTTTTTGGGAGATTGTATCGATGCACGAGGTGACTGCATGTTTACACTTAGTGAGGGTGTTTCCAAAAGCACGTGAGGAAACATTACACACTTAGTGACGGTTGTAATTGAATGGAAATCCTTTTTGTTCACCACTTTAGTCCATGACACCAGAAAGGCGTTGCTCAAAGCCAGGAAAGGATCCGGCATATAACACAGAGTAAAACTACTATATCAGTGTTTTCCTTCAGATCAGTCATATTTTGCTCATTCGGCATGTTTCCATGAAGCTAGATTAGTAAGAAGCTGGTGTAATAAGTTATGCAAGCCTTCCAAACAATAAAGAGATTAGAACCAGGACAGAAACAAGGCAGCTTGGCCTTCCAGCCCATCGGCAACAGAAAAATGGAGTGATTTTACAGGATTTTACCCTGATTTAAGACAAGCATTTTTACGAATATGCTTGAAGGCAAACCTTGTAGATCATTGCAATGTAAATAATTGCTTCAGAATTACTTCACCAAAGTTTGTTCCATAGTCCAATTCAGGCAGTCTTATCAAATGTTGTTGTTTACACGCAGCTTTTCTAATGCAATCATTCTTCATGCACTTAATAAGATCTGAATGGAAACACGTCTACTACGTTATATTGTTACAGTAACAACATAGTCGGTTAGCTCAGCTCAGCACAAAGACGGCAACAAAGGCGCTGACCTTAAAGTTGATTGACCTTGTAAAGTGGCAGGCATATGTGATCTCTGGGAAGGAACCCAGCACACAGGCCGTGTAAAGCGCCTCCGGTAGACCCGGGTAGGGGAGCTTTCTTTGTTACAGCTTTCTCTATTTGCTTTGATATAATGTTGCGGGGTGCAGTGGACACACCGCCACTCTGTGTTTATACTGTGCTGCTGAGATCAGCTCCATACTGGAGTCTGGTGCTGAGCTACAAGAGAAGGATCGCACATCAAACGGCACACGGCACTGAGATGATTCCAGCTGCAAGACTGGGGAACCATCTAGGTCTTAATGAAAACATGTCTGCATGAGGTTTAATTGCCATCTGTTCACGTGTGCATCTGGTGGATTGGGCATCTAAAGAAAAACAGCTTTTCAAATGATGGTTTAAAGGATTATTGTCGGTATGAAGGTTTAATGTATTTTGTGATTTGTTTATTTTTGCCTGCTGTAGCCATCATGGCTTTCCTGTTTGACCTCAAAGCGTTGGTGGACATGATGTCCATCGGAACCCTGCTGGCCTACTCGCTTGTTGCCGTTTGTGTCCTGATTCTCAGGTGGGTACATTTGTAAATAACTAGGTCCTGTTATTTTTGAAACATTGTGAAACAACGATACTTTTAGCTTTTCTACAAACCCACAGGTACAAATACATTTGCCTCATTTTGTTGCATCACTCTGGTGAGAACTCTCAATGCTCCCTTTGTGCGCATGTGAAGTAGCTGCTTGAGCGAATAAAGGTGTTTACTCGGGCTCCTTGTACTTTTAAACCCTGGACACGCTGTACACCTTTGCTGGTTGAACCGGGGTGACTCACCACAGCAGCGTTTAACGCGGGCAAAGTGTTTGTTCGCTGTACAGGCCACAGTTGTGCATGCAAAACCAACGCACATTTCACAATTCAATAGTATGGCTGTATAAAAACAGACCCCTGACCTTTAATATCTGACTCTGCTGTCGTCCAGGTACCAGCCAGATGGACCTCTAGAGAAGCGGGCCGGCGAGAGGGACTACCTGTCCTCTGAGGCGGGAGAGTCGGACCTGACGGAGTCCGAGTCCCACCTGAACATGCTGAAAGGCGGCAGCTCCAACCTCCAGGCCGTCCTGCACCCTCCAGCCTCCCCCTCTGAGTATTCCTCCAGTGTTGTCAACATGACCGTCTGTGTGCTCGGTAAGCAGATTGGGTCTTTTTCCTTTTTCCATGATGTGACAAAAGTTATTAGAATTAAGGGTGTGTGTGTGTGTGTGTGTGTTTTCAAAACCACAGTGCTGGTCGTGTGCGGGGTCAGCTACCTCACAACGTATCACATCTACTCCATCCTGTGCATGGAAGTGTGGATTGTGGCGCTCCTGACCGTGTGCCTCCTCGTCTTCAGCGGCTGCGTGGCCATGGTGTGCAGGCAGCCCCAGACCACCAAGAAGGTCTCCTTCATGGTTCGTGGCGGCTCAATGAACGGAGAGGCTCCATGCCGAGTCTCGCCTTATATGAGGAGGCGCATTCCGTACAAATACATAGATGAGTTGTTTTGCTTGTTTTTGTCACAGGTTCCCCTTCTGCCTTTTCTGCCCATTCTGAGCATTTTTGTGAATATTTACCTGATGGTTCAGCTCAGCGGAGATACCTGGATACGTTTCTCTGTGTGGATGGCCGTGGGTGAGTGGCCCATTGTTGACATTTAAAGGAGTAATTTTTTCACTTGAGAAGATCAAAACTACTTTCACTTGCATGTTAAAGACAAAGCTAGATTAGCTACGGTTAGCTTAATCGAGCGGGAAAACAGCTAAGCTAAAATGAAGCTTCCTATTTAGAAAACAGGTAATGAAAGCCAACATTTCCCCATAAACGTTTTCATTTTCCAACGTTTTATATGTATTCTTTCCAAGGTTTTGCAATTTACTTCGGCTACGGCATGTGGCACAGCGAGGAGCGCCAGCGTAAACTACGGGGTCCCGTCAACGGCTGCGGCACCGGCAAACACGGCAAGACCGGCGGGGAGAAGCAGGCCGGCGGGGACGGGGCGGGAAAAGACCGGGAGGGTTTCATCTGCCCAGAAAAGACCAGCCAGTGTTGAAGTGACAGACTCTGGGAGGAGACGGATGCATGAAAGCACACAGCAGCTCTGCCTCGATGCACGTCAGAACGGGGATCACGATGCGGGCGGCATTGGACTCAGAATTAAGAGGACAGGTAACACACTGGAGGGTGATGTCCGTTTCCTTTAACGCTGAAGCAGTCAGTGCGAGACTGCAGCCGAGCCTTTCTCTCTCATTATTGACTTTTTATTTTCTGTCATTATTTACACTTTAAGCAGGTTTGTACGTTGTTTTGTTAAATGTGAACTTTTGGGAATCTGCGTTGATCTGTTTACTCCTTCAGTGTATTATTAAGATTATAGAAGCAGCAATAATGTACTACTATTAAAAGTAATGTTAGTTTGTGGTAGAAGGACACATTTTTCTTTCTTTAGGTCAAAGTTATGCTGTCAATCCACACATAGATTTACGTAAAGCATTTAGATGCACGTGGGTCCTTTTTTCACATTTATTTTGGTCTTTCTTCAGGGACTAATGTCTGTGTGGCTTCACAACCGCGTTGAAGAGACTTTTTGTGGCAAACAAGATTAAGATTCAATGCTTTCATTCTTTTCTCTGGGCTTTCAGAGGGAATCCTCTCAGGCTCAGTGAGCTTTAGTCAACAGTAGGAACTTTGGGATGTTGGTGATGTAGGTGGACCGTAACAATTCTCAGCCTCAATGGAAACCAGCAAAATATGTTCACTTTTGATATTTCTTGCATCGTGCGTGCGTCAGAGCTGCAGATGCTATGGGGCATTTTTTTGTCTTTGGGGTGAAACTACTAAGGAGTTTCACCTACTAAGGTGACTAAGGAGTCTCGTGGAGTCTTTAAGCTAGACAGAAAGTTATTTGCTTTTTGGTTTAGTTTCTGTAACAAAGCTTTTTTTTTCCTTTTGTGTCACATTTTCATTTTAAGCTGACGTTGTATCTTGATTACTTAAATTACTAAAAATGGCAAACATGTTTTCATTTTCGGCGACCAAAATAGATGAGGCCTGGTTGCCAACCGGGCAATGCTTTTAAAAGTGAAGGTTTGAAATGAATGTGGAAGAAATGAGGAAGCTCGTCTTAGCAGTTTGTAGGTATTCTAGGATACTGAACCTTTACATCAGCAGTGTAGAGTCTTCCAGTGAGGTCACAGGGTACAAGTACCCTCAATGTCATGATACAGTATCACATTTTACTAGCAAGTACAATAAATGTATTTTCCATTAAGACCAAGTTTGGTGTTTTATTTTCTTTGTTTGATCACTGCTTCATTTATGATGTAGATGACGCCCCCATGTGGCCATTTATCCATAACATTTGGTTCAGTCCAAAGTATTACTTTCGCCGGAACTAGTTGTCAAGTCCGTTACTCAAGTAAAGTTGTCTCTAACTGCCAATCATATTGACTTTAAGTACTATCAACAAATATCGCAGCGCAATCAGCCACACTCACAATGAAATATATCAACTCAATCATTTTAAGTAAGCCTAGTGTACCAAAACACCATCTAGTGGCATATTACTCACAACACAAATCAAATACATGGCTCTTACATGCATACTATCATACAGTATGCCAGAAATATATTAAGTATATCCCAATATGTAGAATGTCAAAAGCAATATGCTCTGCTACATCCGGTGGCAAATTGGCAGTCTGTAAACCAGCACTCTTCTCTGGATGTTCAACCCCTCTGCACAGTGAATGTATGAGAGAGAGGGTCAAAGTTCAAAGTGCCAAGTTCTGAGGAAGTATCTGTCCCATTGTAATGCCCACTGTATTACTACACAGGCCACAGCCTGAACTGGAAGTATATCACTAAAAGCACGAGGAAACTAATGCATGTTGAAACTTTGCCTCATGTTCTGGTCAGACATAGTGAGATGATCCAGGGTCCGTCATCAACCTTTAAAGTACGTTTACTGCGCATGAAGCAAGGCTTTCCTTCTAACATGATTTCCGCTCAGGCCCAGCAGATGGCTCCAGAACTTGGACTAACGCTCTCCCGGTCTGAGCAGAGGGAGTAAACAGAAAAGGCTTTGAGCTTATTTTCCCCCTTTCTCTCATTCCGTGAGGATGGAGCTGGATATCTAGACAGAACAGCCGGAGCCTACAGAGTTCCTACTGAGCCCCCAAATCAAGACCACATCAAGACTCCCCGACTCTGTCTGTCACAGCAGAGCACAGCATGAAGCTCTGGGTTGTGCTTTGCATGGCGCTGCTCTGGGTGGAGCTCCAAAACGGTGAGTGAGGTCTCCACATCTGTCGGAAAGCAGAAAAGACTGTTCTTCTACTCACGAGAATTTGGAAGTGTTACCCGGAGGTACAGGGAGGATTAGATAATCTGAGGTTGTGGGGTTCTGTGATTGGGCATAGAAACGGAGGTGGATTCACAAAGACCTTGATCAACACATTTCTCCAAACAGTTTGATTCTCCTCAGGCGCAAACGGCAACCAATCTCCTCAATTTGAATTGTATTTAATGCATACATGTTCTAAACCTTTGCCTACGAGTTGTGAGGAGTTTATGCAAAGTATTTCTGAGGACCAAGTCAAACCAGCTGCCTTTGAGGCGCACAGCAGGCGTTTCTAATTAACCCGCGTTCACCGCAAACCTCTGCTAGGAGTTCACATTTCACAATTCTGCACGGACAACATTTTTGTCCTGCGATTGGTCGTTAATGGCTTGTGTGTTCTGTGGCGCAGCAGAACGAGGCTCCTGGATTCTGGACATTTTGTGCCAGTAACGAGGATTTCACGCTTCCTGTTCAACTGTTGTTTTCCCCCCCCCAGTTGTGACACAGCTGGAGAGAAGCTCTCTGCCAGGACAGTCGGTCAAGAAATAAGGCACAAAGCACAGCGGCAGCCGACTTTGTGACTTCTCTTCATCGCTCCTGCCGCTAACTCATCCTCCTCCCTCCGCGCGTCCAGGTGCCTGCCAGCAGGTCAAGCGGAGAAAAGATGTCGGAGAGAACCGCATACGCCCGGGGGGGAAGCGGTTCAAGGCGCGGCCGACCAAACCAAAAGACGGAGGAGTGAAAGTCCAGTCCCTGCTGACCCAGGTGCTAGATAAGGGCCGCTTTCTGCGCCTGGGCCCGAGCATCACCATGACCCCCGGGAGGAGCATGGAGCTGCGCTGCAAAGGCAATTCCATCGGATGGTCGTACCCGGCCTACCTGGACACCTTCAATGACTCGCGCCTCAGGTGCGTCGGGGCCATTCGGTTGTGCCATAAGGGGAGGCGAGAATCAGAATCTCATACGTAGGGGTTGTTTTCTTCGTTTCCCGCCTCCAGCATCAAGCCCAGCGACAAGTACAGCCAGCTGATCCTGACATCGCCCTCTGCTGCCGACACGGGGCCCTACAGCTGCTGGGTGATCGTGTGTGACGGCCCGGAGTGCGAGAGGGACCACGATCGCACCTACGCCTCATACATCTATTTCACGGGTGAGGCACACTGAGCTCCACGCATTCTAAAAGGTAGAAATAAGAGATTGTTACAAAGAGCACGCATTTGTTATCATTTATAAGATCAGTGGAAACATCTGATGGGTCCATCAAACCCGCTTTTTTGTTTTTATTCAAGTATATTTTTAGTAAGCGACTCCAACGTCACGTGACACCTGTCCCTCTACACCACATGTGTCAAACTCGTGTTGTTGTTTTTTCATATCGACTGGCCCACGCTTGATCAAACTTGAAACCGAACGTGAAATGAGTTTGACACCGCTGCTGTACACAGACAAAGACAACTTCTTCGTCCCCTCGCCCGTCCACTTTGAGATTGTGTACCTGCGTCCGGACCGGCCCGCCGTGGTGCCGTGCCGCGTGACCAACCCGCAGGCCAAGGTGTCCCTGCACAGAGAAGTCCCTCCGGAGGAGATCCTAGCCAACGGGACGCAGCTGACCTACGACCCCACCAAAGGGTTTGTCCTGCAGAACCCCAGCCCGGAGCACCAGGGGGTCTTCTACTGCCGGGCCGTGACCAAAGGCACCCCTCAGATCTCCAGCAAGTACCAGCTGCTCTACGTGGAGGGTGAGGAGTCACTCTGGGTTTAACCGCCAACGACAGAAACTATTTGTATAGCTGTATTGTTAAAAAGTCTTTTTTGCTTATTACGTTGTAGCCGTGTAAAGCTTCTATCGCTACTCTACGGCGAGCTTAGTTCATGTGGAAACAATATAGATTTTGCAAATGGGAGGAGAAAGGAATATTTATGGAATGGGAATTGTGTGGGTAGGTTTTGGGTGAAATTAAGCTCCTGTAAAACATCAGACTGGCAGAGAGAAGCGGACTTGAAATGGTGATGGAAGTACAACTGGTTACATACCACTCAGCTTTCACAAATCATTGTAACCTTTTTGTTTTCTTGTCACCAGTGCCGAGTGGGCCACCGTTTGTGAGTCTTGACGCCTCTCCAAAGTCAGTGGGAGGAGGAGACAGCATCAATGTCACTTGCACGGTGTTGGGGGAGCCAGAGGTGGACGTGAGCTTCACCTGGTTTTATCCTGGTCAGGTAAGTAAAGAATGGGGAGACCGGATTTAGGACAAAGACCGTCAGCAACCTGCTTTTTCACATGTTGGTTTGGTTCAATTGTCCATCTAGAGAATGTTTTACACGGTTAGAAGGGTTATTAATAACGGTCATAATAAGAACACGTTCTAAACTGGAGGGAAACGTTTTAGGTGTTGATAAAGCGTGGGGATATTTGTGATTAAACCAACCGTTTTAAATCATGTATCACTCCATTTCTGGCCGACGATTCTTACCTAAGAAGTCAAATAGCAATAAAAAGTGTTTGTTTTGTGAAGGGCCGTCGCCCGGTTCACATCCAGACTTCCTGGAGGCTGGTGGACAGAGGAATGAGCCACACCACGCGGATCACCCGCAGCGTCTTGACTCTGGAAGACATGGAGACAATTGACTTTGGAAACTACATCTGCAAAGCCAAGAACCAGAACGGGGAGACCATCGTAGCGACCACCATTGTCTCAAAATAGCCTCGGCAACGGGGCCCGTTGCTGAGATGTACCTGGAATACAGCAGCAACAGAGAGGAAATAGACACGTATAGACGGACAAATGGGTGTTTTTAGATTGCACATTGTGATAACATTAAGGATTTGCTACATTCTCAGACTGGACCTTTCCTGTGTGTTTGCAGCTGATGGGCTGACATGACTGTACATGTCTGCATTAAAAAAAAAAAAAAGAATTATGCATGAGGTCAAACAGAAGTGTTTAGAATGTTTTACTCATTTGAGAGGATGATATGGAGGACAATGAGCCCACATATGAATGCAATGGGTCTGAAGGAGTGCAGCGCTTGGGGACGTTTGACAACATGCTTCATGCGCTGCAGGTTTCAGAGCTCATCTTAACTCTGCAACATTCGAATGGAGACGCATTAGAAACAATAGCAGCGGCCATCGGACACTCGCTGCCGCTGTGCAGCATGTTGTCAAAGAGCAAGCGGAAAATCTGGTTTAGAACTGAGCGGGTGGCAGGACGGCGTCCTAATGTGCTCCAGATGAGGAATGTGGTCTGCAGCCACACAACGCATTCTGGTCCAATGCAACACTTGCTGCAGTTTTCCACTTTGCTGAGTAGTTACTTTGTTGTTTTGATTTTGGAATAAGCTTCAGCTTCAAATAAAAAGCAAGGATATTTGATATTCCTGAGTTCTAGGGAAAGTGTATTAAATCGACCCTTAATCTGCCGCATCATAGATCAGTTACACAGCTCGACTTTATAACAATACTTTATTTGCATATTTCAAAAAGAGTCAAGACACAAAAAACATTTCTGGACAAATGTCGGCGACATTGCAGTGTCTCGGGAAGCGTACGAGCAGAGGCTGTAGGCTGCGTCTCTAAAGCTGCATTACGAGGGTTCAGTACGGGGTGATTACCAAGACGCAAACACATGCAAAGACCCGGATTGGTCCCTTGGTCAAACAAAACACACGTGGAACACAAAGCAGGTTTGAGGCAGCAGATTATACTTAATCTGACAAGATAGGTGTAACAAAAAGAAAAAAATAACCTTAACCATTAAAAAAAAAAAAAAAAAACCTCAAAAAATATTCTGAACAAAGATTGAGAGCTGCACAGCTCTGGTGTACTGCGGAGCAGCGGGACGCGAGTGACGTGACCATTTGAATATCACTCTTAAAGCGAACTGGAGAGAAATGGAGGAATAAACAGGAGAAATTCCATATTTCATGCACATTTTGAATAAAATGCGCCCTGAGTGGCGGCAAAGTCATCCGTATTCACAGTTACTCTGAATTTAGACTTTCAATGGCTGTGACAACAAGGGCTGAATCGCACGTGCTGACATTAGTGGGTCTCTTACGGCATGTACTCTGTGTGCGATTAGCTTCAGGGCAGACAAGTCTGTCAACAAACAATAACAATAGTGTATCATAACTTAGAAGTCCTGAGATTTCCTTCACCCCCCTCTATAGTACCAGACGTGAAAGGAAGAAAAACAAGGCAACCTTGTTTATTAAGTGCATCTGTGCAACTATTTTAAATTTCTTTCTTTTTTTTTTTTTTTAAACTGTCTGTACAAAAAGTGTCAGAGTTCATCCAGTCCTGAAGGGGCCAAAGTCAGGCTGTGGTGTTGGTAAGCAAACAGGAAACAAACATGGCTTTTAATTCCAGAAGGGAAAAGTTTCTTGGAAGCAAGGGACCATCATTATCTGGGCGAGACCGAGGGGCTGGATAACGCGCCTGGGCTGTGAGGAGACTGAAGGCTGAAGGACTGGGAGGTGGAGGTAGAGGTAGAGGACACTTTGCGGGGGCTACTGAGGTCTCCATTTTGCAGCTTCCATATCAGCTCCTCGTTCTCCATGGACAGACGCTTGTTCACCATGGTCTCCTTCTGGAGGGACTCGTGCAGCACCGCCTGCTCCGTCGACAGCTGCCTGTGATGCAACCACACAACGGGTCAGAAAGCCTCTGGATGCGGCTTCAAAGTCAAATCAAAGCACTTGTATTTTGTACTCTTGTTCATGTTTCTCTGCACACTTTCAGCTCCCTCAGTGAAATGTCTGGTGTTCATACAGTGAACTCTTACCTTGACAGTGTATAATGTTTTTCCATTCGGGCTTTGAGGTCCTCATTCTCCTGCTGGACCTTCTTAAGGCTTTCATCCAACTTCACATTTTTCTCGGTCTGGAAAACATTGAAAGGAACAACACATGAATCACTCATTGGAGCGTTGCTCGTTTTGATGCCAGGCAATCATGACCACCTGCCTCAAGTCTCACCAGTGTCGCTATCTCCATCATCTTCTTCTCCTGCATGTGCAGCTGTTTGTTTTTGATATCCAGTACCACCTTGAGGCTCTCCAGCTCCTGTTCCAGATACAGCGTGTGGGAGTCCTTCTGAGGGGACAACTGACAAGAGCCAAGATGTTCAGGGACTGTCAACAACCTCAAAGAAGGAGTTCAGCCAGACTCGGAAAAGTCCTGTGGCCATAAATCCAGTATCACACTACAGAGGGCACCAACCATTACCAACAAATTCATCTAAAACAAATGCTGCGGGCTCACAGGAACCATGAAGCGGTGTACGAGCAGGCGTCTCACACAAGGAATGCAGGAAGGTGGTGTTTAACTACTCGTGGTCATTTTTAACAGGTGGCCGTACACCTGGGGCTGTTGCTCCTGCGGTTCTATTAATAGCCGTTGTGAAGTGGCGAGGTAACGTGAGGTGGTTCCCTTAATGACGCCGCTGTGCCAGGGCAGATCGCTGAGTACCTGTGGAAGCCACTTAACACTGACAGCAGCACTCAGGGGAAATTAAAATCTACAGTGTGGCCAGAGAGGCAGAGTGCTGAGTTTCAACACTTGAACCGGTTCACACCATTTTACGCGGTAAAGAACGGATATAGAGCACCTTTCTTCATACAACATGTAGTGTTTGTTGGTAGCTACTCTCTTGTAATCATTGTCTTAATGGTTTTGCAAACACTGGAGTCATGAGATGTTTCTCAAGTGGAGCCGTGCTATAAAAAGGAAGAAAGATAAGAGTACCTGGCTCTTTTCGTGCAGCGGTTGCCTCCTGTTCTCTACCACAGCTAACTTCTCAATCAGAGCATTGTTCTCCACAGTGAGCTCTTCGATCCGTCCCTGTGGATGTGCACGCCGCAGCAGAGTATCAGAGTGAGGCTTTCATACACTCGATCATCAGTTCAGAAGTTAACCCTCACATGCTATTGTTTGTGTGAATTTCTTGGATGAAAGGAAAAACAAAAGTCAAGCTTACAGATAGAGCGGCTCCTGTCTCTGCAAGAGCTTTTTCCAGAGACTGCAGCTCCTGGTTGTGGTCTTTGCTGAGCTCTTAAGAGTTTTAAGATAATCATAAGAATTATTTCAGATAACTTAAACCACATAAACAAATATATTTACAATTTCAGGTGCATTATAAAAATGCATGCACTTATAGTAGAATATTCAGTTAAAATACACTTAAAGCTTTAAAAACAATAATAAAATACAACTTTTTAGAGTAGAAAAGCATCATTAATTTAGTCACATGCTGTTCTCTCACCTTTCAGTGACATGTCATACTGCTGTCTAACAGACTGCAGCTGTTCTGCATGGCTGCTCCCTAGTTCCAGCTTCATGGCTTCATGATTGGCTTTAAGCTCTTCCAACTTCAAGAACAGAAAGGCATTACAAAGCACCAAGTTACATTAGGATTAGGTTACAATTTTACCTTTCTCCTGAAGAAAAACCAAGTTGAAACAAACCAACATGATTGAACATGACACAATATCGAGTCCCTCCGCAGAGCTTTACATCTAATTAATACGAGTCGCTGAATAATATCAGGCCATGGTGAACCTTTTATACCCTACAAGTATCCTGTTACAATCATTCCATACCAATTTGAGCATCCTTGCACTTTTATCTCCATTTCATCGTTGTTTTGGTTTCAAATTACATACATTTTAACATTTTACAGAGTAGTTCAACTTTGTTGCCCTATTGTTTATTTTTTATTAAAATTGTGTATGTGTGTTGAGAGCAACAAAAAAAGCTGAAGTGAACTTTATACATTACTGATACAGATTCCAAATATTACAAAGGGGAGTAGGGACCAACCTGCTGCTGCATGAGAGTCTTGCACTTGTCGGTCTCCTCCTGGTAGATGAGGTGGACTTTGTCCCACTCAGCCTGGTAGAAGGCCTGAAGTCTCTGTTCCAGCTCGACCATGTCGTTGCGGTGTTTCTCCTGTAGTTTGTGCAGTGCTTCCTGCAGAGCAACACGCAGCTCATCCTTCTCCTGCTCCAGGCGTTCAGATGAATGGACGGAGCAGACTGGAGACACAGCATAAAGACTTTCACCACATCTTGGTTAAAAGGTGCCAGGACATTTGCATGGTGTGCAGCGGTGTAGACTGCATTACTCATCATAATACGGATAGATGAAATGCAGCGTTGTGATTGGTTGAGAGTGAGTCACGGGGGGTACATTATTGAGCGATAATGTACAGTTGCTGTTCACACCGGCCCTTAGCGTTCACTGCTCACTCAAACAGGTTTAATTTTGCGCGACCGTTAGTTGACATTTTAGCTTTTAGCTCGCTGGCGATTGCCAAAAACCCCTGGAAATCCCACAAATGATCGGTTTGATTGGTTCCGGGCAAAGTAAGGTTTCGCAACCAGACAGTTATGGTGGACGTCATGAGCGATGTGAATGAATGAGATACGGGACCTGATGCAGTTTATATGCACGTACGGGGACTACTTTTTCTCTAGACTACTGAAATGAGATACACAACGTTTGATGGCTACAACTATTTCGTGCTGAAAGGCAGCTATTTACTTACTAATTTCGCTGGTAACCGTATTATAAAAGCAATAATGTACTTGAGGCTGTACTTTATCTGCAATAATGTAACAGTTGAAGGGTTGCCGACCTAACAAAGCCCCTGAACTGTTACATTATTGGACAATAAAGTACAGCCTCTTGTACCTTATTGCTTTATTAAATAGGCCAGAGGAAATCTTTTATGTAACTGCTTGTGTAAGAAATGCAATATGGGAAATGGAAGAAACAGTTTCGCAAAGTTCTCCCTCGGTGCAAATGTGCGACACAACTGGGCTCCAAAGAGGAATGGAAAATCTGACTTTCAAGGGGAGGTTGCTGTTGCACTTGAGTGCATATGCTAACTACACTGCAGTTATTTATAGGCAGATGAGGATATGGTAACAAATTGTCTTAGAATTCTTCACAATATCTAGAAATCAGTAATTAAGTAACTAAGTAATTAAGATTTCTTAAATCAGGTTTGTTCCCGCCACAGCTGCTAATTTGCCATTTGGAAATGTGTGCAATTGGTGGCTTTTGTTCAGTAAATCAGTCTTACTAATCCCCCCCAACTATTTATATATCTGCTCTGGAGTGGGTGACAGTGACCACCTCCACAACCCGTCTCCAGCTGAAGTGGTTGTGCACAGACTGTTTGGACCAGCGAGCCCATGGGAGCGTCTGGTGTGCAGAGAGAAAGACAGCGGCGCAGAACAAGAACCTCTGCGGACACGTTGAGCCGGTGATTCTCCTTCAAACACTTGGTATCAAATACAGGTTTTGCACATATGAGGATTGCCACGTTAGCCAAGAGAGCCACAGGTTGTATTTCACGCCTTTACTGATTAACACATCTGAATCTGAATGGAGGGTTGTAATTTTAGTTGTGTTGAACCACTTTGTCGGATAATAGATTAATAGTAATAGATACATTTTGTGTTCCTGATGCTGTCTGGATGCAGATAAAGTTCCAGTCCATTTTTCACAGATAAGTGACAGTATAAACACTGCATGAGCATGAAGATTTGCCTTTCCAAGAGTGGAAGAACAGCAGCAGACACAGGAACAGAGGCCAAGCTCACACAGGGACCATCTATCAGGCTTTGGCATGTAAAGCTCAAACGGAGCCCAGCACTCCACAACCATGTGTGATAGATATCGTATGAGACATTCTTGTCAAAACCACCCTCGCAAAAACACCTCATGGCTCAGAGGAGGGAAGCTGCATTCTGGAAAACTGTCAGCAGGGTGATGGTGTTACAGATCGTGCAGATCCCAATCATTTTAAGTGTGATGGATGATGAAAAGGGGTGTGGTTGTAGCACAAGTTTGGTTGTGGGCCAAAGCCGTAATTTAAGGCTGTATGCGGAGTGAGATCACTGTGGAAGCGTCACAGTCTGAGGAATTTAACTAAAAGAAAATCTATTAGAAAGTTACTGGACTTCAAAACATCTTTCACTACACACAAATACCAACGGGCCATAGGAGGCCGGTGTAGGTTTCACAGCCTCCCCGACGTGAAGAATGTGGTAAAGCACAGATATAATGGCGCTCAGCACATAAGAGCAGTCATGTGGAAGTCCCGAGGTCGTGAGGGAGGGGAGGAGCCAACACTTCTGCTGCCTCGTGCAGGATAGATGAAAGCTGGTGAGTGAGAGTGTATTGGGAGCGCGCAAGTGTCTGTACATACAAGTCCACTGTGTGCGACAGCGCATAGGCTGGACAGAAAGCGCAGGTCACTGAGACTTCACAAGGCCTCAGCTGGCGCTGCATTCCACCACTGCGAGCCCCTCCTGTGTGGGGTCAGAGGTCAGCCTTCCACTCCCCAGGGAACAGGCTCACCAGTCTACTCAGCAACACTTAAACACACATGACAGCCGAGGACGAAGCAATCAACGGGCAGAGGAAGAACCACAGAGGATATCTATCTGGTCGGCAAAAGCAAACAGGAGTGAGACCTCCTCTGCAAACAAAGAGTCATATTTCATTCATGGGAGCTACTTTGCCGTACTACCTACCTCAAATAAGAATACATCATGATGACTTAAAATAGAGATTACATTGATCTGCATGAATGAGAGTACAGAGAAGTGTGCAATGCGGTGGGAGACTAAGTTTGTATAATGAGTCACATGAAGCTCAAACTTAAAGCACCAATAAATTAGATCAATAACTGAAAGACATCCCAGCATCAAAATCAGGGAACCGAGCAGACCAACAGATAGTCATGATGAAAAGAAAAATTAGAATAGTAAAAGGGCAACGTGAAGCGGACCCGGCAGTGTGCTTTGGCGATAACAACTTTAACGTGGGCGGCGTGAGACCAAGGTGACTTACCCAGTTCTCCTCGAAGGCTGGCCAGCTCCTGGCACAGGTCGCTGCTCTGCTTTGCTGCTTCATCACGCTGCAGAAAGAAAAACAAATATTAACAGTCATACACACGCTCACGAAGAGGTCAATGAAACGTTGTGAGCCGTTATTACCCCAAACAAACAATATCAGCTTGAATATAAATATATACAAATCCAGTTATTCACTATTAGAGCTCTGCCACGGCAACACCCTTGACACATAACCATCTAATTGAACAGTCTTTCCTTCCAGGATATTGTGGTGGAAAGCAAATATATCTGCTGCACCACAAGAGCAGGTGAAGGAGATTAAGGAAAAACAAAGAGTCGTCTGGTGTTTTCAGTCTGTGCACTTGCTTTTTGTCAGCCAAACTCTTTTACTTCTCCCCGTCTGACTCAGTTTTGCAGTAAAGAGGCTGTAGCTGCAGTGCTCAAAAAGAATCAAAACTGACGCATTCAAATACTGTCCAAAAACAGTTTACCTCTCTTGTAATGCCCTGTCCTGACTATGCAAGTCACATAAACATCCCGACACACTAGACAGCACATCGCACAGCCTACATAATTAAATCATGGAGCCGAGACATAATAGCCGAGCAAGACAAGTGGAAGAGGACTTCACTGCTCAGGCTACAAAAGATATATAGCCCAGCCGGTCATTCCAGAACCCGGATCTGCAGCTATTCCTCAGTGCAGAGTGGAAAATGTAGAAGCCAGTTACCCTCTGTGCAGCGCAGGGCGCACTAAGGCACGCTCTGCTGCCAGAACAGCCCATGATCCAGCCACAGCCTGAGGCTTGCTAGCTGGAGTCTCCCTCTCCGGCTACAGAGATCCAGTACTACGGGACAAACAGTGGTCCAGGTGGACACACCGCCTCCACACACCTCCTCCTCCTAGACTGCTCCGACTACATCTGAGGCAGGACTGGAAAGAGCCGCTCTGCTGGCTGAGCAGAGTGACTGCAGAGTGCACTACCGTATTACTCCTAAAAACAAACACCAAAAGGGGGCCGGCCGGCTACAGCGCGCACAAGAAGAGCCTCCTCATCAGCGGGGCGAGGTCGCTTTAAGCCGGCACTCAAGCCAGCCGGAGAGGAGCAAATGGATAAATTGTGCTGTCTGACATCAGGCTGATGGGAGCAGGACGTGTGCCGAGCAGCGACCTTCCCGGGGGGATACATTACCACCATCCCCCCACCTCGCATCCAAACCTACATTCAATCATCTGCTCAGCCCTCTGCATCACTAACGTACACTGCAGGGCTGCAATCTATACCAGATAACCTCTCCTGTGTGAGGACAAGTCATTAGAGTAAAGTATTAAGAGATCATCTTACCAACCAAGTCGGTAAAGCCTGTTAAAGCGTAAGGGACATCTATTTGGGTGGGAGGAGTAGACGTGTATCAATATGCCACCATGTCAGTGATAGAATACACTTGATGGCAGACGAAGATCCATGACTCAAATCAAGTAATTTCTTTTTGAGAATATCAGAAAGCAGATTGAATTATCTCGAGACTATAAATCATTGAACTGTTTCTTTGGGGGGGGGGGATGCACATACATTCCTATGCTGCATGGTTGAATCAGCTATTGCCCTCTGAAAGAAGGCATGTCGAACCGCTCACACACACCATCTAAAAGATAACCGACCTCGGCCCTCACTTAGTGTTTGGCTGCGGTTTGTAACCATATCAGGTCCACAGCTGGATCTCACACCATGAAGGGGAGGACCTGCCTCCTATTCATGGGCTGATGAACTGCATCACACTCCAACACACCAGGGAACAAATACCTTCCAATCTTGTTTCACTGTATTGATTTTTTTTAGATTAAATGCAAGTAAGGTTTGTGAGAGACATTTTCCACTGGAATCTGTTTCAGTGGGATGAAACAAGCATGTTTTGTTTTTAGTACGTTTCACACCCCTGCGATCCAGACAGAGACACAAGTCCAACATCTGCACACAAAACATGCCTTCAACACATAGGAGGGAATCTCAACAGATTTTTCACTAGCTTTGTTTTTTTATTCACCATATATCAGTCAGTACTCTCCACACTCTATCTCAAAAAATGAGTATGGAGTGGAATGAGAACGCAGGTTACAACATGTAGAAATGTTGGTTTGGAGGCCTGCTAAACCCCCGGAGGAGCAAATGACATTTCACTGCATCAACGAAATACCTGTATGTCTTCATCTATTGGCAGCAGCAATAAAAAAAAAAAAGAAAGAAAAGTAATGGCAGAAGCTTACGGAGGCACAGCTGCAACTATACAGAGCCCTGCCATGAGGAATCTGTCTGGTGTCAAACTCTGGAGCAAGGCAGTAAAGTGAGTTGCTGTAATCCAGGCCAAAGGAAATACGTGCATGAGTGACTCTTTATTACGATGGAGACAAGTGTGGTTTATTTTTCTGAAATAGTTCTCTGCTGCAGAGCTCACATGCACAACTAGATTAACACGTTTGTTCAATTCTTGTAAACGTCCCCCTTGTTTCCAGCCCACATGTTTCATGTTAGAAGCGAAGATTCTCCATTTGTCCTTTCCTCCAGAGATCCTGGCTCTCAGTAAGTCGCCCATTGCTTTATATTTACTTCGGAACAAGCCACTTTTCACTTCATGGCAACAACGAACCAGAAAGGGAAACTAGCAACAAGTATTTGATCCCTTTAACAATCTCATACATGTGCAATTCATGGATATGGCCTCATCTCTGCGTGCTGATTGATGTGTCAGAGGAGCAGCAACAATATCAGATATGGTCCGGGGGCAAGTTCATAGCGGCCTCTACAAGAAAGTCCTAGCAGACTTGATGTCTGTACATTGTGCCACTGAATCAGGCCTCAACTGTCTCAGTCTTGGACATTAAAAAAAAAAGCTGAATTGAATTATATATCTACACCAACTCTCTCGGCGCTGTCATTCGCTCGCATGGCTTCTCCTACCACAGCTATGCCGATGATACCAAACTAATTCCCTCCTTCCCTCACTCGGACACCCAGGCGGCAGCGCGGATCTCTGCCTGTCTGACAGCTCTCAGTGGATGTCCGCTGGGACAACACGATCCTGTAGATACACGCTCTACAACATCAGGAGAATACTGGTTTGCAGAAATTACACTTTCTTGTTTCTTGTTCTTCTGAGTTTGTATCCCTGTGGTTGAAATGCACTTATTGTCGCTTTGGATAAAAGCGTCTGCTAAATGACATGTAATATTTCTTAAAATATACAAAACTATCTTGGTGTTCAGATGTTTAACACTAGTGGATGAAACAACATTGTTAAACACGGGTAATGACTGGTAGAGGAAATCTCAATTATATTATGGGTCCCCCTGGACATCAGTCATCAGTATTTGTTTTAGCAACATGTAAAAGTGCCTGGTGTATCAGCTAAATCTTTGTGAATTAAGATCAAATAAAACAATTTACTAATTTGTATTATCAGACTTTACACCAATTTCATAATTCACTCATTACACTGTAGATTCTGACTAAATTTACTTTACACAAGAACCAAATAATAAATAACGTCTACCCACGGGAGGAGAGGAATGCTGTAGATTCATATCTTTGGGCACACAGTTCTTGGGAAAAAAGATCCAAAACAAACAGTAAGTTTAAAATTCCATATTTTAACAGCTGTCAGTCTCATGCTGGGCTGCCTGACGGACCCATGAATCTATGACAAGTACAACTGAACGCAAAGATGGAGAAGCGTTCAGATGTACAGAATAAGAGCAGCTCTTCCGTTGAACAAAATCTTCTGCTAAAATTAAGAGAAATTCTTAAACTAAGAAAATTTTCTCTTTGATCAAGGAGTGCTCTGCTTGTTCATCGGGTGACAACAACATGGCTGTTTTGTGTTAGACAGCTTCCAAGCAGGTCTGTTTACAGCCCTCATACTCGTTCATCACCGCCATGCTTCTGCTGTAAATACACATGCCATTTGGTCCGCCGTGCCACAACACCGAATTCGATGTTCAACACAGTCATAATATATTCAGACTTTGTGTGTACTAAACCAAAACATCCTGAATGTATCTGACATAATAAACATCTCAGCTTTCCATAAAATAAAACGCATATGCATTCATGATAGATTATGTTTACTGGCGGCAAATATGCAATACCGATATACAAACGCATGTATCAGTAATTAAAATACCTTCCGGTCATAACTAAAATGTAAATACCTCAGCCAAAGTTCGCTGCAAGACGATGGCGATGGCCTGAAATCTGCGGTTGCTGGCTGCCAGGAGTGCCGTGAGCTGCTGGAGGCTTTGGTCCTTCTCGGCCCCCTCGGCGACACTCGCTGGCACCACATCCGGAGGTCCACTGCGCTGGCTCGGTTGGGGCGCTTGCTGCTGGGGCGCCTGCTGGCGGGAGGTGGCCTTGGGTTTGCTCTTGTCCACTGTGAAAGAACACGTGTCGAGTGTCGTGACAACGTTGATCATCATGATAAAGCCCCCCACTCCACAGCCGGTCAGGCAGCAGCACCCATCCTATACACTGCTGTCGGGTCACAGAAGCAATGTGAAAGCCTGGGATATTTCTGCTGTGAGGAATGGTTCTGCCCAATCAGCCCATCGGATGAATCCCAGTGCTGCTCATGTGACAGACTCGACGTAAAAATGGATCCCCTAAATGCAATTAGCTTTCTATGTCCTAATTCATTCTAGTGCTGTGCAGACACTGGTCACCCAGGACAACTTATTTTAGCGAGGCCATGCTACAGTAGCTTTGATTTACATCAGCTCTATAAATGCATCACTGCCGTAATAGCGACCATCAATCCTGCTAATGAACATTTTGTCTCTGTGCAACATGAGGCATCAGAACAGAGGGGCTGCCTCCCTTCTAGGGTTAAAGTTGACAAGAGGGAAGGAAAGGACATCGGTGAGTTTCTTTAAAAAAGGCAGTTTGTTTACAAGACTGGAATGAGCGTTATGTAACACGGCAGTGAGAACAGCATGAGCAGTATGGGGAATACGTGGGGCTCATGGTACCACCAGTGACCTGCGGGGATGCTCACTCCGCTTAGATCACTGAAATATAACACGGACATTGCAAGTACATTTCTAAAAGTAAATCGCAGTGTTTAAATCTACAACAAAAAAGGTATGCGACAGACTCCACTAAAGTGCATGTCCCTAATACTATGTAGGCACAACTGCAGTTTGAGTGTTATTATAATGATTCCCTTTATGACCCCCAAGATCTGCAGCACGTTCAAGCTAAATTTAGATGCACTAAACAGGGTCCATCCCAGAATAACCCTCGCCTCCAACTGTGATGATGCGTGCATCGAGATGCCTTTCAAAATAAGACCACACAGTATCTATTGGGGGTGAGGAGAATGTATTTAATGTAACCAGAGGAAATATTTTCCATGCCTACTTTACACATCTGATCTGATCTAGCAGAGCAGCTAGTCTCGGCTCAATGGGGTCAACAGAATACTGCAGAGAGAACAGCACCCCAGGCTGGCAGGATCAACACTGTGGTGACGGAACATTAACCACAACAACCTACGTGAGAATAAAAAAAGCTAGATCCTTTTCATCTGAATAATTCGATTCTGCATTCACACCAGAGGGTTGAGTTCACACAGCTGTGAGGAAACTAGTTTCTTAGAGGCCTCAGAGCAAAAGTCAACTGTTGACCAACAAAACACACCTCAGCAGACCAGCTGAATCCTTTTCTGTGTTTTGGCCTCTGATGCTCCAACCTGCTGAACATTGTCATGTTCTTGAGCGTGTGAGAATTCATTTCAGACTACACTTGAAACAAAGATGGCAGGAAAATGCATAATGAAGTTAGAAAGAGCTAGCGAAAATAATGTTCTCGTCTTTCAGAATAAGTAGATAAAAACAAGCCCAAAGAGTATTTAATGGTTAGAATTTTAATCGTTTCGAGGATACATATTCTGTATGCGCTTATCATACATGTGTGTCTAAACATGTGTATATGACCATATAGACCAAGGAGTTTGAATATGTGTGTGTGAATCTGTATGTACGTATTATTCATAAGACATTTAATTAATTGAAGTGAAACATAGAACATACAGAAGTATCTAAAGCGCAAAATAGTTCATAAAGATATTCAGCTGATTTGATCTGCGCCGCAGCAGGTTCGAGTTTTGCTATGGTGACTTTCTTAAACTTGCTTCGTGGAACCGAAAAGCCTGATCTATGTAATCTTATCCGGCTAACTCAGCCACGTACAAAGAACGGGGCCCGGGAAATGTCAAAACAGACTAATCTTTTTTGATACAGAGCCGCACAAAATGAGTCAACGGTGATGCTCTGCTTTTGATACTTTGGATGTTGCAGTTCATAAAATCTACAAGGATGTTCTTAAATAATGTTGCACTCTGCTAGCTGTGCAAAGAGCACATGGTTAACACAAACAAACAGGCCAGCAGAACAAGCTCAGGCTGTTGAGTTACAGCAGTATGGCTGTACATCATCAAATTGCGGAAGAATCAGAATTAAGCACATCGGGGGATGTGTATTTCAGTAGTGAGATCAACACCTTATATCAAGTGCATTACAGAGGAATCTAGACTGGGCTGTGGGTGCTGCACAAAAGGTTGATTAAAAACAGACTCCATCAATAGAAAGGCTCATTATGGTTATTGGCAGGGATGGCAATATTGGTCAGCTTTTTATTTTTTCTAATCTAAAAAATAAATAAATAAATAAAAATAATTCGGGACACTTAGTTGCCTAATAATAGTTCACACAGCCAAAACATCCCATTTACTTTCTTAAATATTGAGGTTTAACAATTTGAATTGACTGAAAGCACTGTAGTTGTTAAATAATAAAAATGTATCCTCAAAAATACAACTTTCCTGATAATTGTGTGTGTGTGCGAGATTGAAATAGACAGACTGTAGGCATGTTCGCTGATGGCATATATGTGTGTGTATTTCCCCCCCCAGCTAAGATCTTGGGCTTGTTTCAAAGATTAGCAGTGGACATTATGCAACACATTATTTTGGTGGTGCGATCAGAGAGTTGCATATTGAATCACCTCAAATTTACATCTGATCAGCAGAGTTTAAGCAAGAATCCTACATTCCCTCTAAGGGCTGCCTTGTATTAGGTCTCATACGTAGTTACAAAATATCTAGGAGTTAGAATCATCTCATTTTATCTGTTATTTTACAGCGTTTAACTTAAATGTGGCTTTTGTTCTCTATTAACACAAATAGTTTAATTTAACTTTACATAAGCACATCGCTCATCTCTCCCTTCGACTGCAGTTTCATGGCAACAGAGGAGCTGCAGCCATTTTTATCAAAGTGTCTGAACATAGAGCCGATGACACATGTTGCCCTCGTTTTGAACCATTTTGACATGTGCCCTGCTGCTATAAAGACACAGCACACTGCAGGATGGGTGACTCCCACAATCAGGCACTTGTTATGGTGGTTCGTTGACAATAAACAATACACAATACACGTCATCACTGGAACATTCACTGGAGCCTTGTCCAAAATAAATGGATAAATAAACCTATTGTAACTGTCATTATTTACTGAAACCTTTAAATTATGTAAAACTATGATCATAATTGGTGATAACTAAAAGGTTTTTTAATGTGGGCGTCACAGGAGAGAACCGTCTTCCCACAATCCTGTTCAAGAGGGTTCAACCTAGAGACCAAGAACCAATATAACTTTGCTATATCTCAGGGTGAAACAAGATAACTCGATATTCCAGTGAGCAGGCACATTATCATATAATAAGGGGTCATCAAAAATAAGTCATTCTGAAAATACTATTTAACATTTTATGTTTGTTTAAAAATAACTATTGCTGAATTTAATATTAGTTTAATACAGTATTTCTGCTAAGGTTTGCGTGTTTTGGTGACCACGGTGGATAAATGAATGATGAACCTCATGCTCTGCCAACGAGTAAACAGCCATCTTAAAAAAAAATAGATTTCAGCCGCAGCTCACTGTACAGATCTAAATGTGTAAATGTAAAGAAACAAACACTGGTAGGATTAGTTTGATATTATAGCAAAGAGGAGCAACAACCCCACGTCGAAAGAAGAAATAACAAGACAGACCTGCGTGGAAAACCATAGTGTTCTTCCTGCATCCTGACAGCAGCTGGATGTTTCGGAGTAAACCTTTAGCGGTCAGACGCACGTGGATGTTCGACAGGGAGAGCTTTGGGGACCATAACATCTCTCCAAAACAAAGAAAGATGGCCAATGGTTTTAGCCAACAATACGTAAAAAGAAAACAGAAATACAGTTTCCAAATGCAGAGGCTTGATGCGGACTACGAACCACATGCCATTGTGCGTCTCATTTATCGTGCCTCAGATGAAGCAGACCAGACATAAAAAAATACAAAAAAAATGTATAATAAGAGTTACAGCACTGAAACCGCTCTGAAAAAAGCACAAGACACCTTGTTCAGCATGGCAGGTCTCTCAACTCAAAATCAAAATCCAAGCTGTGGAGGCTGGAAAACACGGAAGGTTAAAGGCTTGCCAGTGGTTTCTGGCACATCCAAATAGATGCAGTAGGGGCTGGGAAAAACATAAAAATCCCTTAATCCTCTTGGTAAAGCCCGGCTTCAGCTTAGGGACCATACACAGCAGAGCAAAGCAGCATCTCCAAGCATAATGATGGCGGTGCTGTGGCAGAGCCAGGATGCTCGGGAGAGAGAGGGGGTGGGGTGGGAGGAGCAAACAGCACATAAGCAGCCAATGGGAATTCAAGTTCATTCCCCTCACTCGTCCGCTCTCTTACACTCCTTGTGTCATAGGCAGTGGAATGGCAAGACATAACAGACGTACATGTGTTTGTCTAATGAGCCGAGCGTGGCTGGCGCACCTCTCTGAGACAATTGTTTTCTGCCAAAGTAGAAGCTTAACCACGCTGTAAAAACCTTTTAAAAGACAGGACGCAAGAGGAGCCTGAAAGGAGCTGCGGAGAGCAACACAACGGAGCACATTTCACTGCTGTAAACATGTTTCTCACAGGAATGAGCAGCATTCAAATACCTAGATGTATCCATTTGTAAGAGTAGCAGTAGTTTCAGCTGAGAACAACTCTCTGGATACAAGACACAGCGGCGATATACGCTTGTCCTTCTCCTTTATAGTGAGGTTCTCTCATTAAAACCGTGAAGCTGCATTATTTAAATGAGTTAATAAACATATTATGGTCACCTTAAATTATTGATGTTCATTTAGAGCAGTATTGTTTTTTTAGGCTTATTTGCCACCTTTTCCTTTGCCTCACAGGATACATACAGGAGGGAAAAAAAAGACAAGTCCAACTTTTGAAACATCAAGGCAGTGAAGGTTCTTTGAATCAATTAAAATACGTTAGCCTTAATATATTAGGTCTCTAGGAAGAAAGCTAAACATATTGGCACAATACCAATTATGGGGCTTATCCTGCATTCCTATTATGTTGGGATGCCAAATCATATTGTCAAAAAAGCCCATCTAAACTCAGCTGGTACACATAGGGTTGCAAACGGGCAGAACATTTCCGCAAACTTTCACTGAGGAAGTTAAGCGCGGGAATATTACCATTCTTTCTTTGCAGATTTATGAGTAAAAGCACAGGTGACTTAGTTTTTGTCGAGAACAAAACTACGCAAGCCTAGCTGGAAATGTAGAAACGTTTGCATGCATGTCACACATATGACAAGGTAAATACAATTAAATTACCCCAACATTTCTAGTTTATTCCCATGGAAAGCTTCCAACTTTGAATATTCCTGGAATGCATCGCAAAGTACACATAAAAAAAATAAAGGTAAATACAATTGAACTCTTACCTTGTGCACTTGAAGTGAGACGAAGAAGTCTTGCAGAAGTTCTTTTCAGAGGACTGATTAAAGATCCTTTGCTGATGAGAGCAGCAGGTTTGCATGCTGTGGCCAAAGCTGTAACAAGCAGAAGATCCAGGTGAGACCAGCGGCTGGAGTTAATCTGACCCATAACGGAGCACTCACTACCGAACACAAGCGCTGACAGCTTTTAAGCTGGAAATGGTTTGCGCAAACATAATTTGACGGAAAAGCTAAGATAAGGCTAAATGTAATTCAATCAAGATCAAACGGCCCTCGTCTAGTGTGATTACGACACAAAATAAACAACACTCTGTAGTAACAATAGCCTTTTGAGTTTAGTCACATTCAACACAAGTCAGATTTAATAGGGACATTTCCTTATCATAGTGTGTTAGGAATGCAACAATCAATGCGATATTACTCACTTTAACAATACAACAGGGAGTTAAAAAATGGACTTAAATTGCATCAAAGTTTCAGCTCAATGGCTTCAACATTAAAGGAGAGGGGAAAACAAATTTGAAAAGTCTGAAATGTAAAATAATGTGAGTTTATGTAGAGATGTATTCTCACATGGCCCAGTGTTTTTCCCAGGGGTTGTGAGGAGTCTAGCTTTCAGTACAGTTTTGAAAGGGGATGGCTTATGTGGAGGTCTTCCAGAACCTCGAGAAGCAGAGAAGATAGAGAAGCACTGGTTAAATACTACAAATCACCAAAATAAATTCACTGGGCACATTCATATCCCTTTGCTTTCAAATGTAGTACTGCTGTAATCAACACAGAAATGTCAGTCAACTTGTGTTGTGAACAGACCACAATGAGCAAAGAGTGCAACAAGGCTGAGGAAACTATTCTTTGTTATTTTAAGGATGGGCCCCAATGTAATATTTTAGGTAAACGACAATGATCAATCAGATTGATGATGGGTAATGCCACTCCAACTAATAAGAGTAGCTTTACCTAAGCAGAGTAAATATGAGATAAAATATATAAATTACAGAAGGAAATTCTCGCATGTAAAACATAAATTCAGGTCCTCTGAAATAAACTGATGACAATCTCCAGAAGCTCTTTCAATTGAACACATCTCCATGAACAATGACCATCTTCCAGTCTCACTTACTTTTCCAAAGCGTTCTATCGTTTCTGTTAAGCGCAGCTAACAAAGGGAGGATGCAAAAACGATAGGATCCAATGAGCAGGCATGTCAGGAGGGTGAGATCAAAGTTGGATGCTGCACTGCGCTGTGCTAATAAAGAGGAGCTGTTGACAACATTGGATGAAAATTCAGTCCAAGTGCAGCTTCGAAGTCCTGTGTATCCAGCCATTGGTTTTATCAAAAAGAAAGGGAAACTGCTGCTTTTCTCCACCTCAGACGCTGTAGTTTGTCTGCTCACTGTCCTCCAGGCAAACACGGCGCGTGAACTGGAGTGGAATCAAACCAGTAGCCATGACAACCACAAAGGGGGTCCCCAGTTCTTTTAGCCAATCATAGACCCGCCTGCTGTTCAGGATGCTCCGATTGAAGAGAGCCTGCTGTCTAACACGGCTCTGTATTTATACAACACACCAGTAAGAATATAAAATGCCATCAGAACCACCCAAAGCAACACAGAAAGATTTGCAGCCAGAGGACTAGAATTTAGCTCTTTCATGCAGATTTCAAAGTAAAGAAATCTGCAAAATGTCTGATGCAAAATCTAGTATATTGGCAAAAGTGGAGGTATTAAATGAGAGAGAGAGATTTGCCCAAGGGAGATTCACATCCAAGCCTGAAGTGGGTCACCATTAGGAACTGAGGCTCCTCCCTTCCATGTCCAGATTTGTTAAAAAGCTAAATAAACTCAGCGGCCGGACGATGAAACCCACCTCCATTAAACGGATTTTAAATCTTTATGTAATAGCCTTTAGGGAAAGAACATCTCATTTCTACAAACAATATAAACCCTTGTTAGGTTTACCTTGTGTACTTCCAGAGCCTCCACTCAGCACACTGGCCTCAGCAGGGGTCCCGGAGGGTCCCGGGGTCCTGCGTGGTAGTCTAGAAGGAGGAGTAGGGGGAGGGCCCATAAGGGAAGGCCGAGTGGGAGTCTGAGGAGGTCGGGATCCATGTAGCTGAGGCTTAATACTGGCTGTTGAGGCAGTTCCAAGGTACGACTCTCCTCCTTCCGGACCTCTCTGACTGCCTGTGACGCAACGAAGCAAAACATTAAGGTCAGCTCCATGAACGGGTTCATTAAGGACAAATACACATACTAATCTTACCAGCACGTTGGTCAAGAGTACACACACACACACACACACACACACACACACAGTAAAATTGTCCACAGAGCTCCCAGATTGGACCATTTCGGGCTTAATACAGGAGCCAATATTATTGTCATAACGAGTAGTAGCATAATGATCCGTTTTTGGACAAAGAAAGCTATAGAAAACAAATTATTTTTATGAAACCTCAATTTATGAAACCTTTAAATGATCCCCAGCAGCTTTCTTTAATATAGAAATTGTATAAAACTTACCTGCATGCATCTTAGTCACTACAGCTCATATGTCAAATACAATTCAACACAAAAAGAGAAAGATGGATTATGTTAAACAAAGTAATCTTGGTGAAGCGTTTCAGTAGCAGGCGCCTGAGAATGTGAATACTTTGTACTGTGCTGAACGTTGTCACTTTGACACTATTGGTGAGCTTGAAACCTCCCTTTCCTTCCCATGCGTTTTTTCCACTCATTCAGATGGCTTCCCAGTAGAGGAAGAGCCCCCTCCCTCCCTGGGACGCTTACTATGAAACGCAGAAGGGCAGAGGCTGTTTCTCCCCCCACACCCACCAAGACCTGGACAAGAGACCCGAGGTGACATCTGTATCCAACACTGTTCCTGTGGAACACGGCTGAGCTCATCAGGAGGGCAACAGTCGGTTTATCAGAGGAAGGAGAATGTCACCCTCTGATGGAGAGAATGCTTCACTACAACCTAAATCAGCTCAGTGTATGACAGCATATGCTCAGATGCAGCAACCTAAAATACATTTCTGAAATGATGGCAGCAATCTAGCGTTGTGTTTAGTAATCTGAGTATAAAGCCCTCGTATCATTGCTGTTGCTTAAGGAACTTGCAGCAGTCCTACATTGCCAATTACAGTCAGTCAACTTCTCTACCGGGCTTGTTTCAGGTACATGCAGCGTATTACACAACTCTTCGTTTACACAGCTGAGGAAATAGTTAAGAAATCATTAGCTCTCGGCCTGGTCAAAGGTAGGTCACAAGACCCATGAGGGCTGATTCTGAACTGTCAATCTTTATTTACGGGCATTGACAGGTCAACTTTCCCATTGTCTAACAAACAAATGGAAAACTTCAAAGTATAACCATAGTCTCAGGCTATGTGTATAAGTGTACCCAGTGTAATTTTTTTTTTTTTTAAGCAAAAAAAAAGAAAAGAAAAAAGGTACAGCATACGTTTGGACCACCAGCCACACAACATGGGGGTCTGATTAGATGTTTTAACATTCTCTTATTTGATGACGTATATTAGCCCAAACGTTGGACTCCAAATATTGGCCATATTAACATTATAAATTGTAACGTTTTTCCGCCATGAAATGCAGATTTTCATAAATTTGGTAAGAAATATCAACATGAACATAACCACGGATGCGTTTCACAAAGTTCTGTTATGACAGGCTCAGCTTAACTGGACGACAAAGAAAATGCAAAGCATGTTCAGCATTTGTTTGTTGAGTCTTACTGCTGCTCTTCTGCTTTGATTGTGGTGTCCCTCCAGCTTTGGAGGTCCTGTTCTCATCCCTCCATTGGGCCACCGGCCACCGCCTGGTTGACAGATTGGCTGCTCTGGGACTGGCAGCTGGAGGTTGTGAATGTGGTGTTCCCCTTGATTGTCTAGGAGACGTCAGTCCCCAAAATCTGCTCTTACTCTCATTCGAGGACATTTCTGCTGTTGTGGATTTGCTGGACTCTGCCTGCGAAAGGGAGCAATTTCTCACTCAGCTTTTTTGAATTATTCAGAGAACAAAACCCCCACAAGCTCCAACCAAATCTCTGTGTCCAAAATAGTTAGATAATTAGTTTGTTTACTTTATAAATCCATACTTACTACCAGGCTGATCCTCTTAACGTCTCTTGGTGAGATTTTAGACGGTGCATTTGTGGTCTCAGTCAGTTTATTCAGGGAAGAGCCGCTCAGGTTCCCTTTGGTCTGCCCCACGTGGATGTCAGACTGTCGAGATGACAATGATAAGCTGTCGGATGAACAGCGAGTCCGCATCTTCAGCACAGGAGGCTTGTGCTCGCCTGAAGCTGAGCCTGACCTGAGATCAAATTTGTTTAACAGGCCCTTTTTTGGAGTTGGTTTGGGATCTGTTTGGCCTCTTTTGTTTGTTTTTATTCTCATGGATGAGAAGCAAAGAGTCTGGTTGGCAGGACGCAGCGCCGCAGCGCCTGCTACTCGGCCTGAGGCGGTCTGTTCTGCTTCAGAGCTGGGGTAACTGCGTTGGACTGCTGAAGCATGTTTATTTTGCAACTGGATGCTGGAGGAGTGGGGATTCTCTACTCGTCCCTGGTTCATCCACTGCAGTATTTCCAGACTGTAGAATTGTTTCGGCCAAATTAGCGGCCTCTCTATTTACTCGTCTCTGAGCATCATTGACCATTCCGTTGGCGGTGGAGAGAACTGCAGCGCTACTCCTGAACTTAACAGGACCATTCTTGATAGGCGCCCCGCTTTGTGCTACAGTGGGTTTATTGTTCACGTTTGCTTGTGAGGGTTTGTGCACTGAAGCGGGGCCTGACACTGGCGTTCGATGCATACTTTTTGTTACAACTTTAGATTTTACTCTGCTGAAGTTTGACTTGGGAAACTTCTTAAATTCAATTTTCTAGACTTTGCTGACAGACAGCGACCGTTCTCGCAACCAAACCGTTAGCAGGCACAGAGACTTGCTGCTGTTTAACAGGGTGGAGTACTGGGCTGAAGGCATTTCCAGTGCAGGGAGACTCTGGGAAGGGGGGGAGGCAGGGCATCGGGTTACCAGGTTGCACTGGAGTGGAAGTATGAATATCCAAATCAGTTTGTTGTGTAGTTGACAGAGTAGACAGTAAGGTCTTGCCTTGTTCTGGTGTAAATACTCCAGGGAGACAAGGACCCAGCTCTGCTTCAACACCAGCTAACAGCACCTCGGTTTCACAATCTGCAGGAGATGATTCACAGAGAAAAGTCATCAAAAGACCTCCCTCATTCTCACTTGGCAGAGTTACAACAGAGTTGGGTGTTGCCATATCGTTTTTCTCAGTGGGAAGGTCTGCCTGAGTAAATGTCATGCCAAGACACGAGTAGTCGGTGTTCTCTTCAGTGCCTCTTTCTGCGAATTTTCCAAGGGCCTCCGGCAGAGTAGTTGACAGTAGGTTAGATTCAGCAGGGGACTCTGGATGGCCCGCAGCCAGAGGGATAAATGACTCATCCAGGAACGAGCCTACCAGGAGGGACTGATCCTGACCATAACTGTTGCTCCTTATTACCATTTCCCCAGAGCTCAGGGAGCAGCAGACGTTCTCGGTGGAGCTCCTTTGGGAAGTCTCACCTGAACTCAGTTGGCTTTCTCTCCCAGCAGAGTCTGGAGAAGTCACTGCACTGCCACTTCCATCTCCTGAGTCTGTCTTCACAGTTTGGTACTTATCCGATCCCGTCTCACGGTTGCTCATCCGACTCAAGTTCTCGTTCCAGAAATTCCCACTGCCATCAACAGGTGTGGCAATAAAAGTTTGGTTTAGGTTCATGCTTACTCCACAGAATATGTTATCCTGTGCTAAGGCGGTGTTGTAGGAGCCATCCACAAAGGAGCCGCCGCTGATGCAGCATTCTGGTACGTTGATGTCAGGAGAGCAGTTGGCTTCTCTGTCACTCAGGTTTGAAACACTGCTGTTGGAGTCAGGTGAAGGTGACGAGATGCTGTACGGACTCTCAGGGGTGAGGGCCTCTATGCGGAGCAGAGGAACTGGGCTCTTAACTTGGTGGTTGGACAGGGCGACTATGGTATCAGACATTTTCAGTTCAGACAAGATTTTGCCTGCTGCTGCAGCTTCGAATAACCTCACATTTGGTTAGCAGGGCAGTGATGCATCAATTTCGTTGATCGGGCATGAATATCTGTAAAAAGGAGGAAACAGTCAGTTTCACAATGTGGGCACAATCTCTGTAATTTCCCCAAACTGATACTCCTGTATATATGTAGCTCAGTGCTCCAAAAAGGATTTTGCTTTCCACGGCGAGTCTTCGATGCCGTAGGTCATTGTAACCGTATATCCGGACACTCAAATTATTTATAACTTAGCTTCATTAAAAATGCAAAATTCATTAGGATCAGGCCAAGAGGATTGTATAGTGCAGGTCTGCCTAAAGGATCTCCTCAGATAAATAGTATGCAATTTCAATAATTGGTCATCGGCCCACCCAAGTATCTACACTACATCTACACCGAGATAAACGTTTTACCGAACACGACTGGTCTGTCCTGAATTATGGTTTCATAAAAATATGAACTTTGAGGATGGCCAAGCAGTTACAAGTCAGACCTCTACTGAAATGAGCCTGCATGGGTTTGGCATGAAAAGTAAATGGCAGTCCTGACGTCTTTGTTGAGTACTAATGCATTTATTTAAGCTGACTGGATTTCTACGCTTGCCAGCTACTACTACAGCAAAAGCACGAAGCAAAAGCGAGATATAAAGTCAATACCAGCCGTAAAGTATTCCAGTATGCCGACCCAAGACATTCTGGTGCAGAGCAGATACCTCTTGAGCTACTTAAGGACAATAATAAATAATGTTACCTCGTATTTTGTCTATGTTTGCAAAGCGTTTAAATTCACCATCTTCCCAGGTGTTAATCACCCAACAATTGTGAATAAAACAGTAGTCATGGAGTTAAGGAGACAAAGTGAAAATTGGTTGAGAAAGGAGGGGCAGGATCAGCGAGGCTGCATGACTTTCTCTAGGAAAGCACACACACACCGAAATGCAGAGAACATGGGTTAATACGAACAACTCAAGCCCAGTTTGTGCTTCTGCGTTTTCAGAGCGACGCAAGGAAACCCAGACGCAAGAGCTCCTTGCGTGTCTTTTCACACCTCCTTGCGTGCGCCAACCCATTTTTCTCCCAAGGCTGCGATTGGTCTGCTAACTACATCCTTTACGGAGTCTCACATTTCCGTTTTCATAGCCCGATCCCGCCATTATTAAAACGAAGAATGTTTACGAGAGAACAGATCAGATTGAAGAACTTTTGTCAGAAGAAATGCGTAAATATGACCTCTTATACAAGCCATCATTGGCGGGTTGGATTCATGGAGGCAGATCTCCACAAACGTTGGTTTGCCGGTCGAGAGGTGCACAATGTTGTGGAGGAAAATACGGGACAAATGTGTCCGCGATGAAAAGCAACAGTGTCGATGCACGGGGCAATAAAGTCTATGATAAATAAACAATCCAAGACTTCCATAAACAAAGACGTGACTCTCTGTCGATCTTCAACAAAAACACGTTACTCCACCTGTTGTTCTGGCGGTGAATTGCTCTGCAACACACGCAAGCCTTTTTGAACCATGAATTGAAACGAGTGCATCGACACAGCGGTGCGTAAAGACGCAGAAGCATGCGCCAGCCTTCAGCTGCATGTGTTTGGCTCATCTGTGTGGAATAATGCTAATATGGAAGTTTCTTTAGTAGCCATATCAAAATCTAATGCAGCACTTCAATAATAATTCCGTGTGTAAAGAGGGGTAAACAAGGCCTTTCTTGAAAAGAGTGTTGAAACAAAAGAGTTAAAATGTCATGGACACCTCTAGTGAATACGTTTGTGTAACAGGGAGCTGAATAGAACACCTTATTACACATTACAATCTGTACGATCAAATAAAAGTAACAGCCTTGGCAAACTACTGTGCACATTGAACCTTGGCAAGAACCTACAACGCCACTAAAGTATCCTCGCGCAGAATATAATAACGCAGAAGGATTATTGCTGGTAACAAATGTGGCCAAGTATTACATTGTTGCTTTATATAGTACAACTCCACCGGCGACAAAGCATGAACTGACAATGTTTATGGAAAAATAAAACCATAATGGGCTACACGATACTGAGCCAACAATGAGAAAGAAACACAGCCGAAACTGATTTAGTGTTAATGATGCTTACCTTCGATGGATCGACTTTAGCACAGATAAAGAACACCATTATTGTCAATAATGCCAGTTGATGATAGCAATGGAAAGAAAATGCCTCCACAGGATGCTGTGTTGTCTGCTGCATCTCGTCAGATCGGTTTTTTTTTGCAGGTTCATCCAGCTCATTTTACTCACTCGGAGACAATCCCATTACTGCTTTCCTTGCAAAGCGCAAATCCAGGCAACTGGGCAGGCAGTGGTGTGCGAGTGAGCTTCAGCTAGACACACGACCGGCCCCCTGTCCCACAGCTCCTCCTTACTCGTGTGCAGAGTCAGCCGTGCATCAATAACATCCCGGCCTGAGGGCTGCAGGCATTAGATTCTGCTTTTTCCTCTCTTCCCAGAGGTAAAATGACCAGACCAGCAGGCCTACTGCAGCAGTGGATCAGCAATCCCTCCAACAAGGCATTGTGTCAGACAAATGAGTGCAGGCACGCTAAGGTCCAGCCAAGGACTGTGCTCAGTGTAGTGCTCCACTCCCAAGTTTGCAGAGGGAGTAAGCAGGGAGAGGGCAACATGTTACCTTATCTACCCCGAACCCAGCGCTGGGGGAGTGGCCATGTCTCGCCAGGCTGAGTGGGCATTCACTGTTGCTAAGCAGCCAAAGTCCAGATTTTACAATGGATTGGATCAGGCTGCTTTTTAGTATAGAAGCAGATCAAAAAGAGGGGGGCCTTGTTCCTATGACAATTCCCAATCAGAATTTGACTAGAAACTCACTTAGTCCAAGAATACATGACAGATTGAATGTTTGTAAATGTGGCTGGTAAATTCACCTAAGACCCACACTGAGAATGTCACCGTCTGATGACAAAACCTTATTGTATACACAAACAGCTCAACACTTGATCCTGGCAATAGAGCACTAGTGTGACACCAGCGTCCCCTGACGGCTATGCTATTTCTACCTAATCTGTACATGCCTCTGACCATGACAACTGTAGGTCTAATCTTAAATAGAAACAAGAACCAAATGATGGTGAAGAATAGGCTTATTAGCTGCTCAGAGTTCTGGAAATTAGTCTTATATCTGGTCAAATTTGCTATTTAGCGGGTTAATTGTGTAATCTTAGCCTTTTGCTCTAGGTCCTCAAGTAATGTTAGGAATGGAGAAGTATTGATGATTTAACAAAATAAAAATAAAAAACATTATTTAGACTCTACAGTCAAAGATTTAGAGCCTCAGTGATGCATTTTCCATATACACTCACAATGCTTATAAAATACATTTCCACAAAAAGCCTAAATCTCTGGTATACCCAAAACTCATGGTTATATGGCTCTTTATTTATTTAGATTTATACCAAAAGGTATTGTTTGATATTAGACCTAATGAAGTATAGCATTCATCCACAATAAATTAAACAGTTTCCAGTTCAACTACAATAAAATAATAAATTAATCATTAAAAGCAGTGATATGATCGGACCAATGCTTCTCTATGTCCCTATGGCACCGGGCAGAAACAGACTCAAATGGCCTTTCCTTGCCTTTGCATGGGTGACTGGATATTTCAGTATGATACAATGAGTGGTTATGAGCAGCGGGGACAGCCATCAAAAACCCAGCCGCAGAGCGCAAACCATTTTAGTAGGTCAAGCACACAGGGACAACGCTGTCCTCTGTAAAGGATGGAACCAAACCACACTACAGAGGCTGGTTAGAGATGAAGCGTGGCCCTGACTGTCAACAGCCAGAATATTAGTCTGCTCCAGCAAGGAGGGAAAGAAAAGGCCGTCAGGTCATAGCTGTGGGCCAAAGCCATGTAGTGAAAAACAGAGGCATGTCAGATGTGTCACCAGCCTGGCAAACGCATCTTGGTTAGCTCTTCGTTCAGTCCTCTTAAACTGTGATACTTGTACTAACTACCGATGGCATTTCCGGGGCGTGGACAACAACAAAAAAACAGGGTAAGAATGAATAAAATAAATGCTTTTTTAAGAATTGAGAATAATGTTCTCACCTTTACAGGTGTTGTGCTGTAAAGACCTGCTCTATAAAGACCAGCTCTATAAAGTGTCTCCGCTGAAGAAAAATACATTTCTCCATACAATACTGTGCAATCAACACCGCCAGCATCTTCTTGTTGTGATGAAGTTCTGGTTGAAGCTACGTGCCAGCAGATAAGTGAAGTATTAAAGCCATGACATGAATCCATCTTGCTGGGTGAAGTAATGTTACCTCATTCCTCTGTGCGTCATGTGCAGTTTCTGATTGACAGATGATCCTGTAGGAGTCCTCTTCCAGCCAGCGAGGTCTATAATTAGACCAGTAGTAAACATAGCATCCTTCTCCAAATAGCTAACGTTAGATAAATACTCGTCCGAGTCCATAAATGGTTTACAACATGATCAACACGTCTGAGACGATTTCAAATGTTAGTGAATAAGCTATCGCTAGCTAGTTTATGTTAAAAATGCCAGAAAGCCCCGGTATCAGCAAACGTCAACAGGCTAGAATATAAATTAGCGTTATTTAACTTTAGTTCATTTAGTTACCAGCATTACGGGAAGTTCAACCAAAGTTAAATTAGCTTTAAAACACATTTTATACGAGAAGCATGATTTCAACGGGCGAAAGGTACAACAAAACTCCCAATGAGCGATTAGCTATTAGCTTTAGCCGAACATTAGCTAACAACCAGGCGAACAAGCCTCAGTGCTCGACGTTAAATTGTTTTTGGCGTATCGGTAATTTACGTGAGGTAAGCTAACGGTTAGCTAACATACACAAGTAAAGTATTTAGAGGATAAAACCTGACGTACCACTGGCTCAGCAATTAATACAAACTGTTGGAAATTAAGTCAATAAAAGCACAAAGTTGGACATAACCCGCGCTGTACTGGTTTGTTATCGGTGACGCGCCGCCAGTTAAATTAACGTTAAAATGATTTCCACCTGCTCCTTTTTCAGAGGAAACGTTCCACTGCGTCTCATTCTAAACCACAGGCCGCCGGTCGTAGGGTCGTTGAACTCTGACACGGCGCGTGGAGTTACTTAACACTTGTAATTAATTAAGAATCCGCCCAGCAATTATTAACCTGATGGATCAGATGCCTCAAAGAAGCCACAAATATCAAAACGCTTTCTTGGTTTTCCATCTGAAGAGATCACCAACTGGATGACATTTTATTATTTCCAATCTGGCTATACATTTACTAAATAATTACATGATTATTAACCACATAATGCTAAGAAGCAAATATATATACAAGCGTAAAAAGTGCATTGTGTTAACAGAAAGAACATATGGGGCAGACATCCTAGCAGAAGTCAAAAGGTGAAAGGGGACTTCCTGTGAAAGGAGGTAAGGGATCAGGATTTGCTCAAATGTCATGCTTGATTTACAATAATTGTTACATCTTTGAGTCAGTATTATGAATTAAATGTACTATATTTATTTGTATGATCATATCTGGTATTTTACAACATACATTTTAGAATACACAACTGTGCTTGGTGGTAAAATGTGAAGGAAATCCCAAAAATCTGATTTCAAGCAAATTCATGAGACACCAACAATATTGTTCCTCGGACACTCGCCCCTTAAGATGTAAAAGTTAGTTTTCAGCAAAACAACAGAGGACCGGACACTCTATTGTGGAGGTCCTTCTTGATGGATCTGCAACATGCTACGTATACCCAATAGGTCTCATTTGTGACTGTCACAGGAAAAGCAGGATAACAATCAAGCTACCTCTGTGCGGGTCATTAGAGTATCAATCTGAATGGGTGAAATACGTCAATGGGTGCAGGCAGTATCTTAAACCGATACATCAGGCCACTAAGTGCATACAGAATGAATGTACCAGACAAGTGTAAGACAAGGGTCTTGTTTTACATCAGTTTTAGGCGACTTGGCTGCTATCCATTAGTCTGGGAATGAGGTGGGACTCCCTGTCCAGAAGGCAATCAAAGAAACGGCAAAGAAGGAGGCAAGAGGAGGAGCAGCATTTGTATGCCAGCGATCTTGAAGGTAGAGGAAAGGAAAGTTTCCTTTTGTGTCCACTTGCTGGCAGAGTCGAACAGGTGCACCTCTTCCTTCCCCCCCCTCCCTCCTCCCTCCTCTCATTTGACACATGAGGGCCAGTTGAGGCCTCCACAGGCAGCAGAAACTATAATATAAAGGATCACCTGAAAGGAGGACAGATGCAAAGTTAAGTTCCTGCACCGGAATTTGATTAATCATCCTGTGAGCCATGCAAAAAAAAAAGAAAATATTAGTAGTAGTTATCCACTAGATTAGTGGACAGAACAATATCACTGCATCCCAATACTAACCATTTCTATCCGATACTCACCAGGCACACCAGCACAATGACAATAGTCAGCTTGAGGTTCTTCATACACATGGCTCGTGCCAGGTTACGACTCGTGGTTTTGAATGTGACCGACTAAATGGAGTGAAGAGAGAAAGTAACACCGGTGACCACATTTGAGGATAAGTAGCTTACTAGAATACTGTCAAAGGATTTAAAAATTGTACACTGCCAAATGTCATGCAGTAGAAAACAAGTGGGACAGACAGCAGCAAAAATAGAGTTAAACTCACAGAATCAACCAGATTCTCGGTCTTGTCAATCAGCAATTCCAGCTTCTCTCCTCTCTGAGCGACCAAGTCTGTAAAAATACACAAGGAGAGCGAGAGTAAAAAAAAAAGGTCTCATCTGAAGGGATTCATATTGAAGGCTTTGTGAAATCTGGCTGATATTTAAGACTATTTCCATGTATAGCTTTTTTGTGGCACCGGTGCATCCACAATCAACTGTAATTGTTTAAATGTAAAGACTTTTTTCCCCCAATTCGATAAAATTGACTTTTGATTGAATCATTATCTCATGGCATTATTTTATAGTTTAAAGAAAAGCGAAAGTCATGAGAAGCTCACCTATGTTACGGACCATAATGCCTTTCAGGTCATCCACCTGCATCTGAGCCTCCGTGACACGATCTGATCCTCGTGGGTCCGAGTGGTGTTTCTACCAAAGAGAAAGACAGAGGACATGGAGCGGAGATCCAAGCGCGTGTTGGGATTCCTAAATCTGCTTGTGTGACTACAGAAGTTCTAAACGTCACAAAGTGGTGCTCGATGCGCTCCAGCTCTTAGGCCACTCACCATCTGAGCGGCGAGCGTTGAGGAGAACTCGCTGTTCATGGCGTAAGGCAGGGCCGTTTGCGCTCGCGACCCGTACGTTGTCTGGAAGCGCTTCTTGACTTCGCTGAGGAAGCTGAATGCGCGCGACCTCTCAAAGTCCTTTAGCCCAAAAAAGGAAAAGTATATGAGTCACTACTTTATGTACATTCCTACTGTGTATTGTTGTAAAAGATTAATATATCACTTGAAAAAAAAATGGTTGCAGCCAAGTGCAATACCTTCAATTTTAGTTTCTTCATGTTCAATTTGTTACATAAAGTGCGATTCAAGGGAGCCTTCTAATCTAATGCTAAACTTCCCACTCGCTCCGACACAAATATTTACACAGATAGCTGAGCTAATTCTGTACTTACGTCATCGGTAATACACAGGTATATGATTCTGTCATGGCAGATGTAATGAAAGAGATAGCTATAAAAGAATAAGACAAAAAAGTCAATACATATAATTCATAGCACGCGGTTTAATACAACTCATCATCAACTACAGATGAACCGTAGTAAAGAAGGCGGAATCTCTCAACGATTCCAACGTGAGAGGGGACCCATTGCGTTGTGCATTTACAATTTTTTAGAATTCTAGCATTTTTTAAGCCTGTGTGTGTCAGTAGTTCTACGTGACTGGTTGCGGTCCTCTTCAATTGTGCATTGTTGACGTTTGCAATTGGCCTTTAACTAATGACAACAGCCAGCTTTTGTGCCTTCACAGCATGGCCATCGGATACCAGACATTCCATTCAGCACTTTTATACCTGATTTGTGCATATTAGTAGGCTTTCCTAAGCTTGGATTGACCCGCTGTGTGTAAATCTTACCTGCCGTGGCTGTAGGTCAATTTGTTATTCTCTGATGGGATTTTGGCCAATATCTGTTCAGTCACCTCCAGGAAGTTGCCACCACACCAGGCGTGCTTTGCCAGGATGGTGGTTCCACGAGCCACCACTGCAAACAGGATTGCCATGGCAACAGCTGGGGTTTCCGCTCAATTCCTCGCTGCAACGCAAGAAAAGTGAGGCTTTAGTGACAAAGCTACAGGCCAGCGGAAGACTTTCAAGAGACTGCTTCACCTAGGATGATCATTGTGTGACGTTACCGATAATGCAGAAAGAGAAGAGGTGTGTGTGTGTGTTTGTGAGAAAGAGAGAGCGAAACTACCGCTACTAACGTTAGCCTATAAAAAGCTCACTAGCGCTACCTGTACATGTCGTCACGCGGAATGAAAACGAAAGCTAGGTTAACGATGGCAGGAAACCAATATGCACAATAAGTTACAGGTTGGTAACCAGAGTTAATGACGGCATTTGGTGGGTAACGTTAGCTGTTTGTTGCAATGGCGTTAGCATTACTCGTTTCTAGCAACGGTGCCGAAGCCACTCACGGTTATGAATAATAATGAGCCCAATACCTCGACGTGTCGGCGCTGTTCAAAGTAGCCAAAGTGGCGCAAATCCAAACATCTGAAGGAATATAATCTGCTAGCAGGCTAGCTAATCCCTTTCGAGTGACTTCTGCTTTGCAGATCCCCCAGACCACCGAAACAGGGAAACGAATCCACACCTGTGTTATGTAGATAGTTAATGTAGTTCTCACCACATTTTTTAGGCTATGTACTCTACTGAATTGTTTGGTTCCAAGAACTACAGTTTTAACTTCCTGTTATGTTGTCGATCGTCATATGTTTTAATACTCACGTCAAAATATGGCGACGGTTTATAGGCCCTTGATTGTTAAATACGCCCCTCTATTGGTCTTACAGGAAACTTAACAGTTTCTGCAATGAATACTTTAGTGTTATTCTTCAACAGAACAGAGCCAGGGTGGTCTGTTGATAAAACTAATTACACACATTACATCACTACCGTATATACACTTCGTTTATATGCCCACTGTAAGCAGCGTGACAAATCCCTCAAACCTCCTTGTTGCCTGCCAGAATAGACTCAGGGCGGAACACACAGCGTGTCTGTAGTGACGTACAGAGTCGGAACGTGAAGCATGGCTGGGGAAGGCGAAAAGAAACCTGTGCTGGAGATGGTAAAGATGTTTACACCCATTATGACCTTTGACACTGTGTAAAGTTACACGTATTTGTCATTGTTGAACTCTGTTAGTAAGTACATATATATTTTTATATAAAGTAGCGTATTAATTAACATACAGCATCTGTTCCGTCCGTAAATGCCTCACGTGCGAAGCTAGCATACGCTAGCAGTGAGATAGAATCATTGCACCTTAAACTCATCACTAACGTTACATTAAAAGCTGCTCTCGTTAGTGCAACATGGGTGGTTTTGTAGACGTATATTGAGATAGCCATCGAGCTAAACTGAAGCTAACCTGAAGTATTTCACTTAACCTACTTTACACTCGCTTTTCAGTTCAAAGCTGTTTCACAGTTCCTCCACTGGGGGGCAGTATAGAAATACAACCAACTGTTTGTGATTCTATGTAATGAAGGTTTTCGAAATACATATTCACGTGATTGATTGTCCCACTCAACAATCTTTAATAAGATAATGTTTCTGTTTAGAGTAGAATTCGCATGGTTGTGTTTTATGCTATACAGTAAATACTTGTTATTTTTGGTTTTAGGTCCAGGCCGATGGGGCCGATGAAGGGTGTGTGACATTTGTGCTGCATAATGAAGACCATACACTAGGAAATTCCCTCAGATATATGATCATGAAGACGTGAGTTTTGCTTTCAACTAAACATGTCTTCATAGGGTATGGCCTTTTTTTTTAACCCAACCACTCCCATGTGGCCTGTTGAAAAAAAATGAGTGATTGCTCTTTTGTGTGTGATAATAATAATAATGTTGATGTTCTAAAGGGACTGTGCGTATTTGGTTTTGTTCCCAGTGTTTTTGTTCTCAGTCGGTGTCAGCTGGAAATAACGCTGACACATCTCCGCCCATTTTAAGCAAAACATTGAGAATAATCACAAATCTTTATTCCATTGTCCTGTTTTTTTCCGAACAGCGCGGATGTAGATTTCTGTGGCTACACCATCACCCATCCGTCCGAGAGCAAGATCAACTTTCGCATTCAAACACGAGGTGAGAGACGCACGCACCCTCAAACTGCACGGCACTCTTCTTTTTCCGCTTTTTGCAATCTATGTTCGTTAATGTGTGCACACATGCCGAGGAAAGCCAGAAAGCAAACGTTTTGGGGCTTGTAATGCAGAGTAATGCACTTGTCCACTCAGCTCAGCAAGAAAAGCCAGGCTGACTTTGTGCACACATACACACACGTCACGTGACACACACATACACTCATGCACACGTGCACTTGATCTTGTTGCCAAAGAATTTTAACCACTTGTCTTGTTACAAAAATGAAATCCTTCATCCGCTTTGCACAAAGTGTCTACAGATATCAGGAGTCTCGACCATCACTTGAAAGGACTCTGTGAGAGTTATGAAGCAACTTGCTTTTGTTGTTGAGCCAAGTATCAGGATGCCGGATCTTTCCTTTATAATTCCTGCTCTGATTAAAGCAAACATATCATGTTAATGATGATAAGAAACATGTAAAGAGAAGGGACAGAATTGTTGTTTTATTGTGTTGATAAATAGTATGTACTGTGATGGAATGTGGCGTTGGTTGCGGTGGCTTTCTCACCGTATCCTCTTGTCTGTTTCAGGCAGTATTCCGGCTACGGAGCCGCTGCGAAGCGGCCTGAATGAGCTTAGTGATGTTTGCCAACATGTTCTCAACACCTTTCAGGTGAGCCTGTCCATCACTTATGAGATAAACTGTCCGGTAGTGGTTCAGCATACATCCGTCTAAGCAGGTGGCTCACAAGCAATCACTTCCTGTGATTTGCCACCAAACATTGCATGTGGGCTGACGTGTATTGGTAGCTTGTGTACTAAGCAGGTGACTTTGTACCTCGCCTTACTGTGTCACCTGGTGAACCTATTGTTCAGTGAGCATCTCTCCCAGCAACGCGGTGCCTGTATCTCTCTCTACATGGGGGGGGGCAAGCAAGCCTTAAAATCCACACATGTAATGATAATAATGCCGTTTCTAATACAGGAAGGAACCCCGGCCTGTATGTTCGGCTCTGCACATTAGTGCCTCAGTGAGAAGAAAGCTGCTCTTTGCGCTGTGTCAACTTTAATTCAAACAACGCTTTCTTTCTTTTGGTTCCAGGCGAGAGTCAATGAGTTCAAAGAGAGGCAGGAGGAGCCGATGGAATGAAGAGCCTCTCGTATGTTTGTCTGCGAAGCTGCCAGACTCAACTAAACTAAAGATGTGTCACCTCAATAACTCCTTTGTTATATGTATATATTTATGTACAAGCCAGCTCACATTTAATCACTTGTACAGTTTTCTTTTTTCACACCATGTTGGGATTGATGTGCGATGCGTGTGTTTATGGAATCTTTGGATTGATTGATAGAAATTTAGGAGATTAAAACGTAATCAAACAATATCATTTTTCTCCCTTTTTTTGTATTTCTGACAGGAAACCGGAAATTCTCCTTTTGAATACGTGTTTGTCGACCGTAGCAAGACGTGGAAGCTATATGTCCTTATTAGTGGAGGAATGTGGTGGGCGGGGTGGAGAGGTTGGGCGGGGGCTTGCTGTGGTTCTAGGAAGACAGACAGGGGGGACTGGTGTAAATTAAGAGGTCTTAATATTTTTCCCGAAGTTAATCATGTGCTGCCAGTCACATGTTCAGGTCTGTGAGTCCAAAAGTGAAGACCCAGCCTGCCTTTTCCCCCCCGGCAGCACCTCTAAAGCTCAACAAACGGCTGCTCATCTGTGGTCTGTTTCATCAGGACAAACTCATTTGAGCGTCGGATGTTTTTTCAGCTAAGCTAATGTAGGATATTAGAAAAAATCTGACGACCCGGTTCATACAATTAATAAGATGCATATAGTGTACACCAGAATACAGCCATGATTCTGAAACTGTAATCAATAAAGTAATGACAATATTGTAAAACCACTGTAATTCTGCAACTGTAATAGAATAATACCAATGTACAGCTATGATTGTATTTGATGTAATGTAATCAACCTGAATGCATGCACGTAATACTAAGCACAACAACTGATATTGACTGAGGGTCAATCAAAATCAGAGTTACATTGAACTCACCAGAAGACCACTCCCAGAGGAGTGGACACTGACTTTCACACCTTTAAGCATTGGTATAAATACCTGTAGCAACCGTTGTTCTCGAGTTCGCTGGTGGAGACGACAGACGGGCACTATGGGGGTCAAAGGACTGACCTGGGGCCTGTTGGTCGCTGAGACCAGCGGCTCCTCAGCTGAGAGGTTCTTTTTACCACAACACATCTCTTTTATTAAATACATTTGATTTTATCTGCGACGCCCTCTGTCCGTCTGACTTTTCTTCATTTTTGAACCCAACACTAACCGTCTCCTTGGCTCGGCTTCATTTTTAGTGTCGCCCGACAAGAAAACAAGTAAAAAGGATAAGTGAAGGATTTTGGTGAAAGCAAAGTACACAGGTCTTAAGTCAGCTGACACAGTCATAAGGGTGCCTCTTACTACTGCAAACAAATTAGACTTGGTAAGAGAAGGAATGTGTTTCACTGTGCTCGTTTATTCTTTGACGACAGGACTCAAACTGCCAATGTTCCTTTTACCCCAATTTCCATTTTCCCCTTTTTTTTGCATTGGCGCAGCACAATTTAAAGCACTCGCAGCGTACAAGACCACATCAAGGGTGAGCGCAAGACTGGAGATATTGTTTTATGCAGAGTTGACCAATGATGACGCCGGGAGACTGATGTGAAGGAACGTTTCTCTAAGCAAAAGAATTACTCGCCGGTGTTATTTTGTGGGGCTGTTTCTTTGTTTGATAGTACAGCTGAAGACCAACAGAGAGAGAACGGCGTTCTGCAGAGGACTGAGAGGGATTCAAATGCGAGGATGCTGCTGGACATTAGGTGTTTAATGTGGTTTTGGTAAAAAATGTCCTGAAGCTTTTAGTGCAGGAAGGCCTCACTCACGGCAAGCTTTTTTTTTTAAAACACATTTTGTAATCCGTAAGCGTCTCTCTTTTCCCTCCTGCTTTTCAGATATCTTATAATGCAGCACTTGTAAAGTTGTGAGTCTGATTTGTTGCACTAATTAAGTAATTTTATGCAGGTCTATTCGGTTGGTGTTTGTCCTTCATCAGACTATTCATGCAGTGTGTGTGGCTGTGACCCCAGGGGTCGCTGGCTACGAACACGACTGTGGTTTTTAAGAGAAAGAAAATAAACACAAAAGGATGTGTGGCTGTTACCAAGAGCTGTGGAGAAGATCTGGCCGGCGTGAAAGGTCTTTCAGGGGATTTGGCAGCAATATCTGTGAATCTGCTTCTTGAAACCGAACCATGTGTATTTGTCCAAAGCAATCCGTTTCAACCAGTGAAGGGCTTGTAAGAAGTTGTTTGTAACATGGTTTCTTTTAAGACCTTGTCTGAAAGGAGTTGCAAACTAACCTGGTTGTTAAGAAATACAGTGACAAGCAACCTATGGCGATTTGTATCACAGATGATTGTTTTTGTTCACAGGGTGCAGCGCTGAGTCGAAAGATTATTTTCTACATAGTGCTCTCCCGCAGCTGATGGGGAAAAAAAAAAGCACATTTCATGATGCATGAACCGTAAAGGTCAAACTTTGTTAATAAAACAGTGTGACTCCCCAAGATGCCCTCAAGTTGAACCATATTGAACATGACAGCCATAATTTCAATGTGCTGAAAAAATAAGATAAGAACTTACTTCTATCATCAATTGTAATTATTTATTGACTAAACAAAATGACTTTAAAACCAAGTATTTATCTGGTCATCCATGCTGAGCATCAAGAGTTCCCTTTGGGGTTAAACTGTACCAAAAACGTTAGAGATACGCGGGCTGAGGGTGAGCCGGATTTAGGGAAAGTACATCCTCTGTGATCTTTCTTGCTCGGGGCCCAAGGCAAGATGGACGCCAGGATGTGGAAGGACTCCACGGCATGATGAGGAACGCAGTTCACAGCCATCTTCACTGTTTTCCATGTGTTTAGCCCCGAGTTGTTCTGACATGCACCAGGTCACCAGATGACCAATCTCTCACCTGCAGACACGCTCGTTCAGGACCTTCAGAAGACTACCATGAACATGCTAAAATGTTAGAGTTGGTACACCTTCAATCAGTTCTTCCCAAGTCACCATGTGACTCGTTAGTCACGGGAGTTGTGAGTTAACTAGTGTATTTTGACACGTCAAGAATCGACCCTAAGCGCAGAGCGCCATAGCTTGAAGGCCGTGGCCGCTGACCAAGTGCATTAGTCTGTGAAGTTGGGAGGGGGACATGTGGTTACAGCTGCATGGATAAATGAGAGACACGGGATCAGGTCTTTTTGTGGTGCATGTCGGAGTCATTAGTTTGGTTTCCTTTCGATGAGGGTGCACACCACCTGCTTTGTACGTGCTTGATTAAGTTACAGATGAGGTAACATCCCGCAGCGGAACACAAGCACTCACGTGGTGCAAGAGGGAGAGTTGACTAAAACGGAGCGAATAAATGGAATAAAACTTTTTTAAAAGAAGAGTTTTAAGGATTCTCAATAAAGAATTGTGTACATCCATGTTTACGTCACTTGTACAAGTTAGAAATTATAACAGCCCCAAGGCTGTGGTCTAATATCCCCAAGAAACCTTTGATGTGTGCAGATACTGTATATTGTATAACATGTGAATAATTTAAATGCAGTAAGACTGCATCACTACTCACTGGAAATTACCCTGAATGCATGCACACTACTTTATTAAATAAGTCAAACAATACAAATGCTATAAAATAATATTTATTACATCATATTCTCAACAAATAAGTATAAAGTATAAATGTTATCTTAAAACGCCACGGCCAATATTCACATTTCGCATTTGATCTTCAACTCAAATTAGTTATAAAAGTCTTCGCTTGGTTTCAGTTTCCAGTACACAATCTCCTCTAAATGAAGTTACATATCAGTATTAAGTCATACAAAGGCTTGATGGGTCACATACGGCTACTGGAAATGGAGATTACTACATGAATCACATCTATTTCAGCCGTATCTCAGCACACAGGACACGGTTTCCTGGGTTACATTCAAACGGAAGCGACTAGTACATCTAAATGTTTCCTATGACCATTACAAAGTTAAATAAATGTAATCCCCACTATAACAACTCCCGGCTTAAGCACGAATTGGTCCATATTTGGAGCGTTTTCCTGCCAGCTGCTCTCAGAAGACATGGTTGCAACATGACCTAGAAGGAAAGTATTTCGAAATAATAAATGAACATCTCAGAATGTCAGACTACGTAGGCTTCACATCTCTTGTGATATACTTCTTAGAAAAACAGAAACACTTCCTGGAGGTTAAGTCTTACACGCGTGCGACAGACAGTTACACGCGTGCGATAGCAAAAACTCAAGCAAGAAGATAAGATCTCCTCTGTGCAGCTTGGAGTCATCTGGTGTTTTTCAACATTCATGTGGGGAAACAGCTGGCTGCCACATGACTCCGCGCAGCGATCATTTCCAGATAAAACATTTTCGATGATTGGTTCTTAACATCTAACCACTTCACTGTGGTATGGGATCTCTGTGGTCCACAGGCAGCTCAACGACAGCTTGTAGTTGATTGTCAGATTATTAGTGTCTGTGTTTCTCCGCTGAGGATCAGTCATGCATTTAAAAAAAGAAAAATACAATTTAAAAACAAGACCTTTTGAAACCACACTCAAGATCACAGTGTCTCTGTGGCACAGAGACAGGCAGCATACAGCATACAGCATACATTGGTGTCATACATTGGTCTCATACATTGGTGTCATACATTGGTGTCATACATTGGTGTCATGCATTGGTGTCATACATTGGTGTCATACATTGGTGTCATACATTGGTCTCATACATTGGTTTGGGGTAATGATCGCTCTGCAGTGAGCTCGTAAATACTCCTGTACATATATTTACATGCGACTAATAAACATTCTTTATAAAGGTTTTGACCGTGTCGGTCCACTGAGAAAAGACTCAGTCCTCGGCACCAGCCTCAGTGTGATCACCACACATCCGTTTTACAGTTAGTATGACTTTGTCTTCGTCCTGTTGTCTCATCGGTTTGGCTCCATCCGGGTTTATTTTAGCGTCTTACTCTGAGTCCCGTAGAAGTGGCTTCAACCTCGCTACCTCGTTTCTGTCTCTCGCCCTAGGCCGGTTGCCGGTGGCAACTGTTTCTCATTGATGTGAGCTGATGCAAACGTGTGGTCTTTGGCAGAAGAGGTGGCGTGTCGTGTGTGTGTGTGTGTGTGTGTGTGTTTATGAAGAGCTGGTGTATTTCTGGCTGGAGCGGGAGCTGGAGCGGTCTAGTCCGTTCCCGTGACAGGAGCCCTTCCAGCGTCCTCCAGACCCTCGTTCGTCCAGTGGAGACGTTCTGTAGCACCAGCAGCACAGGCAAGACTGCAAGACAACAAACGACACACACACACACACACACACACACAACCACACACAATGTTGTTAGCTTTCTGCTGACTGCGTTTTCCAGTAATACAGTGTTTTTATTGCCAGTGTGTACACTCTCCTACCTGGAAGCAGTTTTTAAACTTCTGGCTGACAAAGTAGAGGGCAATGGGGTTAATGCAGGAGTTGAGGGAGGCCATGTTGATGCCGATGTAATCCATCACCAAGAGGAAGCTGGCGGGGGGGGGGAAAGGGACAGTTGACCGTCAGGTCTACAGGAAGTCGCGGAGCGGAGAACAACGCTCCCGTGACGTTTGCATCTTGTATCCACGGTACCTGAGCAGCTCGCAGCGGTTGGGGTCGCTCTCGTCGTAGATGGTTTTCTTCAGAATACGGCTGAGGTGGAGGGGCAGCCAGCAGAGAGCGAAAATCAACACCAGGCAGAACACCGTCTTCGCTACTTTCCGTCGCTGCGCAGACACACACACACACACACACACACACACACACACACACACACAAGAGATAAAGGTTGACGCCTCCTGTCTTTCCGAGCGTCCTGGCCGCAGTGGATCCGAGCGGGTCGTTTGAGCGCGTACCTGTTTCATGTGGTCGTTGAGTGCGATGCGCATGCCCTTTTTGCGGCTGAGCATCTCGCATGACATAAGTGTGTAGAAGATCCCTGTACAGGCCAGCGGGAGGCAGAAATAGAAGCCAAACAGCCACCAGTCCTTCACGTCCTGGTAGAACTGGACAAGGAAAGAAGAGCCGGTCAAAGAAAGTACAGTACAACCGCAAAACAAAAAGTGCAATTCATGTATTTATTTAAGACCCAAGACTCACTGTTCAAAGTTCAAACTGCTGCTGTGTTTAAATTGTTATTATTGCCTTAAACAGTTTATTTTACTGAATTACACTAAAAACAAGTCCTGTTAGCGGGAGTTTTTTTTAAATAAGATCGGATCTTGAGTATGAAAACTGTATGGTCAACAAGTTAATCGTATTGAAAAATGCATTAAATAAAAAAACATTTGACAAATTGATTCCCTGCACATTATCACACTATATTTGAGTTAATAATAATGAATCATTTAATATTATTACTGTTGTTATTATTATTATTAGTTTATTCTGTGAGGTTTTTATATTTTTTTATTTTACAGTCTACGCTTTTCCTTTTAAAAGCCACAGGCCTCTCGCCAGAGCACAATGATTATGGCATAATGTACAGGGACAACTCGAAATTTGGTAGAAATACATTAAATACGTTTTCGCCTTGTTTTGGTTTGGCACAAACTCTTCCAACTTTCTCTTTAAATAGTCCACCAGCTCGGGCTTGATTATGTCTCATGAGAAATAAGAAACTAACACTCCATGAATGTTGAATGAGTCCCGTTCGGAGGACTTTACCTTTATGAAGCTGGCCGTCTGTTCCGCGTGGATCATACACACGCGCAGCTTGTTGCCTCCGTACTGTATCTCCCGCATGTCGTACGCCAGCGCCTCGGGGACCGCGAGCATCACGGCGACCAGCCAGATCAGCGTCACCTCCGCCGCCTTCCACAGAGGGATGCCCATCCCCTTCACCCTGCTCCACGACGTCACTGCGTGGTAGCTACACAAACAGACACACGCATGGGCCGCGTTCAGCACGGACGTGTACTGTGTGCTGTGTGTGTGTGTGTGTGTGTGGGTGTGTGAAGAGCAGAGGTCCACATACCGGTCAATACTGAGAGCACACAGGCTGAGGACAGTGATTCCCACGGAGGCCTTTTGGATGAATGGCATCAGCTTACAGATGTACACGCCGAACGGCCAGTCCTGGGCAAGGAGCTGCAGAGAATAGACAATAGGGACGTTTGTAATGAGAAAAAGCAACAACTCTCACATGTTGCTTCCTGGCACACCATTGCAATTACCGGTTTAACATTTTTGGCAGTGACACTCAAGCCCACTGGGTGTCTGCCACATCACGCATGTGTGTGCGAGCGAGGACCACAAAAGGATTTGTTTCAAATCCTGACACTCGGGACGTCCCAAGCTGCTGGCTGTTCTTCTGCATTCATTACATTTCTTAGCTTGAGTGGGCTCTCGCAGTGGAGGTGAAATAGTCTGTACTTAAAAAGTTAATAATGAAAAACACATAGTTGGGCCCCATTAATCGATGACCTACCCTTGTTTCCAAAAGGGGAAAAAGAGAGATCATTGGTCAAGCGGAGGAAACACCAGACAGACGTACACAAAGGATTTCTGTTGTCACCTTAAAAACATTGATGGGGATGGCGATGATTATATACAGCAGGTCCCCCAGAGCCAGGCTGCCAATCAGAACATTGGGTCCATTTCTCATGCACTTGTTCTTATATATGATCTTGAGGAGCGTTGAGTTGCCGATGAATCCCACCACAAAGATCAGGCAGGACACGATGGTGTTGACGTACTTGAAGGCGTGCGTGATCTCCGTGCGCTTTAAGCACATGGGAGGGAAGGAGGCGCGCGGCCGGCCCGGCTGAGGGAGCGCGAGTGGGACGGAGGCGTTGCTCCTGGCGGGCTCCGAAGCCGCGGAGCCCCCCTGGGCGTCGCGGGCGAAGCGGGAAGCTCCGGCCTCGGCGACCATCAGGAGACAGAGCAGCAGGGAGGCGGCGGCCCTCATCCTCGCCACGCACGCGGTCGACTACGACTTTGAAGGCACTCACGCACACGACGCCTGGAGACCAAGTTCTGAGGGTCCTGCAGAGAGAAAGTAGACCAACCGTCAGCAGGACAAATAAAACAGGATGAGCTCCATCCTTCCTCGTGAGGAAATTGGTTCTGAATGAATAGATTTTAAAATAATGAGGAACAGCGTGTCTTCCATGTCTTCTGCGTGTGTGTTTGTGAGACAGACACACTCTCTCTCTCTCTCTCTCTGTCTCTCCTCTCTCTCTCTCTCTCTCTCTCTCTCTCTCTCTCTCTGGGCTCTGAGCCTCTCGAGAATCATGTGCACACCCAGAATGCCCTGCAGCGTCTCCTGGGACAATTTACAAGGTGGGCAATATCTTTAGAGACACGCTATAAGAACACAAACACACAGGCGGCAGAAATGCAAACCTTCAGGGAAAAAACACTTTGCTTTTAATGCTCACGTCTAACAACGTTAGACCTCCTGCAAACACACAGTCACACAACTGGCATTCATGGCCACACGGGGCCCAGAAACACAAAGGCTCGTTCTATTCACACACACAGAGGCACAAAGTCACATGGATGCACTCACACATGTGTCACAAGAAATCACTTCTAAAAGTGTTTTTGTCCTTTTGTGTCCTCTGTCTCATCTGAATTATGCCTTTGTGTTGCGTAACATGGAGCCTCATTAGGACTTGTCAAAGCAGCCTTGTCTGATCTAATTGGAGAGCTGGAGTTTTAGCAGACTGATCCTCTGAATGTAATATATTTGACTTTAGAAACCCTCTCTGACCTTGAGCTCTGCTGGCTTCACTTCTGAGAAAGACAGAGGGGGGAGAGTTGCCAACTACCCAGTGAAATGAAGGGGCAATTAGTGGTTTTAAAAAGTGAGTTTGTGAGGGGAGAGAGAAGAAAATGTGAAAAACATTAAAAACATAAAAGAGAAAAACTATGAATAATGTGTCAAGAAAAGAGGCCGAGATTGAAAGGAATGACAATTTGATGCCCTGAGCTGTTTGGAAGGACAAAAGGCAGAAAAGGGAAAACACAGGGAGGGAAAATTAGATAAGGGAAAAGAGGGAGAGCGGAGGAACTTCTGCCTCTGAGGACAGGAGTCACGAGAGTGACCCGGAGGCAGAACATTTGGGGAGGGCAGACGAATTAGCACAATGGATTCTATTTAAATGGAGAATTTGAGAAATAAATGCTCCTAAATGGGACTTTGAGCCAGAGCTTGTGAGATGGAATGGCTTTATTATATTATTAATATTGGGTATGTGGCTTGATAAGTTGACGAAGAAAAAGAATAACCAGATATACAAACTAGGTAACGACTTATCGACATCTAACACAAGAGAGTGCCCCCCAACTACACCTGTTAACGGGTTATAAACTACTGGTTTGATCTTAAGGAGTAATTTAGTTCATATGTTTTTCCGTAATGCAAATTAGGAAAGATGCAGTGCAGAAGATACAAGTAGAAGAATAACTACTCAAATAAAATAGAAATAACTTAGAATTTGACTTAAGAACAGTACCTGAGTAAATGTACTTATTACTATGGGTCTATCAGCAGAATGTCTGCATCATTCTTTAAAGCCTCTTAAATCACAAATAGCTTAGAAGTGATGTTATTTCCACTCCATAAAGAGAGAGTCCTGATCTCATGACATGCCTTCTGCAGACACTTTGATTGCATGCAAAGGCACATTTCAAGTCAGTGCCAGGAAATTCTGAGAATACTTTTTACCCATTGACTTCAATACCTTATGTGAAGAAACCACGTAAAACTGAATGGTCATAATATTTAAACTTCAATTGGCTGCTGTGCACCTTTGGGACTATTGGCCCACAATGCCAGTTAAAGAACTTTGGTATAGAAGCCTGGACATAAGTGAAGTGTTTTATCATAATTGAGAAGGCAAATGTCCTTTTAAGGACTTAAGCAAAAGAAGAAGAAGAAGAAGAAGCGTATAGGAAATCTGTCTCAAGATTGGATTAAGAAAAAACACTTATGGTAAAAACGGAGGCTTGTGGAGAGGAATGCACACTAACTATGCAAAATACCAGCTGACCTTTAGTCCCACTGAACTTAATAACGGTTGAAATAGTTACGGTTTAATTCATCCATCAAAAATGTATTCAAAAAAGACTTTCCCTATTGACTTAGATACCATTGCTTGAAACGGTGGAGCAATCACTAACCGCACAGGGGCTGCGGGAGCACAGCTGCAGATGTGATCTGTAAAAGTAACATTTAATTGACCACCGGTCAAATCTCTGTTCATTTTCCCTCTAAACAAAGCTTGGGGATCTGGACAAAACCATATGTCGACATATGTATTATTTCATATCTCGATAACGATGCATATGATGATATTGCCGGTTTGGTAATTCAATAAATAGTAGTTGTTACGTTATTGAAAAATATCACTAATTTTCTTACTTAAATTAGAACTTTGGTGGAATATAATCCAGTTATCGGAAAAATGTAAGTCATTAACTACTTGTTACTGATTAAGACGCAGTAGTTGTAAATTGTATCTATATCACGATAAATGACGATATGAGAGGATAACTTACCGTGCTGAATTATCCACCAGGCCTATGAAACCTGCCACGCTTTAGCTATCAGTATGTGTTCTTAGTTTGTTTCTTACTTCGGCTGCATAGGTTAAAACTTTAGTGAATATTTTGGAAGAGACACTTTTCAGGAAACCTTAACTCGGGCCCCTCTGTAAAAAGCTGCACTCAGCTACATCGTGAAATCAAAAAGCTGCTCTAACAGAGCAGGTCCTCTATACTCAACTGCATAAGTGCATGACCATGATGTTGTCACGACAGCACAAAACATTCAAGCACAAAACATTTAAGGGCAACGGACGGAAGGAGGTTAATGGTGAAAGGGAAATGGTAGCATGAAGTAGTGCAGCATGTATCATGAAAACCTGTGGTCCACCATTCATAAATGATTAGGTCACTTTGACCTGGTGATCAGTTCACACCGAGTAGATGATACGTGGAGGAATGTTACTCACACTCGCTGCATTAATTGGTGTAAAACCCATTAAGCTGAAATGCAGTAGTACGTTCATTTCTCTGATAGCAGAAGCACATCTAGTCTGAGATGAGGTCTTTTTTTGTGCGTCACTCTTTTCAAATTTGACACAAACAGCAACAACACTAATTTTACAAGATAAAACATTTTTCAAGCTCCAAATAAGTTGTAAACGTGTCAGAGATACGATGCAGTAGCGTGCACGAGCAGTTTGAATTGATTTATTATTTTAGGAGAACGTATTATTTCACAGTCTGAATATATGAAATGTTTGTAAGTTTGAATACAGCAATGCTGCATCACGTGTGAACCAACCACAAATGGTCCTGGTGACTTGTGGGTAAACAGAAATGTGTAATTCTTACTGAACTCATTAAAGCATGACTTGTCTATTAGTTACGCATTAACTGTATTGTATGGCCATGAAAGGCAGATTACATTCCTATGGCGTGTGACTGAGGAAACAAAAGCCATATTTAAGATCAACAAACAATTAATGAAAATGTGAAATGCTTGATGAAAGCATACCAGCTTATAAAATCACCAGCCGCATTATTCTGATGAATTAATAGCGAGAAGCGGGCAAAATACTGAATCAAGTTTTCTCCATCGAGCCAGGAGGGATCAGGAGTCAGTCCCGATGAAGAGAAGCACGGTAACAATGCGACTTCTACGGCAGGTGAACAGTCAGAACCGCCACAGCTCGATGACCAAAACAACACTCACCGGACCGCGCAGCTCTGGTCCAAAGTTTCCCCCGATCAATGAGTCCAGCGGAGTTGCGCTAAATGGCACGGTGCTCGGTGGCTGATCACAGGACGGTCCGTCCGGCCCGCGCAGTGTCCGGCGTGTCCCCGCGGTGCGTCCGCGCTCGATCTCCTCTCCGACGCGGCGGCTGCGCTCTGACGCGCGGAGTGACCGCGCGGGCTTTTATAGCCGCGAGCCGGGAGGCTGCAGAGATGAGCCAATCGCATTAAAGACGTGCGCGTCCGTCCCCGTCTGCAGCCAGGACGCAACAGCAGCTTATAAAAGGATGCAGTTTACTTTCTACTTTTCTATCCCTGCAGGAACATCCAATGATGGCTTTTCTTCTTCTTCAGGTTATCGGGCTGATGACGTGGAGCACAATGGAGATGAATGGGAGGGCTGATTCCCTAACCCCGTTAGACACACACACACACACACACACACACACACACACACACACACACACACACACACACACACACACAGTCCGTGACGTCTTCCCCCGAGGTTCTCAGATAAAACATCTCAGGTGCTTAGGGAGATGTTATTTGAACACCCAATAAAACCCTTTCACATGACTGACTTCACTACGTGAAAACAACAACATGTTATTGTGACAGATACATTGCTGATGTTGTTTGCGCTAAAGAAGAACATTTTTTTCACATCTATTGTTTTATGTCTTCCATTTCATATGATCAGCGAAACTTGAAACTTTTGAACTGCTTGTTGGATGTTCGATGTCGACAATGACATCGGCCTTAGACTGTCGCAACTTGCACCTGTGAATGATGCTTTGTGCTCAAGCTCTGCAACCCACTCATGGTCACACCAACGGACCTCATCGCCTGGCAGGAAGTGTTCATGAACACGTTGTTTTAACGTGTTCACTCTTAAGAACAACACAACATTTTACCCCTCAGTGCTTGTTACACACTCGTTGCCTAACACCAAAGACAGGAGCCACTATTTAAATCTCTCACCGTCATCATCACCATCCACACTGCCAGCAGGCACACACACACACACACACAAACACACACACACACACGCCAAACAAAGGACCTTTCTGTGGAGTCAGTTTAATGACACCCGTCCCCTGCTCTATTTTGGGAGGGGGACTATTCCTGGCACATCATTTATGTAATTAGCACAATCTTATTATCGTTGAATCATTAACAGACATTATCACTATTATTCTCGTGGTTACATGCATTACGTCTCCACAACTCATTCCTGGATTACTCTGCACCTGTGTGTGTGAGGACGTGTCAATGTCCCTGTGGCTCTGGAGTCTTTGTGTCCAAAGCCGGTGTGGCCCAAACGAGGCACAGACAACTCCGAGACATGCAGGACAACGTTGATGTAAACCTTCAATCACAATGTAGTCGGCTTAAAGCAACGCCCTGGTTTATGATGTATTTATTTCTAAATGGACCGGAACTTACCAAACGAACATCCGCTATAGTGAACACTTGAAACTAGTGATTGTCTAGAAACTCATATTTACAATGTTTATGGGGGTAATAAATCGAATGAAACCTCCTTTTTTTATAAACTTCTACACAACCACAGGATTGGAGTATGTTTATGCGGTTGGGAGTCTGTGATGTAAGAGGCACCACATCAACCAATGCGCCGCAGAACATGTGCTCACTTTGGATGGAGGTTCCTGTTTCAATGTGAAGAAGATTCTAATTTTGAGTCAAATGTGTAACACGTGTCAAGCAAACAAACACGATGCCAATGGTGCTCTTTGAAGAGGCTACGCTCCATTTTAATTTACTCTCCAGTGACTCACTTCGCAATTCTATTTACAACACAGAAATAATTGTTGTCATCTGTGGCCTTCACTTGCCACGCGCGGTCCTGGTTCTCCCGTGGCCCCCATCCCTCCAGCGGGCCCAGTAAAATGAGGGTCTCCGGCAACGCAATCTTGGTGATGGCTGCCAGAGGGGTGAAGCAGTTAACTGGAAGTACTTGTAATATGCTGCATGCTTATTTGCTTGTGAATATAATCTATTTGATCTTATAACAATATAGATTTTGCAAGTACAGTTGTTAACATCTTACTTTTAGAAATAGACGTGTATACTTCTGCTAACTTTGGCAAGTGATCTCGAGACAACCGTATTAGAAATGATTTGTAATGAATTGAGAAAAATGTTCCTCACTTTAAATAAATTAAATATCACAATATATCACAATAGACCATCTGTTTATGCAATTTTAATTCGTGGCATCTTTGCTAAATTTACGATCTTTGAAAGAATTTGAGATAAATCTCTGGAGGTTCGGTCTGTTCAGTGACACAACCTTAGCTTTTGAAATCTGATCCACTTCTGTGTGCGTCAGTCTTTAACACATGAGGAATGATTTACTGTAGAGTCAAACGAAATAACTGTTGTATGACGTGCTTACCTGGAACCAGCCTTCGTGTCGGATGTGATCATGTATCACCGCTATCTATGAAAACCCTGTCACTGAAAAGTTTGCTCTTCTTGTAAAGCATTTTATGCTCATCCGTGCGCCACAGAGGTTCCCTGGACTCTTTAAAGGCATAAAAAATATATTAAGACCCGCTCAAGTTTTTTTTCCTTCTGGATCTTTAAAGAACGTATTCATGAACATATCGTGGCAAAGAATTGGCAGGTCCTTTAAAAGGACTGATGATATCGATTGTGGGAGAAAATGAAAGATATCACAGACACACCTATTCGTGGCTTCCCTGCTGATGTTTACTATTGATCCGCACCCAACAGGGTCAACATTGGATATGACCTTTGACATGAATCAGTTGAGGCTGTGCAGCTCACACCGGGTGTAATTCCGTGTTCGCATCAAACAGGTCGAAAATGTTTTTCGCCACACGATTCCATACAAAGTCTATGCAGAGACGCGATGAGACTGGAGGGACGCAAAATCTGCGACAGCGCCGCACGTTCGCGTTAAACGGCAGAACGCAACAAACGCCAAAGCTGACAAAAAAACAAAAGCTTTCAGCGTTCAGCAACCACAACAACAATCTGGCCGAGGACGGTCTCATCCGAAGGCAACCCAACTTCTGGACGAGGTGGACGTCCCGACAGCCGAATTGAATCAATCGGTGAGCTGCTGTGAGGAATAGCATCATTACTTCTGACCCCTTTGGACAACCAGGAGTCTGTGAAGTTGACGTTCCGCTCATGATGATTGATGTGCCGCTCGAGCTAATGTTGGACGTTTTCCACCTATCCGTCACCGGAGAGAAAGCCGCGGCCAGACTCTACCAAATCGCGACATATTATCCACAAAGTTGAGTTGCAGAAATATGAACGGAGACACAGCTGCACTGTGCTCGGCTTTCAGTGCCTATAAAGTCCCGGCGGAGGGCCTTTCTCCAAGAAAACCACCGGCACATTGCCACATCAGGCTCCTGGAAAGAATAAGCCGTAACTGTACTGGTCTGCATGTCAACGAGCAGGCCGCCATTTGACACGCAAGTGACGGATTGGAGTCACGTGTGCTCTACGTGCTTCTTTTCCTTGTCTCATCCATAGTGGAGCAGCGCCACGGCACACATGGTCAAGCGTCACGCAGAGTCAATGAGGTGATGGGCTTGTTGCCCAGATGGCCGTCAGCACGCGGGGTTATTGGCTACACTGGTGTGGACCGTTCATTGTTAGCACGCAAAATGCTCGAGTGCTTCATTTGATTTGTCTTTTTCAACTATCCAACTGCAGTCGTTTTAATGAATGCCGAGTGGGGGCAGATCAGCTGTTGCAGTACTCACTTTATTGGGATCAATGAAACCATGGCCAGTAATTGTTTTTCGTGCCCAAGTGTCCTGCTTGCTTCCCTTGTTCATATATCGTCCCTAGCATGGCAGTAAACTGTGAGGGTACAATAGTGTTGCTCGCGAAGGAACAGTGTGTAGGACATAAGGGGAGTTGATGGTGCAATATTCCTGTTCTGCGTCACTTAAAAACGAAGAGTTGTTGTGTTTCGCTGTGAGGAGAGAGACGTTCACGCTTACGTTACCTAAAGGGCCTCGTAGTTCGGCAACACACTTGGGAAGGGAGAAGAGAGTTGAGTGGGGGGCTGAGCACTTTTCAATAACACTTAATCTCACTGCTCATTTGATCCTACTCTTACACCACTACACTCCAGCAGAATGTGCTTGTTTAGGGTGTAACCCAGCAGCTGACATTCGTTTGGCTTGTGCAGCGATATGCACATCCTTTGTCCTGATTTGTATTTGGGAGAGTTGGAGAGTTTCACTAAGAGCTAATCGAATTCTCAACTTCACAAAATGCTGTCGTTCCAGTGTTTTCATTTTATATATTATTTGGGTTTCCCGTCACTGTAACAACAGTGGTTCCGATATGTAATAATCGTCCTCAGATGGGGTCTCGCCCCAAACCCCTAAAGAAAATGAATAAATGGGTTGACTTTGTTGGAGTTGAAGTTGAATGTTTATATTAGTTTGTTCTTAGATTTATTTGTGAGAAAAGGACTTGTCAGTACCGGTGTCATGAAAGGCGTGTGTCAGGTAATCGCCTTGCCAGACCCCATCAAAAGGCACGAGGATTAAGGTCTGTTTGCACTCACAGAAAATGAAAAGAAACAGCGAGAGAATTGAGTCAAGAATGTCAAAGTTAAATGAAGTATCTCTCTTTACATCAATACTGTTAAAACTAAATTGAGTAAAACAATTGCAGTATTACATAAAACTAGATACTTGAATCAGAACGGTATTGTTCTCTCATAGTGCCACACATTGTACCATAACTAATCAATAGATGGATAATTATTTACTTACATGCTTTGAGAAGAGGTATGTACATAACAAAGAATTTAAAGTTTAGACAAGTCTCTAAGACATGTTGGGTAAGTAAGCCTAAACTTCAACCAACACACACACACACACACACACACACAGTGTACCGATACGGTACGCAGCGAGTCAGTCCAGTAACAATAAAAACACGTGCCAAGCGCTGCGGCCAGTGGCAGGCTCTAAGTACACAAAGGACAGGTCAAAGTCACGCTCAGCATTCTGGAGGACGCGCGCAAACTCGGGAAAGGACGGTGATAACGAGGCACAGGTGCAAACAATCAGGGCGGGGCAGAGAGTCCCACAGGCAGGAAAAGAAGGGTCCAAAACGAGAGACAACGGTAACAGTTCCAAATAAAACAGGATGTTGACCTCAAAACTGGAAACAAGGAAAACATCATCTTAGAACCTGGAATTTTGTGAGAACTTTATT